CTGCTTTAGGAAGGTCAAGGTCAGACTGAGCTGGCATCAGGCTCAGTTCAGGCAAACCCAACACTCTGTGCCCTCGGACCTGGCCCTTAGAAGTGTATGACCGTCCCCAGTGACCCCCAAGCACAAGTAGTGAGCAGCACTGTGGAGCAAGATGAAGCAGAGCTGCCCGCACCGCCTCCTCCATTAGCTACTGTGTGAATATTTGTAAACACACATAGCACCCAGCCCGTGTCCCCATAGCACCTCTGCCTGTTTGCTAGCAAGCGTGCCAGGCTAGAGGAGGGGAGACACAGCTCAAACTCCGAGACAGGCTGGTGAGGGTTTCAACAGCTGGAGGCAACATGCTTCCCCTATGACAAAAATAATAATAAAAAAATCCTTCACGTAGTTCGGGTGAATCAGCCAAGTCACCCAACTCATGGTTGGGAATGAGGTGATGAAAAGAGGCTTTCTGGACCTGGGCTTTCGGCCACATCCCCTCGAGGACACAGAGGGATGAACTACTGAGGACCAGGGTCTGTACGTGGCCTATGTGGATGTGTCCCCTCTGGCCATCAGGATGATGACTCTATGGCAGTCCTGGAGGATCCTACAGAGGCTGCTCAGCTCTCTGGAGCCAGGCCAAGCACCAGCAGCACACAGTTAAGGCCTGGAGCTGTCAGGAGGGCCCCAGAGGCACAGGCTGACCGTGCTCCTGACCTCCAGCTCGCTGCACACAAGCAGGGACAAGACATTTCTTTGACTAGAGCTGGTCTCTTTGTGTCAAGAAACACTTCATGTCCCATGGCTTTGGTAAGGACCCATGAAGCTGTGGCACTGGGCAGCACAGGGAGGTAGCACCCTTAGCCACGTAGGTAGGCGAGCCACAGAAAACACCGTTGCCCCTGTGGTGCCCGGGGCAGGAGGTGGCCAGGGGTAAAGACAGCAGGAGGCTGGGAAGCAAGAAGAACAGGTTTCCATGTCACCCAAGTCTCTGGCTGTGTATCCTTGGGACACTGGTCATAGCCACTGGATGGGAGAACATTGGTACCTGCCTCGAGCTGTAGGGACTTGACTCGGGGACAGGTCAGACTCTATACTCACAGCTACTCTGTTCCTTCCTTGTCCCCCATGCTGGGCTTGTCTCCACCCTGGCTCTCTGCCCACTGAGCTCGGCACAAGGCCTGGGCCACGATAGGTGTTTGTTACCCTAAGCTGAATGAAGGGGACAAGACATGTGCTGATTTCCTCCTAGCTTCCATCTGGGAATTCAAATGTATCTCACATTCCCTTAGCTTCACAATAAATCTGTTCAGGGGAAAAAATATGTATGCCTTTTTACAGAGAGTCAGACAGCACTGAGATACACAAAAATTAAGAATAGTGTCTCCTGTCACCCAACAAATGGTGCACTTAGCACCAGCATCTCAGCCTGCTCAGGGTTGGTAGAGTGGCTGATGAGGCCAGGAGCAAAGGGCTCCACTTCTGGGCATGGGGTGCACAGCATGTGCTATGGAAAAGAGAGCTCGAGAGGGTGTGGCCACAGGGACACAGCCAGGGTGCCAGGGACTCCTCCATCTCACATCTATTCTGTGGAGTAGGTGACCAGGCCACGAGTGTCAGGAGCCACCTGTCCCCTCCAACATCCCCACCTGGGGCACTAGAGCCCACAAGGCCACATACCAGGTTGTTCCCATCCTCCAGGGCCACTTGCCAGGACCACAGGGGCATGCTGGAGGAGAAGCTTGGTCTTTACCTCAATGTTGCTGATGAGCTCCAGGTAACGCAGGTCCTGCACTCTGGCGAAGGCCTGTGGGGAAGGAACAGAGAAGTCAGCTGCCACTTGGCCTGAATGGATGGGGGGATGGAAGTGAAGCTAGAGGAAAAAGGTCTGGGAAGGAAGAGAGAGGCAGCCATGGATCTGCTTTGGCATTCAGAGGGCTGCCTGCCACACTGCCAGGCCACGTTATCCTGGATTAGTCTGCACAAATACCAGCAAAGTGGCGCCGGCCACATCCATCATTTTGGAATTAGGAAAACAAAGCTGTGACAGCACAGGCTGGGCTGTGGCCTCCCTGTGGGACTCTACTCACAAAGGGATGGGCACTGACTTAGGCAGCAGTATTTGTGCAGAAGTCGAGTGGCACGGTGTGGGCAGAAGACAGCTCTGCTCACCCAGAGACAGGGGCATGAGTAACCCCAGTGTGGCACAGAGGAAGAGGGGAGGGAAGCTGGTTCCTGAGAATCACTCCATCTCTGAAAGGCAAACTCTTTCGCCAATGCTGCCAGGATGGCCCACACTCTGGGCACACAGTGAAGCTGGGCTGCTTGCCGCTTCTGAGCTCCTGGCCCACTGGTGTTAGCTAAGCTGCCACTGCCTCTTGCAGGTGTTGCAAAGGGTTCAGAGGTGCCTGAGCCGCCAGGGGCCTGCATTGTGGGGCTCTGCTGTCAACTTCTCCTGAGCTGTGCTGTCCTACGCCATGCTGTCGCACTGGTGTGGGCAGACACACACCTAGAGGTAGCAGCTCTGGGGTCATAAGCTAAAGATCTAAGGTGCTAGGTCCCCTCCCTTCTAAAAAGCCAGAAAGAAGGGGAAATAAGCAGGTCATCCAGCCTCTGTGGCCTCAGACAACTGCAGTAGGACTTCACGTTTTGTCCCAAAGGGCCTGGTGTCCCGTCAGAAGCCAAGGACCCAGACGTGAATATGGCTTGGTCTCTGCCCTGTCCCTAGTGTGGGGGCCACATGAGAAGCAGACACGACACCTCCCGGAGCTAAGCGCTGTCTGTAAGAACCAGATGGTACCCTGTCCATGTGCTGTGGTGGTGGGTATCAGACTAAGGAAGGCACCACAGACTGGCAAGTCCAGGCAGCTGGCAAGGGGAGATTTTTATTTGTTCATTTTGTTTTGTTTGAAACAGGGTCTGACTCTGCCACCCAGGCTGGTCTCGAATTGCTGGGCTCAGGGGATGCTCCTGCCTCAGCTTTTCCAGTGGTTAGGACCACAGGCGCACTGGACCACACCTGGCAGGTGGGTTATCTGAAGAGGAATTCACAAGACGTGCAAGGCAGGCCTTCAGGAGCAGAGGGCCAGAGGGAGCACTGAAGGTCACCAGGCTGCCTTCTTGCCCTGGTTTCCGTGAGGCCCAGTCATCATCCAGGCCCAGCCTGGGGCAGAGGAAAAGGAGGGACCCAGGGCCTCACAGTGCCTGTGCTCTCCAGCTGGGCTGCACTTACTCCCAGCCCCCAGCTGTCCACACCACTCCTGGGGCTTTCGGGTTCTGCTGTCAAGATTCTTGGGTGTGAGAACCCCTGGGAGAAGCAGCCCGGAAGTTCTGCAGAGTCAGGGTGCTGCTCAGAGTGGTCAGTCACAAGCCTCAAGGAAGACCTGGGAGGCGGGTGCCAGAGGCAGCTGGTGGGTACTGAGTGGCTGCTGAGTGGCTCTCCTCCGCCATCTAGTGGGTATGTGCGGCTGTGCCTGGGACTGGGCACAGAGGACAGGGTGGGGACCTGGATGTGTGTGAGACATGTCCCTTTGGAGGTCAAAATCTTGCAGCTTTCCTAAACAGCATGTGGCCCACAATAAATCCATCTATCTATGCAATTTGTATTTGTATGTTAAAATAACTAAATGCTGTGTGCTTACTGCAATCATTTCTATTCTCAGGAAGTATTTTCTGGATATGGGACAGGAAGAAGTATACAGTCAGAGGCCAGTTCTCTTAATCTGTTCTAATTTTTGCTGAGCACCCACGAAGCCACAGCTTTGGCCTCGGCAGTGCAGCACTACCACTGAGGTGGTCTTTGGTTCCCAGGGAGGTGACAATCTAGAGACTTTTAACTTCATTGTAAGCTAAAACAAACAAAAACACACCAGGAATCTTTTGTTCTTTTCATCCCTCCTGGCATCTCTGGGAAGCTGTCTTCAGGGAGATATCCCCACACCCTAAATTCCTAGACCTGCCCCTACTCCCTCCCCATACTGAAGTGCCCATAAGCATCAAAGAATAATGTTCTCCTTGGTTTTATTGGTTTTATTTGCTTGGTGAACCCAGACCCTTGGATACAGTGGGTAAAAGGCCCCAAATTGAACTACAGACCCTGCTTTAATATGAAGAGGGCAACAACTGTTCCTCTGCCTCCGTCCTGGGTAGAAACAGACTCAGAAACCTATGCGGTCCAGACAGGGCTGAGTGTTCCAGCCATTTCTCTGGCTTGAGCTGCTTAAACCAGGAAATGACACAATGATCAAGCCCATGCATTGAGCCACAGGTATGTGGGAGAGACCACAGCATCTCAGAGTCCAAGTGTGACCAGCCTTCCCCGAGCCTGGGCAGTGCTCAGGGGAACAGAGGCCTGGTGTTTAGACCATTATTGAGTGCCTGTTATGGGCCAGGCTCTCAGCTACATGTCGTACATAAATAATAGCTAAGGAGTGGCAGCAGAACATACCAGCTCCTTCTCCCGGGGCCAGGGCTTGCACGCACTGTCTGCTTAGATCTGACAACTCTGTGGGGTCGTCCACACCAGGCCCACTGTGAGGACCTGCGGCCTACCACCAGGACCCACAACCTACTCCTGCTTCTGCCCCTCTACACCACCAGAAGGTCTGAGTCCAGCTCCTGCTGAGTGGGCACTTACCTTCTTTGCTGTCTCTAACTCTAATCCTTCCAGTGCCTCCATGGCCAGCTCGCGCCAGTCTGCGTCTGTCACCCCCAAGCAGGCGATCTGGTAGGCTTCTCGGAACATCTTCCTGTCCAGGTACTGGTACATTGGGGCGGACTGGATGGAGCCCCAGGGGAAGGGAGGACAATGTTCAGAGCAGTGCAGAGCCACAGTCCATGCCTGCCTTCCCGTGAGAGGGGCTTCAGGACAGAGCCTGCAGGGCCCGTACGGCCCACCTCATAGCCCACCTTAGCACGTGGTACCCTCCCCACCTGCAGGTAACCTCACTGTGTTCTCGCACTCTGTGGAAGGTCATCATTGCTGGAAACTCCCAACCCTTGCGCTCTGACCCCACAGGAGGGAGCCTGAGCTTCCTCTCCCTCTGTGGGTGTCCCGGGACAGCTGTGCTCACAGGCCTGCCTCCCATGCAGGCCTCCATTCTGCCACCTCCCTTGCTGGCCCTCTGTCTGTCAGGACTTTGCTCTGTGCACCTCAGGAATAAGTGATGAGGGAGGTGAGGGACTGGTCCTGGACACCAGCTCTCCCTGCAAAGGGGGCTGCCCTTTCTGTGCCTGGGAGTGACCCCAGATGACAAGGTCTTCGTGTAGCTAGGTGTGCTGACCCCTGACGATGGCCCGACAGACTCAGGCCCAGGGGAGACCCCACCCCATCCCAGGTCGCACCCCTGGCTGGGGATCTCATGCCAAGGCCCCATCTCCCTCATCTTAGGCTAATGTGTCCTGGGTAGTAAAGACCAAGAGAACAGTACCAAATGGTCCCAAACATGGAGCTGGAAGCACTGCTTCTCCTGTCGGGACCTTGATCTTTGACAGTTCCAGGGTCCTTTTTTAAGCTTGCACTGAAGGAAACCTTCCCGTGAAGCCAGAGAAACAGGGCCACTCCCCAGGGCCACTCCACACTCCATCCCTGTAGGGAGGCCTGGCTCAGTCACACCCACTGGGTCACCAGTCCAGATGCCTGCCCAGCCAAGCAGCAGGAAAAACAGAAAGGAGGGCAAAGCTTTGGAAGGCATGAGTGTGGGCAAAGGGCAATCACAAGCATCTCCTCCTCACCTTCTAAATTCTGGCCCTCAACCTCGTAAGAAGGCCTCCTGCTTTGCTGCCTGCCCAGGTCTTACTGGGCTGTTTCACCTCCCCAGAAGCTTCTCCCACAGCGACTCCCTTCCTGAACTACTTACTCTGTGAGTACCTCCATCATGTTCTTGCTATTTTATGACTGCAATAAAGACATAATATGAATCGGCCCAGACAAAACCTGAGAATGGGTATAATTAACCCTGTTTCAAGCCTGGCATGGTGACCTGGGCCCATAGCCCCAGCTACTCTGGAGGCTGAGGCAGGAAGATTGCCTGAGTCCATAACTTCAAGACCAGCGTGGGCAACACGCTGTGATGCCTCCACAAAATAACAACAGCTAAATTAACCCCATTTTACAGAGAAGAAAATGAAGCCTCGAATAGTGAAATGAGGTGCCCAGGATACAGACTTTGTGTACCACATGATTGTAGGACAGGCAAGAGGACAGGATGGCAGCACAAAAGCACATGATGGGGCCCTTGTAGGGGTTTTATGGACAAGAGCCCTCGGAGCTTTCTTCCTCCTCTGCTGCTATACCCCCAAGCAGGGCCACTGCCCTACTTGGCAGCATGGACAAACCAGCTCTTGCACAAGATCAGGCAGATGTGGAAAGGAAACCAGACTCCCTAGAGCGGGTCAGGTTCTCTCCCAAGCGGAGGCCCAGCCGCAGGGCCATGGGGGGCAGGGCAACAGATAAACAGCCTTTGTCTACAGAGGGCCTCTCCCACTCTCTCCCACCCCCAGGCTGGCCTGGCCCTTGCGTCAGCAGTGCGCCCTGCAGCCAGGAGAAGCTCTGTGGCTCCAGCTCAAAGGTCCTGGCAAGGGAGCCTGGGCCCCTCTGTCTCCTTATAGCTGGCTCAAGCAAACTGTATTTGTTTGTGAGGTCAGGATGGCAGCAATCTTGGGAGAAAGCCTTTCAATAAGCAGAATCCAATTGGCACAACTGAGGCAGAATAGGTTATTGGTACATATGGAGCCTGGGTTTGAGGTTGGATCAGCTGCCCAGGGGCAGATGAGGACAAGGACCAGGACACAGGAAGCTGCCCCAGGGCTATGCTGGCCCCTTCTACCACTGCCCCTCCCCTCTCTCTCATCCTCCTTTTCTCCTTGGGTTTCCTCAAATCTGAACTCAGGACCAGACCTGAATGCCTTGTCTATGATGGGCCCAGAGACCCATGGCAAGACCGGACCTCCCGGCTCAGGGGAAGCAGGATCCAGCCCCATCCCTGTGTGGCCACTTGTGCAGGGGCTCCATGTCCCTCAGCCCCACGCCTGTCCCACCCCTTCTCTCCCATACACATCCCACACCACTGGCTCTGGCTGGGTGCCTGCTTGCTGGCTCTGTGGGCACAGCACACAGCCCTCCTTGTCCTGACCAGGAAGGGGTTGAGGAGCAGGAAGCTTGGAGGCTGAACTGTTTTCCCAGAGACACATAGGCTGCTCAGGCTGCAGCCAGGGCTCCAGGCTCCAGGCCCATAGCGCCTCCACCCGGCATCTGCCCTGTCTCCCTGCTGCACTGGACAGCAGGTGCCTCGTACCTGTGGTACTTCCACAGCAGACATGGCGAAGTCATGGAGGCAGAAGATCTTGGAGCCATTGTAGCCAACCACGAAGCCCTGCAGCTTCTGCTGGTGCACGGGGAAGGTGCTGGCCTTAATGTTGAGGTAGCCGCCACCTGAGAAGCAGAGCATGTCCTCACACTGCATGTTCCAGGCCACGCTGTTGGCGTTGGGCTCCTGTGGGGCAGGGAGGTCAGGGGGCTGAGCCATGCCCAACCTTGGTACCATCACCGTGTCTGCCAAGTCCCTCTCAAAGCCTGGGTCGCAGAATCAGCTGCTAAGGTGGGAGGCAGGGAGGGAGAGGAAGAGAGGAGGTGGAGGCCAGCTGCTCTAGGCACTGCAGGTGGGGTGCAGGGACTTCCAGAAGATGGACCATACAGCAATCACCCCACGGCAAGCAAAATTAGAAAGGAGGATCCACTTCCACTGAAGAAACAATGCAGGTCCCTGTGGGAAAGGGATGTGTTCCAAAGGACTAACAGGGGCTGTTTCTGGAAGGGTGGAACAGTGGGTGCTTTTCATTTTCTTGGTTTTTGTTTGCCTGAATTTTCTTTTGTCATGACTATTTTTTTTTTATAACAGGAAAAGGAACTTTTCTTTATAAATGAGTTTTCTTTATGAGTTCTTTATAAAATTATCAAATAATATGTGTGTCTGCATCCTCACTGTACCCTGGCCCAACAGGGGCTCTCCTGGGCCCTGCAGTCCCAGTGGCAGCAGCAAGGGCTCATCTCTTTATGCCTAGCATCCTCTACAATGGGCAGGAATTATCTCATAACTGAAAGAGTACAGTTGCTTTCATTTGCACAGGCAAGCGCCATGGGAAGAGAAAAGAGGCACAGGTAGGAGAAATCAGCAACCTTTGTGTCAACCTCCTTGGGGAGGGGGCTGCAGCAGGGACCAGAGGACACGCCCCACCCACTCACACCCCAAGCCAGGCCTAAGTCCCAGCCCTACTTTGTACCCAGCACTGGCCTGAACACGGTGAAGTCTTGGCAGTTCTGCGCGGGGATGCACTGACTCCAACTCCGAGAGAGGGAGAAATTGAAGCCAGGGAGATGCACCAGTGCTCGAGGCACACAGCAAAAGGGGCCAGGGAGTGGGAGACAGAGGCTGAGCTCTCTCCTTCCCTTAAACTGCTCCAATCTGCTGGTCAGTGCAAGTCGCCTCTGGCTGCAGGTCACAGTGCCTGAGGCAGGCAGCTCCCCACTCCAGACACCCCTGCCCTGCTGCTCCTGCTGCCGAGGACAAGGAGGGCCAAGAAGAGGCCTAACCAGCCCATGATGCTAGGGATGCTGTAATAAGGAGCATTTGGCTCTGGGGTCCACTACAAGCAGAGCAGCCCATTCGCGGTAGAGCCAGCCACACACTGGGCACACACTTTCAGGCCTCCTGCCCTAGTGATGCCTTTCTTCCAGCCCTGAGGCCAAACATCAGGAACAGTGCTGCTCCTCAGACTCTCCCTGGACTCCTACAGCATCCTCAGGTCCCAGCCTGGTCCTGTGTCCTCACTGAGCCTGGGTCACTTGCAGGAGGGGATCGGCAGAGTGGGCGTTGCTCTCACCACCCATCTGCTCACTGAACATGCAGATGGCATCACCTATCCCTCCCTGGTGACAGGCTGCCCAGGCCCTGGGTCCATGGGGGAGCAGGCCGTGCACAGGTGGCTCACTCATTCCTGCTCCTTATGGGGCCCTGCCTGGCAAGCCAGAGGTCTCAGCGACCTCACCTGGAACAGCAGCTCCTTGGTGTGGATGTCATACACCAGGCATGTGTCGTTCTCATCCACTACGGCCAGCTTGTTTCGGGAGGCGCTCATGTCCAAGCAGCGCACAGCTGTGGCCTGTTTCAGCAGGACAATGGCAAAGAGGTTGTCCACGAAGATCTTCAGGATCTGGGAAAATGTCAGGGGGAGAAGGAAAGTTGCCATGACAACAGCTGCTGGAGCTCCACCAGGGAACACCCATGTATTCCATAAGAATGATGCCCACCAACGATGCCACCAGGGGCTGTGCTTGGGGACAGGATGGGGAAGAGGAGGGGTAGGTGGCATCTTCAGGGACCAGAGTGTGGCCATTGGGTTGCCAAGGTGACAGCGAGCTGGAATCTGTCAATGCCTGGGCTGGAGACCTGTTAATGATGCTGCTCATATCACACAGTCATGGGGGACCCCGAAAGACCTGTGTCACAACACAGGAAGCGGGACAACAAACACCATCAAGACCTCAGTGTGGTGGCATCCTGAGGGCCCCACGGTGGATAGCTACCATTTATCTACCACCCCCTCAGGAACAAAGCCTCCCCCTACCTGTGAGACCTGAGTCTCAAGAGAGGCAAAGTGCCTGGCCAGAGCACGTACATAGTGAGCTGCTGGGTGACCTTGACCCAAGGCCCACGCTCTCAGCCTCCATGAGACGTGGTGCTGGCAAAGAAGATGTTCCCTCTCCCCACTTTGCCACTGCTGCCTGATAGCTCCCGCTGATCTCAGGCTCTGCAGCTTCCGTCTGTCCCCAGTGAAGACCTGACAGTCGTGGCCACGAGCCATCTGCCACACAGCTTGGCTCTCAGCTAATGCGGCTCTATTTTCACTTTCAAGTTTCTCTGTAGCCCACATACAACTTTTGTTATCTTGAGCAAAGAACACATATCCATGCATACAGAAATCTGCTTAGCTCCATGTGGCCTAGATTCCCTGCATCTATTTGTCTGCAGAGCCCCTATTCTGATACTGTCTGTGCCTTCCTGAGGACTGGCACTACCAGGCAAAGCCTGGGCCTGTGGTAACCCACTCTCTGCCCTGACAGGACTCTGACCTCGGTGACCATCTCTACCAGCCACCCAGAGCTGCTTCACCAGCCAACCTGCCACCTTCAGGGTGACCTCTAGCCCACTAACTCACTGCCACACAACCGGGGCAGCAGCCGCTCTCCCCTGATGAGGGCATGCCATGGGTCCAGGGCCTGCCATGCCTCTGGCCTGACTGTTCCCGAGGAAGCACATGTCTGGCCGCCCTCCAACAACCAAGGTTCCCTTCCAGCTTCCTGTCACCCGATCACCAGGTAAGCCTGAGGGGACAAGAAAGCACTCACCTGGCCGTTCTTGAGGCCCACCAGGAGCCCTTCCCTCCCGGCTGGGCCGCCGATCACCTTGATATACCGGATGAGGGACTCCATCTGCCACTCTCGCTCCTTCCCACCACTGAAGGACAGGCACTGCAGCCGCTTCTCCTGGAAAGCAAGCCTCAGGGTGAGTGCCTGGGCCTCCTGGATGGAGGCCAAAAGCACCTGCCCGCTCTGTGTCCCCACGACTGCATCCTCCCTGTGGGCCACATCCCATCTGTCACCTGTGGCACCCCCAACCCCTCAGGCTCCAGGCTTAGTGCATTTTACACAGCTGCAGCACTTCAATTTTGTCACTTCTAACAGGCCTTGGTGACCCCAGGCTACCTCCATCCGCCTCCTCTCAGTCTTTCCAAACCTCTCTTGACATGGACCTAGAAACTTCCTAGGAATTTACAGTGAGAACGCTGTGCGCTGTGGGGGGGGGGGACAACAACTGCCAGGAGATAAAACTCCCTTGCTTACTAAGCTGATGTGACATTTTATGTATATATGTGCAGCAAAAGATTTACGTTCATTTTGTGGGGCACCAAGTTGTGCTTTAAGCCTCTAAAATACATCTAACCCCAAGAGGACAAAATGCTAACAATATAAAAAGCATTCTGTGTCGTACAGCCCATGTCTTTCTGGTAGAGCCTGACTCACAGGGATGTCAGTAAAATGAAAGCCACCAAAGTCACTGGGTCTGGGGGAAGGGCCATACTCGTGGATGACAGGTTAAGCTGGGATCCACGGCCGTGCCCACCTGGCAGAGGAAAGGATGTCAGTAAAATGAAAGCCACCAAAGTCACTGGGTCTGGGGGAAAGGGCCATACTCGTGGATGACAGGTTAAGCTGGGATCCACGGCCGTGCCCACCTGGCAGAGGATGATGTGGCTGGCACACACCACCAGCAGGTTGCACTCGAACTTCTTGAGTATCTTCTCCTTCAGCCGGTACCGCATATCCGATGAGTCGTCGGAATACAGCTCGTAGATAAGGATCTTTTCTGGCAGCTGGATCGCTAATCGATTCTTGTAGATGGCAATTTTCTTGACAAGCTCTTTGCATTTAATCCGAACTGTCAGAGGAAAAGAATCAGGCTCTAGCTAAAGGTTGTTAAGTGAGGTGGAAGGGGGAGAAATTAAAAGCCATCATTTGCTTAATGCTGTGGCAATTAAAGTGAGATGCTTATTAAATATCTTTATGAAGTGCCTAATGTGTGCAAGCAGCTTGTCTGAGCAGGGGGCCCAGAGCCACACTCGACATGCACTCTGTATGTGAAACACATTCTGGACACGGCAGGGTCTCTCTATATTACACAAACTCTACATACAACATGATCTCTGGGTATGACAGGATCTCTCCATGACATGGTCTCTATACATGACACGGTCTCCATATACGACATGATCTCCTCTTATATACAACACGGTCTTTGTGGTCCAAAGCTCACAACTGAGGATGGAAAAGGAAACAGTGTGGACACCACCTGCTGCACCTGAATTTCAAATCTCTGCAGAGCAGTGAGCACCCTGGTGTTTGAGGGGCCACGCAGGGGCCTGACACCACCTCTGGCCACGGCCCACCCATCTCCTTGACCAGAAGGGAGACATGTCCCACAGGGACACTGCTGAGCGGTCCCAGAGGCCACACTGTCACGGCTGGAATCTTCCAGCATGGGAGCTCCCAGACTGGGCCAAAGGCAGCTGGCTGAATCTGTGAGACTGGACCCCAGCCTGGGCCCTATGCTCCACATCCGCAGCTGAAGTGAGGGGCTCTCACTTGCCACCCAGCATGGCTGCCTGGTGACAGGGAGACTGTTGGGACTTGTCCTGGAACCTGGATCCTCCCAACCGCCTGGCTCACCTCTAACCTTGCCGTCTCTTCAAAGGCCATACCCAGGAGTGTCAAGGTCTACAGAAACTCATGCAGGTGGCCACCCTGACCGTGTCTCATCACAGTCAGCCTCCCTCTCAGGGAGTCCAGGTAACCCTTGGAATTATTTGTAAAATTTACTGTCAGCACATTCCTCTTTGGTCTCATCATCTCATCAAAGGAATCAGCATCCTCCGGCCCTACTCAGGAGAGCAAGACCTGATGGCTCAGCAGTTTCCTGTCACTTGAGCACACAGTCACCATCCCTCACCTTTCTGCTCAGTGATGAGGTGCTGCACGATGACATCGGTCATACTGTCCCTGTAGGCGTAACGGTCCTTGTAGAGCCCATGGACCGTGCTGAACACCAGTTGGTAGAAGGCAATGGTGCCGTCCTGGCAGCCGGTCACCTGCAGGGAGAGGGCCGTCAGCTGCTTCCTACTGTCTATAACAGAGCCAGCCTGACATTCAGCATGGCCGCCCTCTTACCACATAGTTAGAATCGGGCTTCTCTCTGCAGGTCCACACCCAGGAACTCTGCTCGCCAACCTTCCCGAGCCGCACGCCATCCCTGGTGAAGAGGGACACCTGCCGGTCTGACCCCCCCAGCAAGATGTACTCCCCCTTAGAGAAGTAGCTGATGCAGCAGGGGTCAAAGTTCAGGGGTCGATCTTTCCCGACCTGGGGAGAGAGAACGGGAGGGGACAGCTCTGAATCCCTGATAGTACAACCAGCCACAGAGGACTCACTGGGACAGAGACGGCAGCCAGAGCACAGCAGGCAGTGCCTCTTGGGTGACCTGTCCTGACACGTGTCACACTCACCCTTGGCCACCTCCACGCCAGGGAAAGGGCTCAATTCCTTGGCCGCCTGGAGGCCAAGGATGGTCTCACTCCTCCATGTGGCGCTGGCTGTGACTTGATGGTTCCTCACACACCCCCAGCTTTTCTCTTTTGTTTTTCTTACTATGCCACAAAACTGAGTTTAGTCCAGAAGACTGTCCCTTATTCTGAAACCACACCCATTTTACTTCTCTTCACAACTTTTTTTTTTTGACACAGGGTCTCAGGCTGGCCTTGAACTCACTATGTAGCCCAGGCAGGCCTCAAACTCATGGCAATCTCTTGCCTCCACCTCCCAAGGGCTGGGATTACAGGCGTATGCCTCCATGCCTGGCTTCTTCACAACAATTTTTAAATTTCATTTAATTTTTTTTTTTTTTTTTTAGATAGGATCTCACTATGTTGCTGAGTCTGGTCTCAAAGGCCTTAACACAAGGATCCACTTGCCTCAGCCTCTGGGCAGCTGAGACTAAAGTTCTGTGCCACCAGAACTGGCTTATAGTAACTTTTTGGGGCTATTAGCCATAAAATATACGATACACCCATGTAGAGTGGACAATGGCTTTCAATATAGTCACATAGCTGTGCACTTATCACTGTTGCACAGAACACTGGAAATGCCCCAAAGAGAAATCTCAACCATGATGGCAACCAGTCCTGACTCCTTCTCACGGCACACTAGTGGCCTCCAGCTGCTTCCTGTGTCTGCAGAGGGCCTGTTCTGGGCATCTCTTACAGTGGAGCCATACGAAATGCAACTTTTCAAATATGGCTCACCGTGTGTAGCACAATCAACATTTCATTCTCTTTCCTTCCCAGTTGCTGGCCTTGTGGCGACTTCCTGTTTAAACTTCTGAGGAGCCACACGCATGGTCAGTGACTGCACCGCTGTCTATGCACTCGTAGCTCCCCGAGGACGTTGCTCTCACCATCCTCATGGTGGGAAGTGATACCTCACTGTGGCTTGTCCCCAGGCTGATACTGGATATCATTTCCTGTGTTTATGGCCACAACTCTTGGCCTGTTCATCAAAAGGGTTGTCTTCTAGGACTGAGGTTTTTTTTTTTTTGGGGGGGGTGTTTTGGTACCAGGGATCAAACTCAGGACCTTGAGCTTTCCAGGCAGACACGGTGCCACTGAGCTAAAGCCCCAGCCAGGACTGAGTTTTAATAGTTTTTTATTTACCTTGGATGCAAGGTCCTGTCAGATGTGTGGCTGTGAAAGTGTCCTTGCCATGGGCTGTCTGTCCCTTCTTAGAGCAGAAAGGTCACGAGCCATCCACTGCTCAGCTGCTGAACCCGCGCTCTTCCAGGGGACTATGCTCCTTCCGGCCTCTCAACCTCACAGGTCTGTTCTTTCTTTTCTTTTTTGTGCTTTTTGTTTTTTGAAATAGGGCCTCACCATGTAGCCCAGGCTGGCCTCAAACTCACAGTGATCCTACTGCCTCAGCCTCCTGAGTAATGGGATTACAGGCATGTGCCCCCATGCCCAGCTAACAGGTCTGTTCTTTACACCACCCCAGACCCAGTGCCCATGCACGTCCCCTCCCTTCCTGAGGTACACCCTGATCCCTTTCCCCACTTGGGGCACAGCTCTCATCCACACCTCCAGACTGTAGCCCAAGCCCAGGCTCCCACTGCTGCCTCTGAGGTCCTTCCGTGGGGGAATAAAGGGCTCTTTATGACTCATAGTACTAAACTAATATTCAACTTACTAAAGAAAACTCTTGGAATTTGGTTTCCTCTTAAGTTTTTAAATTCAATTTATAAATATTTTCCAGTTTATAAACCTAATAAAAGCAAATAACCAACTGAGTTTTTTTTTTTCCTACCAGAGTTCGAACACAGGACCTTGAGCTTTTTGAGGCAGGTGGCAAAACCACTAAGCTAAATCCCCAGCCCTGAGTTTAACCGTTTTAATGAATGCAATTTTGAACAGATTAATGGAAGCCCTTAAATAATCAGCTGCTGTTACAACTTGGTTAATTTCCCTAAATGAACTTAAATTGCACTTACAAGTTGAATATGTTCTATCTTCCTTTCCTTTTTAGGAATTTCAACTGCTTGACAACCAAGTTGCCTTAGCACTGATGCAATGCTAGGAAATCTAAGAGGGAAACCAAATATCTCATGAGCAACAACATGGAAGGTCGGAGCTCAGCATTCCGATGGGCCTCACGATGGGCCTCGCCCTCCTGCGGTGACAACCATAGTCCCTGGCACCTGTGAGGCCACCACAGTGGGCAGGAGCACAGAGCATCCTGTCTCTTCTAAGTGACCCTGTGCCTGAGGACAAGGTTCCTCAGCACTGTGCTGGGTGGGCAAAGGATGTGGGCACCAAGGCAGCAGCAGAAGGTGGTGGGAGGCCCCGGATTGAGAGGCTGGCAAGCTCTGCTGAATCCCTGGGGACCTGCCAGCTCCCCTCTGGTGACAGATGTCAGGCAGCCTGACTGAACTACAGCCTTGCTCAGGTATGCCAGCTGCTGCCCACCCCAGAAACTCGGAGTATGGATCTGAGCTGAGCGAGGTAAACCCCCAGCCTAAGCACAATTTGCACTCACCTTCAGGGACAGAACAGGAAGAGGTCTGTGTGGAACCCCAGGGTACCAGGAAGCAAGGATGCCAACCACATTCAAGGGGAAACAAACAAGAAAACCAATCCAAGAAGGCTGGGCTGCTGGCAGAAGCAGTGAAGGTCTCAAACATCTATGGTCACCATCAGGGGCACAGGGATAGCGGGCTTGTGATGGGCACAGACAGGAGAAAGATGCAGGAAACTTGAACTGCAGGATGGTTACATTGAAGCCCCAGTTCCCTGGGGCCTTGGCAGAAACACCACAGGGGACAGAAGAGTCATGAAGGAGTCACTGTGAAGAATCCCCATTGTATGTGACATCCCAGAAAGGAAGGAATGAAGAAAAAAAAACTATTTGAAGAACTGGGGGCCAACATTTGTCCACATTCAGTGACAGACATAAATATATAGATTCAAAAACCTAGTGAACCCTGAGTAGGAAAATGTAATGACTCTCTTACACATTCTAATATTGCCAAGGAACTTCATGAGAGTTTCCTATGTTTTTCTGGGTAAAATCAGAAATATAAAACTAATTACTCAATGACAGGTTTTAACTGGTCATCACAAGACTGATCTGGTAGAAACTCTAATACAAATTCTAGCATTCAACTGCTGGGGACCCCACCAGGTGTGGCCACAGGCTGAGCCATGTGCCCTGAAGCAAGGAACCAAGACCTCTGTGCCTCATCGTTATACACAGAATGGCGAAGATGGCAGCACCAAGAAATGGGCTTGTTATAGAATTACAGTTACTGTGAGGAGTGCAGACCACATCTAGACCTCAAAAAACACTCGCAACTATTACTAGGTCAGATCCTTTTACACACTACCAACATTTACTGTCACAAGCACATCTTAGCCAACACCATCCTGTACTTAACTCTAAGCCCTCCCAGAGGTAATGACACTCAGCCACAAGACACCATTCTAACCCAAGGGAAGCTGGGCCCCCATCTTGACAGACTGAAGCTGCACTCATGCAAGTATTTCCATGGCTTGGACCACCATGATGACGCCCCCACTACTGCAAAGAGCCCCCACCCCTCCAGGTATGCTTATTTGTTCTCAGGAGGCTTGCAGGTTATTTCCCCACACAATGCCTGGTACACAACACCCACACCGCTTATCAGTATACCAATATTATTGAACACACCGAACAGGTGACCGAACAGGGGATCAAACAGGGCCTGGGAACTGGATGGCAGATCGTTTGAAGAGGGTCCGCATTAACCTATCGTCTACCCTTACCTTTTCCTCTCTGCTACAAAGGAAGTGGGTGTGGTGATGAATATCTATAATCCCAGCACTCTGGGAGGCTGAGGCAGGAAGACTGCAAATTCAAGTCCAGCCTGGGCAACGCAGCAACTTAGCGAATATCAGTATAAATATTATTGAACACACCGAACAGGTGATCAAACAGGGCCTGGGAACTGGATGGCAGATCGTTTGAAGAGGGTCCGCATTAACCTATCGTCTACCCTTACCTTTTCCTCTCTGCTACAAAGGAAGTGGGTGTGGTGATGAATATCTATAATCCCAGCACTCTGGGAGGCTGAGGCAGGAAGACTGCAAATTCAAGTCCAGCCTGGGCAACGCAGCAACTTAGCGAGACCCCACCTCAAAAGAAAAAAATTTTGAAGTGGAAGTGTGCAGTGGAGGTGCAGATCAGTACGAAGGCCCTGGGTTCAATCCCCAATACCACAAACAAACAAATGAACAAAAAATGGCAAAAGAAATGAGCAAAAGGAAGAAAGAAAGAAAAAAAGCAAGCAATCAAGCAAGCAGGAGAAGAAACCCAGTAGCCCAGCAGGAGCAGAGGAAATGGCCCTGAGCAGGGCCAGGTCCCAGAAGCCTTCCGTCCAGCATGCCCATTCTGGAGTGAAGAAGTGGTGGGGGAAAGGACTCCACAGAGTGGCAGGGTCTCTTTGCTTCACACACCCGCCTTGGGCACCCTCTGTAGGTGTGATCCACGTCCTCAGAAGCCAGAACTCTGCAGCAGACCTAACTGCACCGCTCCTGCCACCCATGGCTCCTGTGTGATCATCAGCTCTCTTCATCTGCTTGTTCCTCCCATCACAGCCCCTCCTCCCCCTCCAACTCTACCTTTGGCCCACAGACACTGGGACCTGGTCGCCCGGGACGACACACCATGTACTCTTTCCTCTGTGCCTGGGCATGGGTCACCTCTGCCCAGACACCACCACGCTGTCCTCCGCTATTCCACTCCAAGGTCACCTCTACCAGACCTCTCATCGACCCAACACAGCAGCATCACCGTTTTCCGTGTCAGGTATCCCACCACATGAGGCTGGGTGCCATCCAATGTGTCCCCAGGCTGTGAGCACCTGCAGGTCCTCCATGCGGGGCAGGTGGAAGTGTCCCAAGGAAGAATGGAAGCAAATGCACAAAGGCAAGGGCACCTCTGAGAGCGAGGCTGTTGATGACGTTGTTTCTGGGACAGAACCCAGAGCTTCACTTGTGCAAGGCCAGTGCTCTGCTACCCCCATCCCCACAGCTAGACTTTATTATTTTTAATTTTTTTTCAGGTTTTCTGAGTCAGAGTCTTGCTATGTAGTTTAGGCTGGCCTCAAACCCACTATGGAGCTCAGGCTCACCTCAAACTCACAGCACTCCTCCTGCCTCAGCCTCTTGAGTGCTAGGATTATAGGAGTGGCCGGCATAGCTACACTTTATCATCACACCAATATGGGTTTCAACTCTACGATCATCTACGTTCCAGCTGTGTGGGAACTTGGGCACAATTTATCCCTGCTCTGGTCTTGGTCTCCTCATTTCTAGCTTTCATTTTATTAGTGTATGTTTGTAATTCATACAATTTGCAATCATCTTAGAGAGTAGTCACACATACATATTATAGCTTTTTTAAAAAAAAATCCCCTTCCCCAAAAATGAAACAGATTTTGTACGTGGGGAGGGAAGGGGGCCTGAGGGAGGGTGTGGGATTTAAAAAAAAATCCCCTTCCCTTCTGGTTCCCCAATCAACTTTTTCATACTGTTTGAAATCATTGGTCTTAGCTTATGTTATACCTTATAGTGTTTACATTGATTGGGGTTATTAGGTTCCTATATATGGCACATCTTTATTCCTCATTTTCCCTTCCCTTCCCCATACCCCTGTCTTTGTACCTTTGGACCATTTCCCCACTGGACAAGATCTGTCCCCTTGTCCCTTTCTATCAATTCTTTATTATTCTCTTTGTTTGTACTTTGCCTCACTCAAATGAAGGCTATCATATGGTAGTGAAGCTTATATGTCATTACGTTTTCCAGGTTTATCCATTTTCCTACACATGCCTCAAATTTGTTATTCTGTATAGCCGAGTAGTATTCCATTATATATCATAACCACATTGTCTTTATCCAATCATCTGTTGATCGCTACACAGGCTGCTTCCAGGAGTTAATTGTTATGAATCATGCTGCTATAAACACTGGTGTGCAACTCTCACTGTAGTATGATAACTTTAGCTCTTTGGGCCAGATACCTAGCAGAGTGATAGCTAGGTTGTATGGAATTTCTACTTTTAATTCTTGGAGAAATTTCCACACTGATTTCCATAATGGTTGTACTAGTTTGCATTCAAAGCAATAATATAGGAGGGTTCGGCACACAGCCATGCCAGCATTTGTTAATGCTTGATTTCCCAATGATTACCATTCTTTCCAGAGTAAGATGGAATCTCAGTGCTGTTTCAATTTGCATTTCTCTTATGGCCACAGATGTTGAGCATCTTTTCATAAATGTGTTGGCCATTTGTATTTCTTCCTCTGTGAAGTGTTTATTCATTTCTCTAGCCCATTTCTTGACTGGGTCTTTAATTTTAGGTGGATTAATTTTTTGAGTTCTTTGTATAGTCTAGATACTAGTCCTCTGAGGAATAGCTGGCACAGTTCTTTTACATTCATTTCTCTAGCCCATTTCTTGACTGGGTCTTTAATTTTAGGTGGATTAATTTTTTTGAGTTCTTTGTATAGTCTAGATACTAGTCCTCTGAGGAATAGCTGGCACAGTTCTTTTCCCATTCTTATAGGTTGTCTCTTTACTCTACTGATTGGATCTTTTGGTGTACAGAAGCTTTTTAGTCTGATATCATCCCATCTGTTGATTCTTGCTATTTCCTGTGTGACGGAGGTTCTGTTTGGAAAATCCTTTCCTACTTCTATGTCTTCAAGTGTCTTACCTATGTTGTCTTCCGGAAGGTTTAATGTTTCTGTTTTAATATTTAGATCTTTGATCATTTTGATTTTAATTTAGTATGTGGTGACAGATAACCGGTTTTCCCAGTGCCACTTGTTGCGTAGGCTACCTTTCCTCCAGCTTATGCAAAGATCAAATACTTGAATATGTCTGGGGAGGCTTCTGTAACCTCAGGTTCTGTTGCACTGATCCATGTGTCTGTTTTTGTCTCAGTATCATGCTGTCTCTTCAGTTCTAAAAGGTTGCTATCCTGTGATGAATGTGATTCTAATGCACTACAAACATACACTGATAAAAACTAAAATTAAAGGGTGAAGGGGGGTGAAGGGAAGGGAGGGGAATGGGGAAAAAATAAGAACCAAGATACATCATGTAAAGGCACACTGATGAATGTAACTGTATTATTTACCTTAAATGTACCAATAAACTTAATGGGAAAAAAACTAAAATTAAAAATAAAATCAAAAGTACATAATGAAAGCCTCTGCTCCACAGGACTTGGGAAGAATCAAATGAGACAAGCTGTGGGAAGCACTCAGCACAGCACCTGTTCTCACAGTCAAGGTTCAATAAGCTCACACTAACAGCAACCATGCATAATCAGTAACAGATCTCAGGAAGGGAACTAGCCTAGAACAGGCCTGACTGCAACCAGGTTTGCACAGAACTACATACCTGCTTCCCACTCAGTTGGTAGAAGGAAAGTTTCTGCCCCCAGTCAGCTACAGCCAGGATGTCGTTGTGTTCCTCTCTAATCAACAGAAGACAAAAGGGGTCAGCAGGGGCCACAGCCACGGGCTAATGAGGGCAATCCTAAGGTTTTCCAAACAGGAAGAGAGAACCCTGGCCAGGCTGTTGGGGTGCCAGGCCCTATAGCCGCAACCCCACCCCCACAGAGTCAGTCTGGCCCAGGGACCCATGGTTTCCCAGCTCCCGGGCTTCCTAGTTCTCAGTCCAAGAGCTTGTGGGGCTGGGACTGTGCCCCTCACTGCATATGGGAAAGAGCAAGGTCACAAGTCCAGGAGTGTGTTCCCCTCTGCCCCATAACATACAGTGATGGGCTGGACACCTATCTTGGGGGAGCAGGCACGGACTATGCGCTCTCTTGAAGAGGGAAAACTGACATCTATGACCAGGTTCTCTTGCAGTCAGAGTCCTAGCACAGGTAAAATGGCTTCTGAGTGGTGCTAGTCTTTCTCTTTCATTTTTTTGAGATGGGGCCTTGCTAAGTTGCCTGCGCCAGCCTTGAGGTGGTCCTCCTACCTCAGCTTCCCAAGAGGCTGGTCTTGCAGGTATGAATCACTGCACAATACCCCAGCTTTGTGAAATGTGGCCCTTCAGAGCAGCCAGGGTGCCTGGCAGTGGGTCTGGGCACACAGACAGACCAGGCAGTGTGGCTGTGAAACACAGCCAGCTGTGGAAGTGAAAGATGTCATCTGCACTGAGGTAGAAGGAAAAGGACATCACAGGGCTATGAGCAGAGGGGATGGCAGGGATCCCAGTGCGAGTGCACTGAGGCCAGGCTCAACCTACGTGTGGCACTGGCCTCTGTCAGCCACGCCACCCCGGCCAGGTTACTCTCTCAAAACCAAAGCTCATGTTCAACAACAAAAGAAGCTTCTCCAAATGAGGCACAGATGGGGACAGAAGCCTCTACTTCCACCTTTGTCCCCTTTTCTCAACCTGTCCCCTAGGAGCCTTCCAATGGACCTCAGGACCCCAGCAGATGGAGCCTGTCATCTCAGGCAGGGAGGAGAGAAGGCCTGGAGCCAGGTGGGCCAGAAAGGGCTTCCTCTCCAACATGGACCCGGCAAGGGAGGCGCAGCAGCACAGGCCCAGAAAAGTGTCCACCATGGAAGGGCATTTAATGAAGTATGCAGCGTCCATATGAGGGATACCAAACAGGCATTAAGAACCAAGTTTTTCTTTTTGAGACAGGATCTCGCTACATAGTTCAGGCTGACCTTAAACTCACTATGTAACCCAAGCTGGCCTCCAACTCCCAGTGATCCTCCTGCCTCAGCCTCTTAGAATGCTGGGATTACAGGTGTGTGCTACCACTCTCAGCAAGAAGTTACGCTACATCTTTGAAAGGATTTCTAATGGCACTGGAAACATGGTTAACTCTATGATATTGACTGAACTGAGAGGAACAGGATGTGATTCACCTTCAAAGACTGAGGAGAAAGACAATGAAAGTGGACATGGGCCTTTCTCCAGGTAGGGACATCACAGAAAGGTCAAACCTTCTTTGCACTTTCCAGGGTTTCTCGTGTCCCAATGGATAATGTCAGGACCTACACCCAAGGCCGCAGGGTGTGGTCCACAGGTCCCCCTGCCAGGCTTGGCTGAGGGCCGAACAGCAGCACGTCCCCTCCCAGGGCAGAGTCTAGCTCCTTGGGACACTCACAGATCGTCGTCCTCCTCAGCAGGCTCCTCCTCCTCTGCCTCACTACCCTGACTATCGTACACTGCTTCCTTCAGAGTGGAAGAGAGCTCCTGAAAATATCTGCTGTCAATGCCTTCCTCAGCATCCTCGCTGTCTCTGTTCATCCAGAGATTCTCCCACCGGCTGTAGACAGTAAGGGCGCGTCATAGTCACATCGCCCAGAGCTGCACTAATGCTCTCTCTTCAGGACTGCCAAGGAGCCCGGGCCCTGCCCGGAACAGGATGACCGCCAGGTGCAGCAGGCATCCTGCCTCTCATGAATTAAAAATGGCAGCCTGCAGCCACAGAGTCATCTGTGGCCACAAAATCAAACAGCAGGAACTCTGGGCTGGGCTAATGACATTAGCTACACATGGTAGAGCCCAGGCCAGACAAACTGCTTCAGAAAGAAGCTTAACAGCCCGGGGTGGGAAGGCAGCAGGATCACCAACCTCCTAAATCAAGCCGGCACCCACCTGCACAGTGACGCTGGGCTGGTAAACAACTCAGCCCTTCAATTAACCTTAGGGGACTCTGGAGGGATGTTGATGGCTCAGTGATGTTATGGGATCACACAAAGAGCCTCTAGTGCCATTATCTACCTCAAAGTCTTATGGGTAGAGGAAGGAGAGTACATGTGAGGTTGGAGAAGGAGGTGCAGATTGTTGTGGGGCTCTAGACTGTGAGGACATTTGTAGACTTAAATGTGACATTTGGGCAAGGGCAACAAAAAATGGGTCATAAAGAAGCTATGTATGAACAGCTGAGCACATATTCTGCCTGCCCAGACTTGGGAAGAAAAACTGAAAAAGGGAAAAGACAAAAACAGAGCCCAGTGAAGAGATCAGACTTCATTTCACAAGGGAATGGGTTTCCTGTGTGTACACCACACACACCAAAACTCGCACGCACACGCTTTGGGCTGGCCTACATAGCTCATCTGCTTAGCTAAATTGCTGGGATTCATTCCAAAACTCAAAACAGGCTTTTAAAAATTTTTTTTATTTAAATAGAAGAGCTGGGTGTGGTGGCAATCACCTGTAATCCCAGCACTCTCGGAAGCTGAGACAGGAGGATCTCAAATTCAAACTCAGCCTGGGCAATTTAGCAGGATACCTCCTCAAAAATTAAAAAGGAAGGCCGGGGATTTAGCTCAGTGGTTCAGTGCTTGCCTTGCAAGTGCAAGGGCCCGAATTTGATCCCCGGTACCAAAAAAAAAAAAAAGGGGGACTGGTGATGCAGCTCAGTACTAAAAAAAAAAAAAATTTTTTTTAGTTTAATTTTTAAAAAAAGGGACACTGGTTCCAAACAGACCAAGCAAGAGTACTTTCAACCTCTGGAGAAGAAGACTTTCAACCTCTGGAGACCTTGTAAAGAAGGAGAGGACACTTCTTCTTCCTAGAGCTCATCCAGTACCTGGAAGGGTTCCAGCAGATGGACCATATTGGGGACAGAGAGGCCCCTGGCCGCTCGATCTTCACCTTCTCCTCACCGTTCTTGTTGCGGATGCTGATGACCCCGTTCATCATCCCCAGGGCTAGGTACTGCCCGTCATTGGTCCAGCTGTGTGGGTCAGGGCAGAGGAGGGAACACAGGGCGAGAGCCTGGTTTGGAGGCAGCAGCAGCCTACCTTGGTTTCATCCTTTCTGCTTAGCCTTGACATACAATCAGAGGGACAGGCTTAACATCCCACTGGTTTCTAGGGTCTCAGGGAGCACAGAGGGCAGGGGCATCTCTCCAGTGAACCCCCTGCACTTTGTGCAGCCTTCCACTGGTGCCTGGGTCTCCAACCAAGGGTACTCCAGCCAGAGGCAGGTCGACAGACATGGCACACTCCCACGTTGTGCCTACAGGCTGTCAATGTGCAGAGCAGCAAGAGTGGCAGGTGTTTACAGAGTACCTGCCACAAGCTCACACCCTGCTATCAAGTCAGGACTCCAGGCTTCAGTCAGAGATCTGGTCACTTCCTGAGATCACAAAGCCCACTCAGCAACAGCACCTAGACCCTAACCTGGGTCCGGTAGCAGAGCCTACGCTTTCCCCCCAGGCAAGACCAGCACTCCCTTCCCAGAACCCAGTTAGCTTGGCCACTGGCTAAGGCTGCTGACTGCCTGTGAGTCTCCACTTGGTCCTTCCCACCGAAAAGGAAACAAAGGGCCCTGGCTGGGCGCTAACACAGGCCCCCCTGCTGCAAGAGTGCCACGCACAAGTCTGTCTAGAGGGGGAAGGAAGGTGAAGCCAGGCTTGGCATGGCCCTCCACTCACCTGCAACAGGTGATCTTGCTGCTGGACTTGTGCTTGGTGACTGACTTCTGCTCTGGGGACCACAGCCCTGCAGTGTACAGGAACAGCAGAGAGACAGGGTAGATGATACCAGCAACACTAAGGAAGAAGCCAGTGGAGCACATAGTAACTCAGAGATCACCAGGGCATGAGCCAAGTGAGGAAGCCAGCCTCAAGGGGACATACGATGATTCCCTTCATGTGACCTCCACGAATGATAGTTACCCAGGCAGGGAACAGATTCCTGGGACCATAGGAGGGATGACAGGAGGGGTCTGTGTAGTGGTGGCACAGCTCTGGGGTGCAGTGGTGGTGATCTACATGCATGATTCCATGACACACATACTCATGTGTCAGTCCCTGTTTCCTGCTTTTGGTATGTACATGAGATGGAACCCAGCACACGGGGTGGAACACGCCTATGATTCCAGCACTCTGGGAGGCTGAGACAGGAGGATCTGGGGATGTGGCTCAGTACAGACTCCTTAGGTTCAATCCCTGGTACTCACAAAAAGAGAAAGATGCAACCACTTGGGGAAACTGTTTGAGGAAAACACAAGATTTCCTATACTATCTTTGCAACTCCCCGGGAATCTATAATTATTCCAAGAGAAAAACGGTCAGTGAAACCGTGGCCAACTTGTTTAGGATTTGAGTCCCAAAGAAATGACAACTTTGCCATCATGACTGGGACACTAAAGCCAGAGTTCTTTTGGTACTTAGTAATGAATGACACTTTCTGAGGATCTAATTCCTTTCTCTAGTGCTGCAGTGCGTAACCTATCTGGCTGTACCCTTCCCGTGGCAGTCACCTGCCGCGCCCCCTCCGACCCTGACACCCTGGCCCAGCATCTGCAGTGACACGTCCACAACACATGCAAAATCTCCTTGCCCAGTGGGTAAGCACAAGTGGCCTGGGTGCCTAGTGCACAGGTGTTGCACAGCCAGGTGCAGCATCTGACAAGGTTCCCTCCCCTGGCACATCCACCTGTGTTCAGTGCTGCTCCCTGGCACAGGTCCCAGTGCCTTTGCCTCACCAGCCGCACTGAGTGACCCCAGTCATCCCGCAACCACAGGACACCAACCACAGGGTTGTCACCATCAACCCTGAGCAGGTGCCTGGCTCATCACAGGCTTTCAAAAGCTGTCATCAAATTGCCCAGTGAGCCAGGAGGTGGGTGACACAGGAACCCTCATCTGGTGCTGTCCCCTTGGCCCACAGCCACTCCGCACAGGCACCGGCACTAACTGGGAGTGAATAGCGATAACCCAGAGCCTCCTGCCCAACAGACACCTGCCAGGTAGATGGACACTGGCCCTGTACCGGCACCACGCCAGGCCCCACACATGCCAGGAACACAGCCTCAGCCACTGTACAGCCGATGACACGCTGCACAAAAGTGAGCCCGGCACTTGCCGAGTGCGATGAGAACAAGGGTGGAGACAGCTGACTGTGGATGCCAGGTCGGCCAGCAGACAGCAGCATGTGCCTGTGCCCTCCCACCCTCTTTCCCCTTCCTTCCCCGGGCCCTTCGTGTCATCCCCAGTGTCCTACCAGCCTCACAGTCATGCTGCCTCTTGGCCACTGAGGGAAAAGAAGGGCGTCACCCAGCTCACAACAAACCTACCACATATGAATGGGCTGCGGCATCTCAGCCCGGGGCCTCTGTTATTCCAGGGTGGGACCCTGGATGGACAGGAACCAGAACCTACCAAAGTCACTAGAGGAGCAGGAGGCCAGCTGGTGGGTGATAGGGTTGTAGGAGACGCACTGTATGGAGTCATTGTGCCTGGGAAAAAACAACTGCGGGTCATCACAAGCGGGCACAGGGATCTCATGGGCTGCAGTGAAGATGCTCGGTGAACCAAGGCCTAGGATACACCTCAAGGCCCTCTTCAAGGAGCCAGCGAAGGCCCAGGCAGCTTTGATGGCAACCTCCACCCAAACCTGCCCCCGCCCCGTGCTCCCAGCCAGTTTAGAGGCCACGTGCTCCAGGCCCCTGTGCTGGACACCTCCCCCTGGGGGCTGAGGGGCTAATGGATGCGCCGAGCAAGCACTGTGCTGGGTCTGTCAGTTATTCCTGGAAATCCAGGGTGACAGTCTGATCTGAAATGTCCCTCAAGTGTCACAGGTGTGGACAAAGGAGACTGCACTGGGGGGCGCTGTGCTCATCACTAAGGAGTTCAGTGGCTGACCTGCTGTTAGGAGGTGGGGCTGCTCCAGAGAGGGGTCACTGGGGGTAGCCTGAAAGGGTGGCTCCCCATCCTGGGCTCCTCCTTCTCTCTCTGCTTCTGGTCTGCTCCGCTGTGAGCAACTGTCCTCTGCCTCCTCTGCCTTGTCCCACTGCCTGGGAGCCACCAACCAAGGACTGAAACACTAACAAAATAAAGCTCTCCTCCTTTACACTGTGAGTGCTGGGTGCTGTTTCTCCATGACCAGAAAGTGACTAAGAGCCTAAGACCCAGGGCAGAGGGACACCAGTGCTGCTGGCTGAGGTGAGGGACTCGGCAAACCTGCAGTGAGGACCTGCCCCACCTCACCCCACCCCCGGGAACTGAACTCTTGAGTCCACACTAGAGGGAAAAGCTCTTCCAGGCTTCCTCACTACCGGGCTGTTGAGACAGTGGGGGCTGCCGGGTGGGCAGCCCGAAGTGGCAACTCACGTGTACTTCAGGATGCCTTCCAGTTTTGACGTCCAGATGATGACACTTTTGTCAGCCGATCCAGAAGCAAAGCGCTTGCCTGAAAGTGTTAAAAAAAAAAAGTCTCACATTTATTTTAAGCCAGGCTCTCCTGAGAATATTTCTTAGGAAACTGGTTCTATAAGGCGTAACGAGCTGCGATGCTAACTGATCTTGAGCTCACACGGAGCCGCACCCACCCTCTGCTACCCAAAACTGGCACCGGCATGTGTGCCCTAGCCCTGAGGTCAGGATGCTGGGTCCCAGAACTGTCTGGCACTAAGCACGCGCACACGTCCTATGCCAGGACTGAGTAGTGATTAAAATACACCATCCCACGGCAGCACAACGCACAACCGCTACACCTTGGAAATGGCTTACATCTGTCAACAGATGGACAGATAAAGAAAATGCAGCAGCCACACACAGTGGGGCACTACCCTGCCATAAAGAAGGGCAGCCCAGGATTTAGCTCAGTGGTGCTGCCACCTGACTCGCAGAGGCAAGGTCCCGAGTTCAATCTCCAGTACCAAAAAATTAGATAGTTAATTAATTAATTAAAAAAACAAAAATAAGCTAGGCAAGCTTGAGTCATCTGTAGGGAAACAGATTCACCTTAAGACCATAATGTGAAGTGAAATAAATCAGACACACAAGCTTAAATATCACCTGGCTTCTCTTATATGACAAACATAAAGTATAGCGGGGCGTGGTGGCACACGCCTGTAATCCCAGCACTTGGGAGGCTGAGGCAGGAGGATCACTACAAATTCGAGACCAGCCTGGGCTACATAGTTAGTTCCAGGTCAGTCTCAACTACATAATGAGACCCAGTCTCAACCCCCTCACAAAAAAAAACCCAAACAAAAATAACTCACAAAGTATAAAGAACAATATGAAAGACAACAGGAAGCCGGGCGTGGTGGTTAATCCCACCACTCAGAAAGTTGAGACAGGAGGATCTAGGGAGTTGGCCACATAGTGAGTTCAGGGCCAGTCTGAACTAAGAAGGGAGACCTTGCCTAAAAAAAAAAAAAACAAAGAAACAAAAAAAGATAACAGGAAGTAGGGAGGTAGATCTTTTGTGAAAGCAAAGCGGACCAAGAGGTGGAGGGGCTGGGGAGAAAGGAAAAGAAACAACAAAGGATTTAAAATGTGTTATGTACATGTCCCAACTCCTTTAGGTACCACAAACATGGACTCATAAAAATAAACAAATTAACTACAAAAATAAACTAAAATACACCATTCTTGCTTTCATGGAGTCTAGTGGAAGCAGGCATTGTTAAATTACCCAACACAAAGGCAATGTCTAAAAGTTGTGGGTCCTAGGACAGACAGTAAGTGGGGGACCTTATTTTATTTATTTAAAATTTTAAACTGCCGGGCGTGGTGGCGCAGGCCTGTAATCCCAGCACTTGGGAGGCTGAGGCAGGATTGCTGTGAGTTCGAGACCAGCCTGGGCTACATAGTGAGTTCCAGGTCAGTCTCAACTACATAGTGAGACCCTGCCTCAAAAAAACAAAAAAACAACATCAAAAAAATTTTTTAAACTATGTGTGGTAGCACACACCTATAATCCCAGCTCAGAGAATCACTGCAAGATCAAGGCCAGCCTGGGATACACAGTGAGCTCGAGACCAGATTCAACTATATGCCCTGAGACCATGTCTCACAAAGCCAAAATATAAATAAATAAAATTTTATTTTTGTTTGATGAACAGTAATTGTGTATATAGGTGGAGAACATTAAATAGAATAAATAGAAGCTGCTGTTATCTCAACAACCTATTCCTCTTTGATGTCTTGATACATGCATACACTGTCAAATGTTTGTATCAGGGCAATTAATACATCTATTATCTCAGATACTTTTTTCTGTATTGGGAATATTTAAAATACAGTATTTTAGCTGCGCAAAGTGGCCCATGCCTATAATCCCTGCTCCTTAGGAAGCTGAGGCAGGAGGTATGGCAAGCTTGAGCCCAGCCTGGGCAATTTAGCAAGACACTATCTTAGAGCAAAATTTAAAAAAAAAAAAAGAGCTGGGTGTTGCGAGCCATTCTGAGGCCTTAGTGATCCCATGATGCTGTAGTGCTCCAAGGCAAGATGACATCAGCATAAAATCCTCATGAACTCAGGATTATCGACACCCTCTAAGACATCTGATGTTCCCTATGAACCAACCCATTACACAGTGGCAAGCTCAGAGTGTCTGTCTTCGCCGCTCTGAGGCACTGACTGCCGGCCCCAATATACCTGAAGTTACACAAGTCTCGATGACCTTTTTTTTTTTTTATATATATATCTTATTGAGTTTATTGGTACTTTTTAAGTATATAATACAGTTACATTCATCATTGGGATCTTGTACCTTTACATGACAGATCTTGGTTCTCATTTTTTCCCCATACCCCTGCCCTCCCTTCACCCCCTCCACCCTCCTCTCTTTGCAAAGACTTTGTTTCCATTTTTTCCTTTTCTCATATTTTTTCTTGTCCCTTATTTCCTTTCCCCTACCCTTCCCACTTCCCCTACACCTTTAGCCCTTTTCTTCCTATTTCACATTATCAGTTATACAATTTGGATCTTATTTATACTTTTAGTTTTTCACACCAGAGAAACTATTCGGTATTTACACATCTGTCTTATTAATTTCACTTAAGAGTATGGCCTCAATATGCATCCATTTTCCTTTGAATGACTCTAGTTTCTCATTCTTTATGGCTGAGTAGTACTCCATTTTATAGAAAAACCACAGTGCTTGCTTCAGCAACACATATACTAAAATTATAGAAAAAACACATCTTCTTTATCCACTCTCCAACTGATGGGCAAATGGGCTGTTTCCAAGTTTTAGCTATTACAATCTGTGCCGCTATAAACATGGGTGTGCATGTATCACTGTAGTATGATTGTAATTCTTTTGGAAAGATACCCAGCAGAGGGATGGCTGGGTTAAATGGAACCTCTAACCCTGGTTCTTTGAGATATCTCCATATTGATTTCCACAGTGGTTGCACCATCTGCACTCCCACCAACAATGGAGAAGGGTTCCTTTCTCCCCACAACCCTGTCAACATTTGTTATTGGTTGATTTCTTTGCAGCAGTCATTCTTTGTGGGGTGAAGTGGAATCTCAGTGTTGTTTACATTGGCATCTCTCGAATGACCAGTGATGTGGAACATTTTTTCATATATTTATTTTCTGCTTTTACTTCTTTGTCTGAGAAATGTCTGTTCATTTCAGATGCCCATTTTTGAATATTTAGGGGGCCTGATTTTTTTTAGTTCTTTATATATTCTAGATAGTAGTCCTTTGTCTGAGAAGCTGGTAAACATTTTTTCCCATTTTGCAGGTTGTCTCTTAGCTCTGTTGGTGGTTTCTTTTGCAATGTAGAAGCTTTTTAATATGATGAGATCCCAGTTGTTGATTCTTTTTACTAGTTCCTGTGCTACTGAGGATTTGCTCATAGTCTTTTCCTATGCCAATGTCTTCGAGGGTTGTGCTTATCTTCTAGCAAGTTTAGTGTTTCTTTTTTAATATTTAGATCTTTAATCCACTTGGATTTTAGTTTAGTGCATGGCAAAAGATAAGGGTTTAGTTTTAATCTTTGGCGGGTTGAAATCCAGTTTTTCCAACACCATTTATTAAAGAGGCTATCTTTCCTCCACTGAGGCTGGTTGGCTCTTTTGTCAAAGATGAGGTAGCTGAGTACATCTGGATTTATCTTCCAGTCTATTCCACTGATCCTCAGGCCTGTTTCTTTGCCAGTACCACGCTGTTTTTATCACAGTGGCTTTGTAGTAGTTTCAAGTTGGGGATTGCGATACTCCCTGTCCTGTCATGTCTCTCTTGCCTAGAATGGCTTTTGCTATTCTAGGTCTCTTCTGGGTCCAAATGAATTTTTGGATTATTTTCTCTAGTTCTGTGAGATACACCACTGAAATTTCAATTGGGATTGCACTGAGTCTGTATAGCAGCTTTGGTAGTATGGTCATTTTCACCATGTTGATTCTTCCTACCCAGGAGCAGGGAACATCTTTCCATTTTCTTATATCCTCTTTGATCTCTTTTTTTCAGAGTGCTGTAGTTTTCAGTGTAGAGGTCTTTCGGTTTCTTCATTAGATTGGTTCCTAGATACTGCATTTTTAATAGCCTTTCTTTAGCCCTCGTAGCCCCACTTTCTAGGCAGTCGAAGGATTGATCAGCCTCTGACAGCTGGGGGTGGACTCAGTGGCAGAGTGCATGTCTAGCATGCTCAGGGGCCTAGTCCAATCTCCAGTATCCCATACTTATTTTTTCTTTTAGAAATTTTGAAATATATATTAACTATGGTCACCATGCTACGCATGGATCTTAAGAACCTATTCCTCCCATCCAGTTGAAACTTCCTACTCATTTTGTTTATTTGGGTTTTGTTTCTTATTTGGTTTTTTGGATGATTTTGTTTGTTTTTCCTGAAACGTTGTGCTCTTGGGTCAACATCTCCTGGGGGACCTGACTTAGATGAAAGCCTTCATAGAGGCCAAAAGGCTGAGAGAGCTTCACCAGGTGCAAGGAGGAAAGGCATCCACTAAGACTGAGTGGACATACAAAGGCCCTGTAGCAGGACAGGCTGGCACATCTAGGGGCGGGGCAGCAGCTGGCACTGCATGCTGAGGGCAAGGGCTGTACTGGCTATGACAGGACCTTTGGGCCCAAGGGGCCACAGTGGAGACCTTCCTGTGTCCAAAGACATGGGGTGCCATAGAAAGGTTCCAAGGAGACAGGCCACTGTTTACACTGCGAGGCTTTGTAAAGAGACGGACCAAAGCATGAGGCAGTAGGAAACAGAAAGGACTTATTGCTGTGTTGCCCCCAGGTCACAAGCACAGAGCACAGGGTCAGGGGCCAGGGAGGCGGCCAGCTGGACTCCACACACCTTTCACAGCATTCTCACTGCTCTGAGGGCAGGGGAGGTGACCATGAGCATCACTGCCCTTGGTGGGACACCCAAGTTGCCTTTCCTGGTGGCTGCAATGGCAGAGTTAGGGGGAGCCCTGAGACTCCTCTGTGAACAGGAAAGCAACAGAGCTACTCTCACTGACCACCACTCCTGCTCCTCCTCTCTTGAGCACAGCGGCAATGAGTCAGGCCCTGGCCAATGGATGGCACTGGCCAGCTGCACCGGTGACATGACCAGTGGCAGGCCACTCTGGGCTCTTGTTTCCTTGTGTGGAGAATGGATACAGCACCAGCACTCACTTCCTCACTGATGTGAAGACTGAATGCACACAGGTACACACACATACACATACAAAGTACTTGGATCAACGCCTGGAATAGAATCCATGCTAAACAGAAAGAGCTGTTCTCCCTACCATTCCTTCATGTTGTTTTATATTGTTTTCCTTGAATAAAGACACTATGTCTCGAATACTTTGTATCACAGTTGCTCATTAGCTGCTCATTAATTAAGTTTACAGGAGACCCGCAAAACAAGCAGGCTTAAAGAGCAAAACTGTACTTTAGTACATCTCGATTTTAAGGATAATGTTAAGGGGAAATAGTCTAGAGAAATTAAACTTATCAGGGAGGGGACATAGAAAGAAGAAGCAATAGTCCCTGTACCTTCTCCCCGTGAGGAATGTGACCATTATGTACTGCAAACATATGCAGATCAAAACAAAAACTAAGAATAGACAAATGGCCTGGAAAGGCAGCATAACATGTGAGAAAGATCAAAGGCATCATCCCCTCTTCCTCTCCCAAGGTAACCTGTAACTGCCCAAGCCTACTTCCCCATCTGCCAGAGGAAGCCAGAGTCCCCTTGTGGCCTGCTTGGAGGGCATGTGTGGCAGGGTCACTGCTATGGTGACACTCTGACACCCTCCAGGACCTTAACAGTGCTGCAGGCCAGAGGTCAACAGCCCTCTGAGCCCATGGGCCCTGCCAGGGGCCTCCAGGATGAAACAGGTCAGTTCAGTGCTAAGGTGCCTCCCACGGGTCTCCCTCAACCGGAAGTCAAACACTCACTGTGTAAACCACCTCAGCCACACACTCTCTAAGAAGCAAGTGAGGGCCGGGGATTTAGCTCAGTGGTTCTGCTGCCTGCCTCGCAAGCACAAGGACCTGAGTTCGATCCCCAGTACCAAAAAAAAAAAAAAAAACAAGAAGCAAGTGATCAGCCTTATAGCCAACCTACTGTATGACCCAAGCCACCTGCCTTCCTTCTCTAAGGGGCTGTAGGCCAAAGGGAACAGACTGGGTTACCTCCAGCTGAGGTGGCTGCAATGCACACAGAAAACAATGCCTACACCCACTGTGTGTGTGTGTGTGTGTGTGTGTGTGTGTGTGTGTTGCTACAGAAGAGCCTGTAGCTTTGATTTGATAATCAGAGCTCCACCATCCAGAGGAAGTCTGGGTCTGGTGATCTCCAAGGTGGGTCTGCCTATAGCACTTTGCCTCTGCAACTTGTGGCCATTACTAGCCCTGCATCCATCGCATACAGGAAGCAGAGACTGAATTTACTGACCAGCTCAGATACAGAGCTTCCGGTGCTGAGCTGGGGCTGGAAATGTCATTCCATAGCCCACGTTCTTCCCCTTGGCCCTCTGCTGGGGGGCAGGCATCTATCTGTAGCTCAGTTCTGTGCATCCACTCTCTAGCCATTGCCCCCTCCTGTCCAACCCACCTGGTGCCAGTTGCAGGAATCCCCCACTCCACGCCTCCACCCCACAGACCCCTCCTCCTCACCTCTCCTCAGATCTGCAGGTCAAACTGCACTCCTGATCCCCACCGCAGCCCTTCCCACCACAGGGGAGACCATGCCCGCTTAAGTGTGACCAGGCCAGAAATGCTGTGTCGACCCTGCCTGCTCTCCCTCACACCTGCTGCTCCATCAGAGATAACCCTGGGCTCCCCATCAAGAGTCCCCCACCCCGAGCCCTGAATCCCATTACCCTCACCCCTCCAGGCCCCACATGTACCCCCGCTGGGTGGCAGAGTCAGATCGACCTCTCCTCTGCTCAGAGCCTCTCAGTGTGTCCTGTTTTCAGGGAGAATCGTGCGCATTCTTCCACAGCTTCCAGGATCTGCTCCTCACCCCCGCTGCCCATCTCCCCGGCCCTGGCCCTCTCCACCATCCTTTGTGCAGCTTGAGCACCCACTCCCATGAGGGCTTCCATCACAGTGCTACCCTCTGCACTGAGCTCTCCTTCTCCAGTGCCTGCCACCTCAGGCCTCCAAGCCTTTGCTCAACCTGTCCCCCTCCCAAGATGCCCACCACCTGTACCCTGCTCAAGATGGCGCACAGGCCCTGCCCTCATCCCCATGCTCTGCCCACCTGCTCCTCTTCCATGGCACTCAGCATTTCTGGGCCATCCACTGCCCTCACCTGCAAGCTGGATTTTATAACCATGAAACGGTGGCTAAAAGAAACTGTGCAGCCACGAGTTCCCAGATGATGAGGTCATCTCAGAGCTTGGAGCCCGAACAGCTGCTTACCATCCTTTGCATAGGCCACGCAGTACACTGTGTCTTTGTGTCCCTTGAGGGGCTGAAGCAAGGTGCCATCGGAGGTGTCATAAACCTGCCAAACAAGGGACAGCAGCGCACATCATCTTGGTGGTATCTGTTACCCACAATCCCTGCAGGTGGCTACCGTGACTTTTGCTTTTTTGACAAAACATTCGTCAATATGCTAAATCTGCATATAAAAACCACACTGTGGGCCCGGGGATTTAGCTCAGTGGTTCTGCCGCCTGCCTCACCAGTGCAAGGACCCAAGTTTGATCCCCAGTATCAAAAAAAACAAAAAAACAAACCACACACACTGCAGTTTTAGTAGAACTAAAATTGAGTGTTGGTATCTAAGACATGGAGGCCCTAATCCTGTGCTGTGTGACCAGGAACATACAACTGATCATCGAGAAAAAAGATTTGCTTAGTCACTCCATCGATAAATGCCCAATCATGGCAGGCTGCCCTAAATAAAATCAACACATGTAAAGAGATAGTGGAGGGTGTGGCACATGCCTCTAATCCAGCTATTTAACAGGCTGAGGCAAGAGGATCACAGGCTCAAGGCCAGCCTGGGCAATTTAGGAAAAGCTTGTCTCAAAATACCATTTTTAAAAAAGGGCTGTGGATGTAGTTCAGTGGGAAATCACTTGTCTAGCGTGCTGGGGGTTTCAATCCTCAGTCCCACACACATAAAAGAAAGGGCCAGTTTAAGTTTACCACATGGTTAATTTTAGAGCTAGCACTGCGCTCTAGCATCAATATCACAGAGATGTTTTAGATTTGCTACCAAGGGTTTGAAAGTCTTTGTCCTGAACCCTGGGCTTTCAAGTAGGAGGAATGTTATAAACTCAGCTGCAAAGTGGATTTAGGGTATTTTATAGCTGTATAACATGTATAAATATGTGGAGATGTAAAAACCACACCATCTGAGAAATCCAGGCAAAAGTTCCTGCAGCCATTAGAATGCAGGAAATGACCTCAGAGGAGAGCTGGGGTTCAGGCTGTTCCCCAGGAGGGAAGGTGTCTGCAGAACAGTTTAACTGCAGTGTGAAGACCACACAGTTCCCACCCGACAAGACCACTCAGTCTGCCTATCTGGAGACAGTGAAGAGGGGGACTGGGTGGAGAAAGGGCAATCCTAGAGGTTTTTAAGTCAAACAGAAAGAGTTCTCTGGAGATCACTTCTGTGCACTGGGATGGGTTCCAGAGGGAGCTCGTGTCTTTTGAAAATATGAAAAATAGGCCAGTATCCATATGGAATTGCTTAGGTGGGCCAAGGCAGAAAGGTTGGGGTCAGGGTATGGGGCTCCTCAAGGACATGTGCCTTCAGTCCAGTTGCCAGCATTTTTCAGGTGGACAAAATACAAACTGACACTTGCCCAGTTTCAAAGACATTTTGATTAATTGTCTTCAACTCTTTCATGGTGTCACAAAGCAAAGAGGGAAAGATGAATGACTCCAAAGAAGGCATTGTTCACAAGTTCCCAGATGACAGACAATTTACTTACCTATTTTAAATAGCCCATTTCCTTCCCTATTAAAAAGTAATGACTGGTTTTTCCGCCCTTGCCTTTTTTATCTCCAAAAAGGGGAGGGGGGTCAAATTTCAGAGTACTTACAAGAGGGAGAAGGAAAAAAAAGCACTTAAAAAGGAAACTCAGACAAAATCCTACCAGTAATCTGTTTCCTGCAGCCAGAATCAGTTGAGTTCCATCGGGTTTAAATGCAAGGTCATAGATACTAAACAGGAGACAAGACAAAAAGACAATTAGGAGCCGACATGATGAGGTCTGCTAATGCACAGGAAAGCAAACTGCTCCATTAGGAAACGCCAAGTGTACACTGAGCTGAGAACTGAACTAGGTGGCAGATTCCATTCACCCACCACACCCGGCAGCCCATTCCATCAGGACTGTGGGGTGCTTGACTCTGCCCTGGTTTCCTCCTGTCCAGGAGCCAGATGCCAGAAGTGGTTCAAAGGTCAACAGTTGAGGGCACTGACTCTTCCAGGAAGACAGTGAAGACGGGACACCCTGAGCGGGACTGGACAGGCTAAGCACACTCACACTGGTATTGCTGACCACCGCAGGGTGCCAGGCACCAACAGATGTAAGCCAGGCAGGGAAGGTACAACCTAGTTGCCTTCCCCAGGATGAAGCCCCAAGTCTAAGGCACGCGCTTGTTTGTATCCCTGGGTTTGGGATGTGTCTTATAACTGACGGTAGGTCAGTTTAGCATTGTTTGCTTTTTTATTGAAATTCACAATAGCACTGTTTTATAATCAAGGGCCTCTTGGCCTAGGTGATATTCAAATCCTATGAAAACACTACTGGAGCTGCCCTGAAGCGTGCAAGATATTACTGGATCCAAGGGAGGATGGTCAGAGGTGGAGACAGCATGAGAAACAGCACCTTGCAGCAAACTGTGTGAATCAGGTGGCCTCAAGGACAACAGGGTAAGCACAGCTTTTCAGGTAAAGAAAATGGAGCATGCAGAGGGAACACAGGGACAGCAAGGAATACAGAGAACCAAATGGGACTGACACACCAGGGAGACGGACAGATCAGCTGGAGAAACAGGCCCTCGGCCACATCACAAAGAAGCCTGGCCACCAGCCACAAGGTATCACTGTCGAGTGAGAGGGAAAATGTGTCAGATGGCACAGTCCAGACTGCCTGTGGTACATTTAGCTGTTTATGTTTATGTGGATAAACGGCCTGGAGCGAGTCAGCACGTAAATGTCCACTCATACTCACATGCCTCAGAGCCCACCTGGCAGACGGCCTTGTACAGCTCTTCACGCACACCAGTGCCACCTCCTCACAGTGACTCCATGAGAGAGGATGTTACAGCCACTCTCGGAGTTCTGAGGGGTGGGCTCTGTATCTGCGCATCTAACCAACCACGGGCTGGAAATATCTGTGGTGAACGTGTGCACTCCGCTCCCTAGACAGTCCAGTGTGACACCGAGTCAGGCAGGAGGGATCATCCCGCGATGACTGCAAGTGTAGTATAGGCTCTGTGCCAGCGCTGTGCCCCACCTCCGTAAGGCATCTGGGCATCTTGGGTGCTGGCATCAGTGAGGAATCTGCAACAACCCCGGGATGTGGAGGGACAAATGTGCTGAGCTGCCTTGTTGTTGCTGTTGTTTAGCAGTACAGGGGACTGAACTCTGGGCCTTGAGCCCTTTTTATTTTTTTATTTTGAAATAGGGTCTTGCTAAGTTGCTAAATTGCCCAGATTGGGCTTGAACTTGTTTTCCTACCTCAGCCTCCCACAGTTCTGGGATTACAGACATGCACCTGCCCTGCCTAGCCTGTACTCAGTTTTGCAGGGGAGGGAACCATGGCACAGAGAGATTAAGTACCTCAGCCAATGTCACACAGCCAGAAGCAAAAGAGTGAGTTTATTTCAGCTTGGTCTGCCACAATACCGTACTACCTCCTCCCCTCGTGTTATGGCAGAGCACGTCATCTGATGCACTTGATGCTTCGTGACCAACAGTGGCTGCATTTGCTAAGCATATTTGTTCTGTGTACAGCTTAAATGCTTCACTGTTTTAACTCAACCTCACAATAGTCCTACACCTACTTTGCAAATGAGAAACTGAGGTACTGGAAAGTTAAACAACCTAACTAGAAACAAAGTGGACACAAGGCCAGGACTGATGCCCGGGCAGCCCAGCTCTGAGGCCCACAAGCTAACCATATACTTTGTGGCCTTCACTGTCACACAGCACACACTATGGGTGATGAAGTCGTAGCAAAGGCTCTCCCACCTTACCAAAAGCAAAAAGGAAAAGTATTATCACTGCCTCAAGACATTACATCATCTACTCAGGGATTTTTAAAAATGTAAAGTGGTAACTCACAAATCATAACTGAATATATTTATAAGGTGAATGTGATATTTTGATCTATGTATATTTTATATAGAGTAAATAACATACCTACCATCTCCAGTTTGTTTCGGGGGTATTTTGTTGTTGTTGTTGTTTCTTGTTTTTTGAGATAAGGTCTCTGTATGTAGCCCAGGCTGGCCTTGAACCTGTGGTGATCCTCCTGCCTCAGCTTCTCAAGTGCTAGAATCACAGGCATGTGCTACCATGCCTGGCGGCAACTTACTTTTTATACTGAGAATGTTAATAATCTATCTTTTAGAAATCTGGAAATGTGTGATGCATTAACTGTTGTCACCATGCATGCAACAGGCCACTGAAACTTGCTCCTTCAGCATAACTGAAACTGGGTGCCCTTTCCTGTCCCTCCCCACCCTCCCAGCCTCAGTGCCACCTTTCTGCTCCATATCTCTACAGGTGACTCAGGAAGCCCATGCTAAGCGAGATCACACAGTGCAGGCTTCATGGCGGCAGCAGCCTCTGCTGAACACAAACTCTCTGAAGACTCTACAGTTAGGAGTCACTGGGAAGTGAGCTGCATGACCTCACAGGACCTCTGTAACCTTACACTGGAGTAAATAGGGCAGGTGGCACCCACCCACCCACATGAGGAAAGTGAGGGGCTTGGGCCTGGTGGTGTATGGCTATAATCCCAGCACTGAGGAGGCTGAGGCAGGAGGGTCACTGAAAATTCAAGGCCAGCCTGAGCTATATAACAAGAACCTGACTCGGGGTGGGGGGGGGGGAAACGACAAGGAGACTGAGGTACAGAGAAGCTGTGAGGAGGGCAACAGTCAGTCATACAGCAGGGCAGCAGGGCATACCCTTAGGTGGTAACAGATCCAGGGCCCCTGGGCCCCAACAATTCCTTTCTTTGAGTCTGAAGGAACTGTGTCCTCTCCATGGTTCACATTATGAGGAGCAGCAAGGTGGTAGGGTGACAGGTAGAGGGGAACAGAGGCCAGGAGAATGATCCCTCACCTGCAGAGCAAGAGAGACAACCCCTCAACTTGCAGAGCCCCAGCCTGCAGGGCAGCCCTCAGAGTTGGGGGTCTGCTCCTCACACCACAGTCCTGGAGTGTGTGGGGGGCATGGCTCTCTGTCTGCCTGGATGGACACACCTGAGCTCAGCAGCAGGATCTCCATGTGGCCTCTCCCCCACAGGTCGTCTCGGTGGATCATTTCTGTGTTTCATTGGGGCAAAGCCTGAACTTACTCCTCTCAGAATTTCTTAGGATTTGCCTCCTTAAAATATAATACATGTCTGGTTTGCCCCTCCCCAAACTCTTACTGTACTCAGAATCTGCCTGATCCAGTTGTTTGCAGTTACATAGCTTTCTCTGTCCACCACCTCTGATGCAACTGTGTCTCCTAGTGATGTGTCTGCAGCTCCAGGGCAGTGAGCATGCTTTCCATGACACGTCTGTGGGTGCCAGAGCAAAGCAGGGACCCAGAAACATAAGGAACATAACTGCTGAACTGCCAAGATTATATCTCAAAGCCCTCAGGCTTTATTATATCCTGAGATCACAGAAGCCCAGAACTGAAAAGGACTTTGTTGTGTAGTCTCACGCCCCCATCTGGACAAGAATTCCCTCCAGATGGCCGCAGAGGCAGGCAGTCTGCTCTCCACCTACCCCCTTTTATGAAAAACACACACTATCAAGAAGGCCATCATCAGAGTCCAGCGTGGAGACAGAGCATGCGTTGTGCTCTCAACTGGTAAACTGAATCCACAGTCTTCACACCGAGCTGTGTCCCCAGTCTTTTTTCTTTTCTCCCTTTCTTCTTTCTCTGAGACAGGGTCTCACTAAGTCACTAAGTGGCCCGAGCTGGGCTCAAACTTATGATCCTACTGCCTCAGGCTCCCAGAATGCTACGATATTAATTGTGCACCCAACCAACCACCCACCCAGATCACTACCTTGGAGTCTTAAGTAAGTTATATCACTTCATCAAATCTCAAGTTCTTCGTTTGTACAACGGATAATAATTCTAACTTCACACATTGTTGTGCAGAGTACACAAGTTAAGTGCATGTGAACACATCTAACTACAAGACAACTATAAGTACTCAGTAGACACGAGCTAGTGTGAAGGAGGGAGTTACAGCAGATGCCAGTCTGGCCAAAGTCAGGCGCAAGCTCCACAGGGCAGCATGATGGGGATGAACATGGAGCAGAGCATTGAGGGTAGAACACCAGGATTCAGAGAAGAGTGAAGAGCACTTGGGGAGGACTTTTGGGAAGGAAAGTGGAGTCTCTGGCTGGACTCCAATGCGTAGATTGAAACATTAGCAAGTGTGGAGGGGAGAGGGCCAGGTGGACCACCTAGCAGGATGCGCAATGTGTCCATTGGGGTTTGTAGCAGAGCAATAGGATCTCAGCAGCAGATCCTAAAAAAAAAGAGAGAATTTTGCTGCCTTGTGACATTAGCCTGGAAGCCAAAGTGCAGGTCAGGAAACAGCGACTGGGTCAGTGGTGACATCTGGGACTTTTGGGTTCTATTTTTTAAAAATGTTTTTTAAAATCTCATGCTATCCAGCTGTGATTGGGTCTGCTGGGCTATGAAATCACCATGCCTCCTATTCTATCAGACAACCAACCTTCATTCCTCATTCATTTATTACTCATGAATGCATCTTGCACCAAAGAGTAGGAACCACTGACTTGACAATGCTCTTGAAGAGCTTGGAAATGAGTAAGACATAGCTACTGCTTTTAAAGGGTTTACAGATTTCTGGAATAAAAAGATTAAAAAATAAACCACCCAACCAACCACCCACCCAGATCACTACCTTGGAGTCTTAAGTAAGTTATATCACTTCATCAAATCTCAAGTTCTTCGTTTGTACAACGGATAATAATTCTAACTTCACACATTGTTGTGCAGAGTACACAAGTTAAGTGCATGTGAACACATCTAACTACAAGACAACTATAAGTACTCAGTAGACACGAGCTAGTGTGAAGGAGGGAGTTACAGCAGATGCCAGTCTGGCCAAAGTCAGGCGCAAGCTCCACAGGGCAGCATGATGGGGATGAACATGGAGCAGAGCATTGAGGGTAGAACACCAGGATTCAGAGAAGAGTGAAGAGCACTTGGGGAGGACTTTTGGGAAGGAAAGTGGAGTCTCTGGCTGGACTCCAATGCGTAGATTGAAACATTAGCAGGTGTGGAGGGGAGAGGGCCAGGTGGACCACCTAGCAGGATGCGCAATGTGTCCATTGGGGTTTGTAGTAGAGCAATAGGATCTCAGCAGCAGATCCTAAAAAAAAGAGAGAGAATTTTGCTGCCTTGTGACATTAGCCTGGAAGCCAAAGTGCAGGTCAGAAAACAGCGACTGGGTCAGTGGTGACATCTGGGACTTTTGGGTTCTATTTTTTAAAAATGTTTTTTAAAATCTCATGCTATCCAGCTGTGATTGGGTCTGCTGGGCTATGAAATCACCATGCCTCCTATTCTATCAGACAACCAACCTTCATTCCTCATTCATTTATTACTCATGAATGCATCTTGCACCAAAGAGTAGGAACCACTGACTTGACAATGCTCTTGAAGAGCTTGGAAATGAGTAAGACATAGCTACTGCTTTTAAAGGGTTTACAGATTTCTGGAATAAAAAGATTAAAAAATAACTTTTACACTTGACAGACTCTAAGTACCACAGAAAGAAGGGAACAAAATTCTATGCCAGGGGTTGAAAACAGTGTAAATCAGGCTGCATTCGGCCAGCAAATGTTTTGTTTGGCCCACATGATGTTTCATTTTATTTCTTCCAATTGGGTGCTAACATTTAAAAATTAGGACATTTCACATTAAAAACCAGGATTCCTAGCTTCTGGTAGAAACAGGAAGATCCAGGCACACAAGGCCAAATTCTTGCATGATAGTGCTTGGCAGGAGAGAGCAGCAGCTGCCCTTCAGGCAGAGCAGGAGTGCTCCAGTTTGCCTCCGTCTCTGCTACTCCTACTGCTCTCTGAAGCCATTTACTATCAGCTCTGGATACAACCACAGAATGAAAATGAAAAGAACTTCCAATAAAAAGAACTATTCAATCTCTATTAGCAGAGATGAGGACTGGGAAGTGGCTCAGTGTACTTGCCTAGCATGCTCAAGGTCCTGGGGCTAGCACTGGAAAAAAAAATTTTTTATTTAAAATAAGAAATTTAGGGCCTGGGATTTAGCTTGGTGATTCTGCCACCTGCCTTGCAAGCTCAAGGTCCAGAGTTTGATCCCTGATACCATAAAAAAAAAAATTTTTTTTTTACATAGAAATTAAAGATACACCAATAAGGGCACATGTTTCAAGTAGAGTACAGAAGGCTACTCCTAGAGAAAAAAGAATTCCTTGTGGAAGTGAATCTTACACCAAAGGTACAGGAGACTGAGCCAAGGGCCTTTGCACTGAGCTACCTCCTGACCATTTTTCTTTTTGAGATAGGGTCTCACTAACCTGTCCCACTCCTACAGCCATTTGTTTGTCACCTGTGCGACACAGGGGCAGGGGAGGATTTAACATAGTGGCTCACAGCACTGGCTCTGGGCTGAGGAAGACCTCATCTTGAAAGCTGGCTCCATCACTCACTGTATGACTGTGGCACATTATGCACCCTCTCTGTGTCTCAGCTCCCTCTTCTGTAACATAGAGGTAACTACAGCACCTTAGAGGCTGCTGTGAGAGAAAGTGAGATAAAAGGATATCGAATTCTCAGCCAGGGCTGGACACACAACATTAGTTATTCCCACAGCAGATCAGCACAGCAGACAGCAACTGTCCAAAGGGAGCTTTGAAGGGTGTTTAGGGTCTGAATGTGAAGCCTAAGAAGAGACAAGAATGTGAATGGCAAGTAATCTGCCCTGTGGCCAAAGCAGACTTCATGATGAAGCTGGAAAGACCACCTAGGAAGCTTCTGAAAGCGAGAACAATCAAGTAAGTCAGCATTTCCCCAAATGTACCCCTGCACAATGGACTTGGGTGAGAAAAATGAAATAGGGCATTAAATAACACTGGATAATAAGGTGAGAAAGTCATTTTTCTTTTGATTCTTTATCAAACTTTTTAACTAACAGAAAGCCTTGGCTTGATGCCTACCATAAGCATGCATCTGTCTGACCATCCTCGGGAATCTCGGGTTTTAGAGTTGTAAAGGCTCCCTAGCAACAGTATCTAGCTACAACTTCGTGACACCATTTTCTTTCTTCCTGCTTTAAATTACACTTATCTTACAGTAAACGATATCGATGCTCCACACTCGAAGGAGCTAAGTTTCCATGCAAAAAATAAAATCAAATTCAGCGAAAATAAGTGAGACAACTGCAGGAGAACGCCGAATAAACAAGAGTATGTGGGTGACACGGAGACAGGCGCCCGGGACGGATTCCGGGCAAGGACAAGTATTACGCGTGACCTCGCCTTTGCAGACCCTCGAGATCCCCTTGACCCCGCTCCCGGCCTCATCTTCCCCACCTCCGAGGCTCCCAGTTAGGCCTTGGCTCCTAGTCGGTCCTCTGCCTAGGCTACAGGCCCGTTGCCACTGGCAACCAAGAGGCCTCCCGCCATCCATGCCCGGGCTCGGCCTCCTGCTCCCCTCGCTTCTCTGAGGCCGCCCTGTTCCTCACCACTGCTCCGCTTTATCTCTCCACGTCAGCACGGCCCTCATTGCGGCTTCCCTTACGCCTCGGGCTCCTCCTTCCCGCCTCAGCAACAGTCGCCTTTTGGCTAGCCACTTTGGCTACCAGTACTACCCCTGGCAACGCACATGCGCAGTGAGCTACGCGCGAGAACGCAGTAGCTCCAAGGGCGCTAGTCTAAACCGGAGGAGAGCCCAGAAGGCCAAAGCGCAACTCCGACATGCGTGATTGGTCAGTGTGGGCCAGGGCGTGGCTTCTTTTCGACGAAGAACTTGATTGGCGGAGCCAGGGAAATGGCGGCAGTGGCTGAGGAGGTGGCTGGAAGTCAGCTCTGGACTGTGAGGGACCTTCCTAGCGTCTCCGGACTGAGGTTTTCCTGTTCTCCTGCTTTCCTAGCCCAAGACGCTGCCCGTCTCGCCCCGCTGCTGCAGCCAGGCCCCGCGGGAGGGGACTGCCAACATGGCGAGTCCGAGCCCGGGAGACGGCCAAGGAGTCTCCTACGAGCGCCAAGCCCCAGAGCCTCTGAGTGACCTCCGGCAAGTTACCGCTCCTTGAGCCTCAGGGTCGGCACCTGGAAGGAGAGGGCGGGATGGGCGGTGGAGCAGAGGCTTGGTTTCCTGGAGCCACTGTGGCGCTCCGTGGGGTACGCGCGGTGGGGGTCCAAACCAGAAGCGACCTGGGAAGGGGACCTGCCGCGTTCTGGTGTGTGTGTCAGACGAGGAATCATTTACCTACTTATTTTTTCAAAAATTAACCCTCAAAGGGCCGGGGATTAGTTCAGTGGTGCCGATGTCAACCTCGAAAGCACAAGGCCCTGAGTTCGATCCCTGGTACCCCCCCAAAAAAACTCAACAACAAAAAACTACTTTGAACGAAACATTGAATTTTTGCAGATGAAGAAACGCAACTTTGAGAGCTTGAGTGACTCACTTGCTCTTGGATACCCGATTGGTAAAGGGCAGACCTGGGATCTGAGCCTGGTTTATTGATATTTTAAAAAGTGCTCTGATTTCAGCAGGTTCCGTTTTCCTTATCTCTAGGTAAATGACATTATTTCATAAGATCCACACAGCTCTCCCAAATCTCATCAGAAAACCATGATTCTGATTCTTACCAGTTACTGTTTCTTGCTCAGTTTCCCTACTGGTAGAAAAGAAGTTGGGTTAGATTATGTCTCTAGACACATCCACCTGTTAAAGTGTATGATTCAGGGCCAGGGATTTCAGTGGTTCAGCTACCTGCTTCACAAGCACAAGGTCCCGAGTTCTATCCCTGGTACCAATAATTTAATTAATTAATTAATTAATTTTAAAAATGTATGATTCAGTAAGGTACACCTTACTGAAGCTCTTCAGTAACAGCCCCGGTAAACAGTGTGAGACCAAGATTTAGTAGAGCTGGATTATGATATCAGTTCTGCAACTAATTTAATCTTTTTGTCACTCAATCTTCTTAACAAAGAGTAAATCTTATCCTACCTATCTCACAAGGTTATGAGGATCAAGAATGAAGGAGATTTGAAAATTCTTGGCAGAAATTATTTGCCTTTGGGACAGTTACAGGATCTGATAAAGGTAACAGATACTGTCCCTCAAAAAAATGCAGAAGAGGACTGGGGATTTAGTTCAGTGGCTCCGCTGCCTGCCTCGAAAGTGCAAGGACCAGAGTTGGATCCCCAGTACCACCCCCCAAAAAAAAAAACAGAAGAAGAAGGTTGACTCACTGATTCCTTAAACAGTTCTTTGATCTCAGGTCAAGAGCTGAGCTGCTGGTTCATAGCCTGAAATGTAGCTCAAATGGCACCAAAAATCTTTAGCTCTATTTGATGATTGACTCAAAAGTTTTTAGCAAGTATCTTGAGCTTTTTGTTGTGCAGAGATTGCCAACGCTTTTTTATATTTGTTAGAGGATAAGGAGCTGTGTTAGAGGATAAGGAGCTGTTGGAAAATAGAATGATTCGCAAGAGACTGGTCCATGCTGGCTGCAGATTTTGATCTGAGTGTTCTGTGTGGGTCCTGCACTGTTGTGGATTGAAATTGAATAAACAAAAGAAAAGAAATTTTCAATGTTAATCACTGTGCTTTGTTTTCCCAGTGAGGAAGATGGTGCTACAGGTTTGGAAAAAGTGGAAAAAGATGAAAAACAAATGGTGATAAAACGAAGCAGAGAGTGTAATGCCCTGACACAGAAACTTATTGCTTCTACTCAGTTTGTTGGTGCTGCAGTGACAGAATGTCATAAACCTGTCCTCTGTGGATGGGAAAGGATTGTGAAGCAAAGGTTATCCGGGAAAACTGCAGGAAGATTTTATGTGTACTTTATCAGGTAAGCACACAAGGTGGGAAATAAAGACTGCAGCCAGATAATTTTGACTAGAGAGGTAGTGGGAACACATAGTAAGGATCTTGGTTTATTTGTTTTTTACCATAACTATTGTGGATTCTTCTGTTCCTTTGGTGACACTGATTAGTTATATCAGGTGATTTGGGGACATTTACACATTGTCCCTCCTACTGTGAATGGTGCAGTTGCACTTGTTATATTTATGAATTTATACTGCCATAGAGAAAACTATTTAAAAGTACCCTTTTACGCCGGGTATGGTGGTGCACACCTGTAATCCCAGCATGCGGGAGGCTGAGGCAGGAGGATTGCTGTGAGTTCGAGACCAGCCTGGGCTACATAATGAGTTCCAGGTCAGCCTCAACTACGTAGGGAGACCCTGTCTCAAAAAATCAAAATAAAATAAAATTAAATTAAATTAAAGTATCCTTTTTATTTTTTTGCTTTTGTTTTTTACTTTCAAATGACAAATGCTTGTGGCAACATTTGGAAATTATTAATTAGAACTCTGAAACCAATCCATTTCTTTTAAAAATCATTGCTAATTACTAGCAATAAGTTTCCTTTAATATCATTTTCTAGCCCACAGGGACTGAAGTTCAGGTCCAAAAGTTCACTTGCTAATTATCTTCGTGAAAATGGAGACACAGCTCTAGAGCCAGAAGATTTTGACTTTTCTGTACTTTCTAAAAGGAACATCAAATCAAGATGTAAAGGCTCTAATGTGGCAGCCCTGACAGCCCAACAGCAGAATGAAAGTAACATTTCAAACTGGAACCTTCGGACTCGAAGCAGGTGGAAAATGGATGTTTCTCCTCTGCCAAGTAGTATTTCAGAGTTGCAAGATAACAGAGGACCATCCAACCTTGATTCCATCGGTATGCCTTTGAAAGAAGAAGAGCACGTTAATGGTGTTAGCTCTGATAAGGTTAGGAAGTTCAAAGGAAAAGTGACTGTTTTGAAAGGAATTCAAATTAAGAAAACCAGAAAACAGTGCAGGAACAGTCTTTCAGATTCTCTCCAAAGTAACACAGAAAGAGACTCTGTGTTTAATAAAGCAGAGGCTAAAAGCACATCTGTTACACAAGGAAATTGGCTTAATAGAACTTTGTGCATTTCTGATGCCACAGCAGCCAGTGGTACCTTCAGTGTGACTGAGAAGGAAAAGAGCCTCATAAAAGAAAAATCACCAAGCTCAGCATCAGATTTTCATTTTGAGCAAATAACGTCTGGTATCACAAACAAATCATGTCCAACCACAGAAGCAGAACATGAGAAGTATGAGGAGAGCTTTTTAGAATCAGAGGAAATGAGAACAAAAGTAGAAGACAGACAAAGAAAGGAACATTTGCATACTGACCTTTTACAGTGTGGCTCTGAAGTAGACAACAGCTGCTCACAAAGCAGGAAAGACTTTACTTCTGAGAAAATATGTACAGGTATTAGATGCACTGAAGTGCTAGTAAACATGTGGTAAAGAACTTCATTCCCAGACCTTGTATTCATGCCTGTACATGGTTAAATGTGAGAATAGCCTGAAGAATTAGGACCATGTATCAGATGTAGTCTCCCAATTGGCCCTAATACCTAGCTGACCTGTGAGCCATCCTGCTGATCATAAGCCCCCTTCCTGTGGCAGAGAAGGAATTAACTGGCTACAGCCGCAAAGAGCCTTGTACCAGTGACATCTCCTGCCGTCTCTTGGGATAGTAGCTGGTCCCCAGCAATGCTGCCTTTATTTTCCAGCCTCTCTACAGCAGTAGTTTAAGACTTCAAGAAAGCCAGGCGCGGTTACGCAGCACTCTGGGAATCTGAGGTGGTAGGGTTGCAGGTTCAAGCCCAGCCTAGGTAATTTAGTGACTTGGTAAGACTCTGTCTCAGGATTTAAAAAAAAAAAAAAAAAAAAAACAAAAAAAATGGGGGGGAATCTAGTTCAGTGCAGAGGCCTTGGGTTCAATCCCTAGCACTGTTTTAAAAAGGAAAACTAGCCTCTCGTGAAAAATTTGGGGAATTTCCTTTTATATATAAACTGATTGAGAAGAGTCATGCCACTCCTGTTATTACAATTGATGTGTGATTTCCAACTTAATTTCATATATATCACAGTTTTTTTTTAAATCAGTTCTTTTTGTCTTTTAATATAATGTATTGCTTCTCTAAAAGGCCTAAAAGCTCTAAATAATTCAAAAGTATAATCATGTAGTTCATCAATTATTTGTAATATGCTCTTAATACCAACTTTAGCACATAGCAACTTTGCTTTTCTGATACCTTGGTGAATAATAGATAAAAAGGAGACCTTTTGAGCACCCTATATTATTCATTATGCCACTGTGATGTAGTGAATAACTCTTAAATAAAGGATAGCAGTTTTACTTAAAACCCTTGTGGGGAAGCAGCAGAGGAGGATCATGGGGCCTGACCTGATTCCTGCTCTCCTGCTGTCAGTCCCACCCACAATTTGATGTTGGCTGTTTTTGCTGAGGAGGTGCAGAAGAATTCTTCATGTCTGTCCTTGAGCTTCTTAACGCATTCAGATTTATGTAAATTTATTGCTAGCATAATGGGCAAATTAAACATTTAAAACATTCTTTTTGTAACTAAGATGGAAGTACTCTTATTCATCCTATGCATAAGTCTAGTTCTCAAGATGAAGTACACTGCCAGGATGGTGCATACCACCTTAATCCTAGTCACTGAGGAGGCTGAGGCAGGAGGATCTTAAGTTTGAACTCCATTCTGTCCTTGTGCCTCAGCCTCCAGAGTACTAGGATTACAGGCATACATCACCATGCCTGGTTTTTCAACATTAAAAAAATAATAATCCAGGGACATAGCTTAGTGGTGGAATGCTTACCTAGCATGTGCAAAGGTGTGAGTGCAGTCCCCGGCATTGAAAAAAAAAAATCCTCAGGTTACTAGGAATAGTAAAGTCTTTCCTATTGGCCTAGTTACTTACTACCAGGAAAACTAATAATAAAGGAGGCTAGTTAATAATTATTCATGGGAACCCACAGAAAAGGTTATCAAGTAACTAGTACAGCAGCTTCCTTTGTTCTGTTTACCTTCTCCTGGGCTTTACCTAGTCAAACTGGAATATCAAAAAATACTGAACTACTTCTCTGCAGACCTGGCCACCTGCCCCAGTGTATAGTCAATTCCAGTGTCACTAGGAGATAGTTGCTTAATTTCTAACTCCTATGTTTCTGGGTTTTGGTTGGTTTTTTTTGTTTTGTTTTTTGGTATCAGGGATCGAACTTGGGTCCTCGCACTTACAAGGCAGGCGGCAGCGCCACTGAGCTAAATCACCAGCCCCCTAACTGATTTTTCATCTGTAAAAGGGAGATAGTAACTCTCACTAGTCCCCCTTTTCGGTTGTAAGCTAAACTGAGAAGTGAAAAAGATGACTTCACACTACATGAGTAGAAGGTATTATTAACTGACATTCAAATTCAGAGCGGCGTGGCTACAGAGTATTAACTGTCAGTTTCAGAGACTACAAGTCAGCAGCACTGCTTCCCAACAGGTGCAGCTTACCAGTAGGCAGTGGTGTTCAGGTCCAAATTGTACGTCTTCCGGCCAGTTCTGTTTTGTTTATATCCCTTTTTTGATAAAATAAGTGTTCACTGCAGAAATTTTGGGAAGTTGGGAAAATAAAAGAAGAAAAACTACCACTCGCAAATAATCATACCATTTTGGTTCATTTCATTCTTAATCTCTATATGTGTATGCATACATATATGTGTATATATATATTCATAAAATTGGGATTATATATAGAATATTAGAATTAATGTCACAGGTAGGTATTCATGATACAGTCTCAAATATTCTAATGACCACATTATATGGGTATGCTGTAATTTAAAATATTCTATCCTGCTCCCATGTTCTTGGAACGAGCTCTTAATGACGTGGATCAGGGAAGGGACTCAGACTGGACTGCCTGGATTTGCATTTTAGCCTCATACCAGCTATGTGACCTTGGGCAGTTTACTTAGTCTTCTGTGCCTTAGTTTCCTTGTCTGTGAAGTGGAGATAAAATAATACAGCACTTATAGGTCATTAGTAGGATTGGTCACTAATCTGCACAGGTGCTCAGAATAATGCCCTGAATGTGTTACAATAGTAGTTGAATTATTGTGGTGATTATTATCATCATTGGATCCCTGAGCGTTTCTTTAGGCTAAACCAGACCTGGTATAGTCTCTGTTCTTTCCTTTCAGAAGAAAGCAGCCCGCGAACACACACAGAAAAGCGGAAGACAAGCCAGTACTTCTCTAGCAAGTATAGCAGAGAAGGTAACCCTTCTGGGCAGAAGGCGAGGCTGTGAGTCTGTTGTGCATGCGCAGCTCTGAGGTAGTGTGTTTGTTTAGCTCTTAGCCCTCCTCGACGCAAAGCCTTTAAGAAGTGGACCCCGCCTCGGTCACCTTTTAATCTCGTCCAAGAGACACTGTTCCATGACCCGTGGAAGCTCCTCATCGCAACGATATTTCTCAATCGGACCTCAGGTCTGTGGGATATTCTCACCTGTATTAATAGAGACAGTGATGGAGAGAAAGAACCCTGAGTAGACTGAGGGGTTTCAAGGTCGTTTTGAGTCCACATGGCCTCGGTTAAGGCCTTTGCCTCAGACTCTGCACGCGTGAGAATGTTAGACCACATGGCACGCTACAGCCCTTTCAGGTCTTCAGTTAGCTCCTCCTCCACTTTAGTGTTTGTCTTCAGTGAAAGTCAGTTAATTAACATTTCTGCACCCTCCTGTGTAAGAGCATTTCCATTTCACAGAGTGCCCTTTGTGTTCTGTACGCTGCTTCTACACTGGTCATCCAGTGGTCTGATTATTTGAGACTGGTGTCATGCACAGCCAGTGTCAGTATAATTTAAGCTGTCAGCCAAGTAAATGTGCTGTGTCAGTCTTTGACTCTGGAAGTGGCTGCTGGTTCAGATAGTGGCTTTTTGCCAATGGCTAAACAAACCAAACCTCCATGTGAGCTTTTTAGATGAGAAGCCAGCTGGCCTGAGTAGCCCTCTGGGAGTTTGCCAGCCTGTAGCTTTTGCACTTCCAGGTAAGATGGCAATTCCTGTACTCTGGGAGTTCCTGGAGAAGTACCCCTCGGCCGAGGCAGCGAGAGTTGCAGACTGGAGAGACGTGTCGGAGCTGCTTAAACCCCTCGGCCTCTATGAGCTCCGAGCCAAAACCATTGTCAAGTTTTCAGGTATGTTCCTGACACCCCCGAGGGCGGGGGACAACTTTGTTTCTTTTTGGGGGAAGGTGGGGTGGTTGAGACAGGTGTCATGGACAGCCAGTCCTTGCTGGGCAGTTCAGGCTGTCCTTAATCACTGACCTAGGCTGGCCTCCCAACTCACAGTGATCCTTCTGCCTCAGCCTCCCAAGTGCTGGGATTACAGGCGTGTGCCACCATGCCAGGCTATAATTGTTCTTATTTCAGAGAGCCACACCCTAACCTGTAATGTCCTCAGGTACTACATTAACAGGTGACCTGATTCACACACCAAAGGGACACAGGAACAGCTGATTGGCCCAACTATAGTCTTCCACGGACCCAGGCAGCCAGTCTTGGCCAGCCAGGGGTCAGAAAGAAGTCGCGAAGTGGGAAGCCCAGTCCTCATGTGTGTTACCTCTGTGGAGCACAGCCCAAATCAGTATAGGAAGTGGCAGTGACTAGAGTGCTTGGAAGGGAGAACAAAGTGCAGCCACAGACAAAGCTGTGTGAGGGCATCTAATTCGATTTCCTATGGCAGATATACGACACCCACAATTTAAGGAGGAGGGACTTATTTTGGCTGTTTTAGTCCATGGTCAGCTGGCTTCCAAGTAGGGCAGGCAAGGCAGAGAGATATGGGTCCTTCTAGGCCACGCCCCCAACAACCTGCCTCTCGAACTTGGCTCTACCTCCCAACATCACATTAGCTCTGAACTCCTCAGTGGGCCAATCCGGGATCCAGCCACCTCCCCAAAGCCCCACCTATAACTGCATGAGGCTTTGGGGGGACATACAGATATGAACCATAGCAGAGGGTGTCTTTCTGCCCGTCCTACACCCATCACTACTCGGAGGGAGGCATCCCTGTGGCGACCTCCCTTTGGGACATGTGTTCTCCAGATGAGTACCTGACGAAGCAGTGGAAGTATCCGATTGAGCTTCATGGGATCGGCAAATACGGCAACGACTCTTACCGGATTTTTTGCGTCAATGAGTGGAAGCAGGTAGGGCCCACTTCCAGCTGTGACGTTTCCAGCATGTTGGGGAGGCAAAAGAAGGCACTGTGTGACTAAAACTTACAGTTCTGTTCCCAGCTTGAGGGCAGCAGGTGGCTGGTACACTGCTCTTCAGCTGTGACTCTGCCTAAAGCGTCCCGCCCTGGAGCTGGTCCTACACCAGGCACCCCCCGCCCCGCTGACCTGAGTACCCCTCAGCCTCTCAGTACTTGAACCTCCTTCTGCAGAACGGGGTGTTAACCCCAACTCCCTACACCCCAGGACTGGATCAGTGCTGAATTTCAGTGTTCTGTAAACTGAGTGATTATTTCACTATAAGATGCGTTATTTTGTAAACATTCTCTAATCCTGCAGGGTTAAAGGTCATTGTATATTTCAAGTATGTGACCCTAATTACCTTCCCCACCAAACCTTTGCAAACCAGTTTTTAAAAGTATATTTTTAGCTGGCTGACCTAAGTCCTCTGCCTCTGACTGCCATATTTCTTCCAGGTACACCCTGAAGACCACAAGCTGAACAAGTACCATGACTGGCTTTGGGAAAATCATGAAAAGCTGAATCTTTCCTGAAGCCTTTGTGTGCCCTAGACTCTCACACTGTGCATTGCACCTTGCTTTCTAGGCCCTCTGCAGAGCAGACCAGCCACCTTTCCAGTGAGTCCAGCCCAGTGCATGCTTCCTCCGCTCGTGTGCTGCTGGTGGGGCTGTTACTGAAGGCACTAGAAGATTCTTTGAGATGTAAATAACAGTTCTAAACATATATGTGACTTTTCAGATACTGACACTGATGTAAAGATTTAAAAAGGCTTTTCTACACTACCAGTAATGCAGAGCACATTTCTGTCAACACTGCTAAAGATTAGACTTCCTGTTCTTTCTATACAAAATAATATGTACACAATTGTTACATGGAGAATCATAGAATTTGTCATTTTTATAGGTATTATAATATCGTAATTCAAATACTGAAAGACTTCCCTTAGAATCACAAACAGAATCATCCTAAATTACTAAATCTTAAATGATCTCCATTTTAACGTATAATTTGAAAATAAAATTGTACCTCCCTCTCCCCAAGACAGACATCCCCTTCATAAGGACCCAACCTATTTTAATTCAACAAAATACATTCTTAAGCCATGGTGGTGCACACTGTGATCCCAGCCCTAGGGAGGCTGAAGCAGGAGGATTGCCTAGTGTTGAAAGCCAGCTTGGACCACGTAGTAAGACCTCTCTCAAAACACCAAAACAAACAAAAGTATGTTCTAGCACATTCAGTAACCAAGAGCTGTCTGTGGTGCATGTTAAGAAAATCCAAACCAGGCTTCTCAGTGGACCACTGAAAATCTGTGCTGGTTTGCTGGTAGAGCTCATAACATTGAAGTACAGAGTATTCAAAGGTTTTACAGATTAAATTAAGTAGAAAATCAATAAAAATGTTATATTTTTTTAAACTTTATTTATTTATGGTACCAGGGATCAAACTGGGGACCTTGCATTTGTGAGGCAGGTGTGCTGTCACTGAACTAAATCCTTGGCAAAAACATTGTTTTTTTTAAAGCCTCCAAAACAAATAGAATTGCTGTGGTGTCTTATGTCCTTGGCAGCTGCCCCATCTCTGGAATTGTGGACTTGAGCACCCAGCTGAACATAGCAGCATCTGTCTTATGCCCTCTGCCCGAGTCTTCTCTTTGGTGGGAGGATAGGGCCTTTCATTTTTCAGGTTGCTTATATTACAGGTTTTCTGATACTCAAGCACTGAAACACTTATCTTAGAACTCATCAAGTAAAAAGTCTTGAATTAAGTCTTAATTACAAGTCACCAGTTTGTTTGAAAATTAAACAGTATGCTGGGCTTGGTGGTACACACCTGTAGTGCTAACATTCGAGGCCAGCCTGTCTCAACAACAACAACAAAAAACTCGAGTTAAAGAAAAATCAATTTGTATGAGGCAGGTACAGGCTCAGCAGTGGTTTCCTTTAATGAGCAAAGTGTTAGACTTCAAGAGAACAGGAAAAGGCCTCAGCTGCATGCCTCTTCCCAAGACAAACCTCCTCCATCACTCCTATCACTTCAGCAAGCATCCAGTAGCAGTTCACCAAGGGTAGAGGCCTGCAGGGACCCACAAGGGGGAGAGTTGGCAGGTAGTGATGGACAGGAGCACGTGGGGAGGTGTAAGAGCGGGCCACGTCTCAGAGGTGGGGTGCGGGGTGGGCACACCAGGAGTCAGTACTGACCAGGATGGCCCAGCAGATGAGCTGTGTGACTGGACAGAGCTCAAGTCCCTCCGGGCTACCCTGGCCCGGTGGACCCCTGCCTCTCCTGCAGGTAAGGTTTCCAGCCTCTGCCTGACCCCTACCTTGGAAGGGGCAGCGCTGTCCCTCGAGTGTACGGTGGTGAATGGGTCCGTGCCAAGGCAGCAATGGATGCCAAGGCGGGGTGAGTGTGGCGCCGGCCCCTCCCTCACTATTCCAATCTGCCTCACCCCAGAGAGACCCCAGCCCGCTCAGGTCAGCCCCACCCATGCGCCGAGCCTTCCCTCTCCTGGGTGTTTCGGGGCGGACTTCTCTCCCAGAGCACCACCTGCAAGGTTCCTCTGAGCTGTGGCGCAGATCGGGACTGGATTCCTTCCTGTGGCCCGCATGGATGAACCTGGCTGTCACGATGGACGTTTCAAGCTTCACCTTTAATGCACTTCCAACACGAAGCACCCTGCCTCTCCGGCCAGGATGTGGTTTTCTACAGCCGCCGTAGGGAGCAAGGACCGTTCTTTGCATGAGAAAATTACAGCCTGCAGGTAAGGAGATCTGCGAGATCCCAGGGTCCACACAAAACCAGGACTTCTAAACTCAGGCCTCTGAGTTTCGCCCTCCAAGACGTCCTCAGCTTATTCCCACATCCGGGTGAGTAGTGGCGCTTGGCCAATCAGTGCTTGGCGTCCGTAGCCACGGCAACAGGCTGAGTTCCGCAGTGCAACCCTGAAATTCAGAGTTCAGGGCTGTGTTCGGAAGCCTGGAAGCCTCGCAGCGCCGCCAGCATCTACACCCGCCTAGGTTATGGTCGAGTCCTACGATGTCTACGACCGCCTGTGTTCAGCGTGCTCGGTGGGTCCCAGGCCTGGCTGCAGAGTGCCCAGGACTTGGGGAGAGGGAACCCCGCAGCTAGTGAGTTCTCATTGTGCCGTTTCCTCCAGGGCAGCAGTTTCCTGGGAGTCGGGAGGTTGTGTGAGCTTCTGAGATGTCCACACCCGGCCCTGTTGCCAGGTCTGAAGCCAAAGTGTCACCTCCGGAAATCCCCCGTGGATACTGGTGAAAGGGCGCGGGGGTCATGCCAGTCTGCGTGCCTGTGTTGGCCACGGCCCCAGGGACCAGCTAGCTGGTGGCAAAGCACTGCAGCCTCGGGGGGTGGCGGGCAGAAACAAACAGATAATCACAGAATACAGTAACGAGAGGTGCTAGTGACGCCCAGGGCTGAGATGTGCCCTCTCAGTACAAAGGGTGTGCAGGACCGGCTCCAAGCTCCTGGAAAAGACCCTTACACCGGGGCGTACAGGATTAAAGGGAGTTTCGGAACCAAAAGGAAGTGGGGGAGAGCGTTTGAGGCCCAGGGGCAGAGCCCTGGTGTACTCAGGAGACTGCTGGCAGTTAATGTCTCTGGAAATGTGCTAGGGAGGTCAGAAGGAAGCAGATCATGGAAGATCTTCTAAAGCAAGTAGTGGGGGAAGCTGGTGGGAGTGACAGGATGGGCTCGGGAATAGCCAGACATCAGGTGTGGGAGATGAGGGCCGAGGCTCTGAGATGAGGTATCTAGGAGAGAAACGAGATTTGTCTCAACCCTGGTCACCTTTCCCAGGTGACCTCAGGCCTCTCTGGTCGGATACCCAGGCCAGATATGCAGGGAGCCGAGGGGGCAGCAGGGACCTGAAGGGATGGCTGGGGTCTGGGAGCACAGACACAGCAATCCAACCAAGCTCATCTGGCAGCAGAGGAACCTGGCACGTGGAGGGCCCTTTCTCAGGGCTGGAAACAGACCTGGAGAACAGGCTGGGGGCTGCACAGGGAGGTAAATGCAGTCTTGCTCAGTTGACACTGACTCTGGTTTGAGGTCCTGCGCACTGTCCAAAGGGAGTGTTCTAGTAGCAACTGGATGTGTAAAGTGGGCACTGGTTCCCGGACATGGGGACTGGTGTGGTGTCTCAGAAAGCTGGAGGCTCATGAGAGAGCAGGAGATGGCTGGGAAAAGAGGAGAGTGGTGGTACAGGCCTGGGAAACCCAAGGAAAGCAGGGGCCGGGGAATGGTGGTCAGATGGGGGATGAGACGGGAGATATGGGCATCAGAAGTCAAGAGAAGGAGAGTTTCAAGAAAGAGTGGATGCCCAGCACTAGGGAGGCTGAGGCGAGAGGATTGCGTGAGTTTGAGGCCAGCCGAACTACATAGCAAGAACCTGATTTAAAAAAAAAAAAAAAAAAAAAAAAAAAAAGGGCCGGGGGGGAACACACTAGTGGGGGATAAAAGAAGAGATGCATGCCGGGTATGGTGGCACATGCCTGTAATCCCAGCAGTCAGAAAGCTGAGGCAGAAGGATAGCTGTGAATTCAAAGCTAGCCTGGACTACCTAGCAAGTTCAAGGCCAGCCTGAACTATGTAACAAGACCTTGTCGCAGAAAAAGAAACAAAAATAACTGGGCGTGGTGGCGCACACCTGTAATCCCAGTACTCGGGAGACTGAGGCAGGAGGATCACTGTGAGTTTGAGACCAGCCTGGGCTACATAGTGAGCCAGGTCAGTCTCAACTATATAGTGAGACCCTGTCTCCAAAAAAAGAAAAAAAAACCCAAGAAAAAGAAAAGTAATAATAAGTAGTAGAATCACTCCACACAGCTGTAGTCTGTCCCCCCAAAATGGAGACAAGTGTTTTCTGGGGCAGATTCTGGGTCAATATAAACAGGTGTTTTCTAGGGTCAGGGTTAGGCAGTCACAGTGTTAAGCAGAGCTCCACATCATGGGGATACAAGAGAAGAAAAGTCCACCGGTGGCATTGTAGTAGGAGGGCCTGACCCACGGAGGGCAGGAGAGGCTAAGTACCTTCTTTCCCGTCCTGGCACCAGGAGTTCTCAGTCTTCCCCGGGTAGGTCCAACTGCCTAGGACCGGGAGAGCCAAGAGGAAGCCTAGGGGAGGTATGGAGGCAGGCACCTTTCTAAGAGGGTGGCCAAGTGACACCTGCACAAGGCCGTGAGACAAGAACACAGCCAGGCAGCCAGGGGTGGCTTAGGGGGTACCATGTCCTCAGGGCACAGCAAACATGAAAATTTAAACCAGAGAGAGAGAGCCAAGAAGGGGCCAGAAAGAGCTGGAGCCAGCAAGAGGGGAGCAGAGTAGGGGGAGGGGCATAGGCTAGGGGTCTGGGAGAGGCAGGGCTCTTCGAAGAGTTCCGAGAAGCCATGGAAGGACTTCAGATCCATAAAAGTGACAAGATCCAATTTCACATTTTAGCTGGGCATGTGCACAACTGTAATCCCCGCACTCGGGAGGTTGAGGCAGGAGGATCACTGTGAGTTTGAGACCAGCCTGGGCTACATAGTGAGTTTCAGGTCAGTCTTCAACTACATAGTGAGACCCTGTCTCAAAAAAAAAAAAAACCCCACAAAAAACAAAAAAAACCCAATTTCACATTTTAAGAAGACTTCTGGCCAGGAGCAGAACATCAAGACAGGCATGGTGGCATATACCTGTGACCTTGGCACTCTGGAGACTGAGACAGACAAATCATTGGGAGTTCAAGGTCAGCCTGGACTACATAGCAAAACCCTATCTCAAAAAAACAAACTCTAAAAAGGCCATGCAAAGGGAGGTCTAGCAGGTCCCACTGGAGGTGAAGAGGCTTCAATTAGGGAGGCGTACAAAGCCCTTAGCTTGGTGCTCGTGCTAAACTGCCTTCCCTGGCTCCTTTCCATCCTCTTCCAGGAAGGAGCTCAACTTACCCATCTTCTCCCAAGGGTTCTGCCAGCCTGAGACTCTGGAGCATGATGACAGTGCCAGTGTGGCTCCTGCCTTTGATCCCGAGCCGGTCACCGCCCACTGCTTCAAGCAGTTCAAGCAGGAGGACTTCTGCCTGCTGCAGAGCCGCCGGCGGGTCCTCATCGTGCCTGCCCAGCAGGGGCAGCCAGCCATGGATCCCAAGCCCCGGCCTCCACCACTCCCACCATGGGCCCCCAGTGTCAGAGTCCTGGGTGCTGGGGACATCCCCGAGCAGAGGGAGGACAGGGCGTCCTGGCTGCACCAGAGGGCAAAGCTGCGGAAGGAGCTGGAGGCCCTGGGGGACATGACGCGGTGGCTGGAGAACAAGCCCAGCATCACCCCCTCGGAGGCCAAGATCCTGCGCATGCTCCACGAGGAGCAGAAGGCCCAGCTCATGGGGGAGGTGACCATCACCACAGCCACCAAGGTGAGCAGGGCACTGGGCAGGTATCGCCCTGCAGGTGTAAGGACACCTTGTCCTTTTGTTCTGGTGTTTTGGTAAGGATGGGGATGCTTCTTCCCCCTTCACGGAGGAGCAAACAGAAGTCCAGACAGGGAGGTGTATTAGTCAGCTACTGCTGCACAACAGATACCCCACAGTGACAGGGAGCAAAAATACTTACTGTTGCACATAGCCATTTCTGAGGCTCAGGAACCTGGGAGCACCTTAACTGTGGCTCAGAGACTTGTAACATTGGCCTGGAGCCATAATCATCCTCAGCTTGACCAGGGCAGTAGGGTCTGCTCCCTCCTGACCAGGCTGGTGGTGGAAAAACCTTAAAGCCACTCCAGAAGGGACATTTGCAGCAGTCTGCATTATGGGGCACTGGGACCCATGTGCCACATCCCTGGGCCATCATGAGGATAACAGTTTTGGGCGTGGAGCAAAAGGAGAAACTGCCTGTGATGGACAAGGACACAGCCAAGGGTTTGTCCCAACCACAGAGGCAGAGACAAGAGCCAGAACCAACACCTTGGCTCTCTAGGATGTCTCCTTCCTGGGTAGACATCTGAAATCTCTCCTGTTCTGGAAAGACTGGGATCAGAGGGAGGCAAGCTGGGCCAGGCATGGTGGTGCACGCCTGCAATCCTAACACGCAGGAGGCTGAGGCAGGAGGACTGCTGCCGAGTTCAAGGCCAGCAGCATGGGCTATATAGTGAGTTCAAGAACAGCTTGACCTACAAAACAAGCTCTTGTCTCAAAAAAATAAGAGTAGAGGCTGGGAGGCTGGACTTCCTTAGCTGTAGGATGGGGTGTTCCTTGGGCACACAGGACACACTGGACCCTGGACTGGTCCCCTGGGGAAATGTGCAGAGTGTGATGGTAGTTCCCAGTGTCCAGGCTGCCATTTCCTTGAGCAACCCAGGCTCCAAGGGACAGGTACCAGGTGATCTGCAGCCATTGCAGGCACCCATGTCAGTGCCCTCCATCTCCTCCACCCCGAGCTCCAGGCTGCCAGCCTCGCCCTGCATCTCTTCCTCTGACTCTGGGGCTGCTGCCCACCGACCCCCTCTTCCAGAAAAGAGCCCCCCGACGAGTGGTGCCCCAGCTACGGCTGCCCAAGCCACCGGCCCTGTCAGCCCTGTACACCTACCTGCGCAGCCGCAAGATCCAGGTGCTGGAGCTGTTTGCCAAGGGCCTGGGCACACAGCAGAGAGTCCCCCGGGAGGAGTTCCTCACTGCGCTGAGGATGGTAAGTACCCTGTCCCTGACTACCCTGCACCCTGCTGTCCCTCCGTCCCCTCCCTGGCTTCCAGGGCACTGAAGAGTAGACACAGAGCTCAAACTGCTAGCCTGACATGCACCGGGAAATGGGGGGGGGCTGTGGCCAAATTGGACCCCAGAACCACTCCTGGACAGGCCAGGACACATCCCCATCCCTGACACAGCAGAATAAGTGGAAGGTTTGCACAGCTAACCCCAAAACTACTCAGCTGTCCTGGGGAGTCACCTTGGCCCCTCAGACCCAGCACTGAGCCCCGGGGAGCCGGCATGCAGCCTGCTGTCCCTGGGTATCACTCACAGGGGTCCTATCTCTGACCCAGGACCCATGCTAGGTCCCCTGCTGCCTCCAACCACACCATCACCCTGTCTGCTCCAGATGATGTAAATCCATGAGAAATAAAGTTGGAAATCCAACTCTTGGGTCACATTGGCCACGTCCCAAATGCTCAGTGGTCATTCACAGCCCCAGCACTGCAGGAAAGAGAAAAAAAAAGAAAAGGAAGGAAGTTGGGGGGAGGGAAGGAGGGAAGTCATGGGTGGCAAGTGGTGCCTCTGTTGGCCCAGGCAGGTGGAGGATATTTCCTCAGCAGCACTGCAGGAAAGAGAAAAAAAAAAAGAAAAGGAAGGAAGGAAGGAAGGAAGGAAGTTGGGGGGAGGGAAGTCATGGGTGGCAAGTGGTGCCTCTGTTGGCCCAGGCAGGTGGAGGATATTTCCTCCAGGGTCCAGCAGGGCATCTGCAAACCATGGCACCCCTTCCTGTTCTTTTTATAATAAAGTTTTATTAGAACACAGCCTCGCAGTCTTCTTCTTCTTCTTGTCTGCAGCTATTTTCACGCTGCAGGCAAAGACTGTATGGCTCACGAATAGGAAGTATTTATATGACCACACACCAACTCCCTCTGATGACTGTAATCACTATGCACTGCAAAAAGGCATGAATAAAAATTAAAGGACCCTGAAATACTGTGTGGCCTTTTATAGAAAAGGCTTGCCAATCCCTAGGGGAGATGAATTTACCTTTCATATATTCTGAATACAAAACACATTTAAAAACCTTTTTCAGGAGCTGGTGCCTAATGTTTTGCACCTTTAAAGCATCAATTTTCTGGTCAAGGGTTTTAGCTCCATGGTGGAAGATTTGCATAATATGTGTGAGGCCCTGGCTTTGATCCCCACCACCATAAATATAGATAAATAAACTCCTGGACACATCCTTTTAAGAAAAACCAGCAGTTTTCACATGTTTTAGGGTGTGCAAGTACCTATACAACACTCTGCAGCAATTTCAAACAACAAAGAGACAGTCTTTGATCAACACAGCCTGAAAGATGAAATATTAAATCCTGACCTTATTTGGGGAAATTCCAGGAAGCGATAACTGTCATCTAAAGAAACAAAGACAGTTCTAACCCCTGCAGCCTTCGCTTCCTGCAGAATCAGTGTTGCCGACAAGCATTACATGTCTCAAAGTTGCTTAGAAAAATAAAGTGCAGGGTTTATCCGACCCTACATATTTTACTGCGGGTAGGGAAGGCTTAGGTGCTCCTCATCGCAAGGACGAGGGGCACATTAAATCGCCCTTCTTTATCCAGCACTGAGATTGGTAGAAGTGTGGTGGGAGCCAATGACTGACTGTAAAGATGGAGGCAAATCTGGACTGGTCTTTGAAGGATGGGTAGGAGTTTATAGGCAGAAGAGGGGCACTGCCCCGCAAAGGCAGAGGGGAAGCGGGGAGGGTGCTGGAGATGGGGCCAGGGCAGCCAGCCCAGGGCACATGGGAGCCTGGTGGCTTCTGTCCTTTCCAGGTTGGGGTCCCCCTGAAGGAGCAGGAGATGGAGGACGTGGTGATCTACCTGAGCTCCCTCGGGAAGCACCGCGACATCACCATGGAGACCCTGGCCAGTACCTACAAGCAGTGGTCTCTGGCCCAGCTGAGGAGCACGACGGTGCCCACGCTGCACAAGTGTGCGTCCCTTTGCCACCGCAGCTGACACAAGGCCAGATGTGGTCTGAGGCCTCCTTACCATTGATCTGCACCTTACAGATGAAGAGCTAACGGACGTTTCTGTTCAGAGACAGAATCAGCACCCGTTTACCACCCCTGGTTTTGGTGTCCTATCAGGGCTACAAAGGCAGGGCTGCCATGGACAGTTGTACAGGTTGTGCACAGCTCACATCTCACTTACCAAGCTGTGTGCTTGGGGGGTGTCACCTGCCCAGACTCAGCACAGGTTAGAAATGGGCTCACAAATGCTCTGAGTGTGAAGTGCCAACACGTCGGTTTCTGTTTTACTGCCTTTGCGATAAAACACACCCACAACCACTGCCCATCCCAGCTCCGGCCCCAACACTTTTTGCTTTCTAGTTGAAATGCATGTTGCTCTGCCTGCATCTGCCAAAATGGCAGGAATTTAACCTCAGACATATTGGGGACTCCTCGCTCTCCCAAAGGGGTTCCTTGAGACAGAGGGGCTCACTCTCAGGTGAAAGGGGGCAGAGCTCTGGAGCACACGGTCCCTACAAGACCTCAGTGCCCACTCTAAAGTAGACCCTGAGGAGGGCGGGCAGCACTCTTGCCCACTTCCTGGAAGGTTTCTCACATCCAGGCTTATTGTGCCTTTTCCTATAAATATCTCTGTGCCTGTCATCCTAGCACTTGGGAGGCTGAGGCAGGAGGATGACCGTGAGTTCAAGGCCAGTCTGGGCTACAGGGTTTGAGACCCCGTCTCAAAAAAAAAATCCAAAGCCAGGTGCTGTCTGAGTCCTTTGCATGACCACATGTGCTGTGATGCTTTTTGTTTGTTTTTTGAGATGGGTCTTGCTAAGTCCTTGTGATCCTCCTGCCTCAGCCTCCCAAGTGCTGGGGTTACAGGTATATACCACCGCACCTGTCTTGTTGGAGATAGTTGAGCACCTACTATGTTCCAGGCATACTTTCAGAAATTGGAAACACAGCAGGGAACAGGCTAGAGAGCCAAGTCAGAGGTGTCCCATGGAACGGGAGGCCCTGAAGACCACAGGACACAAGGAGTAGTGGGTGACGGCCAGGGTTCCCCAGGTGGATGTGGTATAAACAGGGAGGCCCGAGGCAGGAAAGCTTCAAGGGACAGCAGAGGCAGAGGAGGCCAAGACGATGAGGGGGGTGGGGGACGCAGCCAAGGATGGGGGACAGAATGCTGGCCGGCATCCCTGAGTCCCTGTCTCCTCCCTCCAACTCCAGGCTTTGGCCCGGCCCAGGTCACGACAACCCCGCAGCCCTGCAGGAAGCACCTGCTCATGGTGCCCGAGGTCCCTGTGCCTACGGAGGCGCGGCCCCTGACGCTGGAGGAGATGGAGGATGTGGGCAAGCACTACCGCGAGCGCAGGCGGCAGCAGAAGGTGCTGGGCAGGCCTACAGGAGGGGCTGCATCCGTGTCACAAAGACGCCCAGCCCCACAAGGGTCTGGGACATGGAAATGGACTGGACTCAGAAAGTGCTGAAAGACCCCCCACATTCTTTAATTAGAACTTTTCTTTTTTTTGGTACTGGGGATCAAACTCTGATCCTTGAGCTTGTGAGGCAGGTGGCGGAACCACTGAGCTAAATTCCCAGACTTTTTCTTTTCTTTCTTTTTTTTGTTTTTGTTTTTTTCTTTTTGCTTTTTGAGACAGGGTGTCATTATGCAGTTAGTTCAGGCTGGCCTTGGATTTACTATGTGGCCCAAGCTGACTCAAACTTAAGGCAATCCTCCTGCTTCAGCCTCCCCAGTGCTGGGATGACGGACATGCACCACCTTGTCTAGGTGCCGCTCTTTAATTAGGACTTTTCATCTTGAGACCAGGGTTGTACCTTTGTCATAGCTTGAGCCTGGCACCTGGCTCCAGAGTGCACAGACTGCAGACAGTTGGGCTGGCTCAGTGGCACGCATAAGGCCCCGGTTTGCCCTGCACTGTGCTGCACCACACAAAACAAAACAAAACATCAGGTTTTTGTTTGTTTGTTTGGGTTTTTTTGGTGCCGGCCACTGAACCGCTGAGCTAAATCCCCAGCCAAAACAACAGGTTTTGCAGGCCACCTGGTCTCTGTCACAGGTGCTGGGCTCTGCTGCCAGGGACCCCACATACACACAGCTTCGAGCCCGTGGTCCCATACGTCTTGACTTAGGAAAGTGCATGCCAGGCTGGATTTGACCTATGGGGTATACATTGCTGATTCTGTTGTGAGAAGTTTTAAAATAGATTTTTTTTTTCCTTGTTTAAAGAAAAATCATGCTGGTCATTGTGGCCCATGCCTGTAATCTCAGCACTTCCGAGTCTGAGTCAGGTGGATTGCTGTGAGCTGGAGGCCAGCCTGAAGTACGGAGCAAGACCATACCTCAAAAAACCAAAATAAAATAAAACAGCCAGTTGTGGTACCATGTATCTGTGATTCCAGCTACTTGAGAGGCTGAGGCAGGAGGATCTTAGTGATTGTCTGAAATGCAAAAACAGAAAAGCCTAGGGTATAGCTCTGTGGGAGAGAGCCTGGGATTCCATCCCCAGCACCACAAAAAAGGGGAAGAAGGAGGGGAGGCAGCAAAGGCCCAGGAGACCTCAGCAGCCCCTGCCCGTGTCTCTTCAGCTCCCCATCCCCTCCATCCAGTACACAGAGAGCTGCCGCATGGTGCGCAGTGGGGACCAGCGCGTGGACCAGCACTGCCTGCCATCCACAGTGGTGGGTGAGAGCCGGGAGCTGCTGGATGCAGCCCGCATGGATGGCTTCCTGCTCTACATGCGCTGTGGGCAGCAGTGTGTGGCCCCAGGCCTGCCAGTGACCAAGGATGTCCTCACCCGTGGTAAGGAGGTGGCGGGAGGTGAGGCTGCAGGAGCTGGCTTGAACACCAGGCCCTGGCTCTGTCTCTGAGAGGGAGAGCTGGTAGAAATAACTGCCACCAAAACCACTGCTCCACCCTGGCATGAAGGCGCACACCTCCTTCCCAGCACTCAAGAGGCTGAGGCAGGAGGACTGCCACAAGTTCTAGGCCAGTCTGGGATACATAGTGAGACTTAGTTTCAAAAAACAAACAAAAACTTAGATCTAATTAAGATCTGGGTGCTGGGTGTGGTGGTGCATGCCTGTAATCCCAGCACTAGGCCGAGGCAGGAGGATCGCTGTGAGTTTGTGAGTTCGAGACCAGCTTGGGCTACACAGTGAGTTCCAGAGCAGTCTGAACTACATAGTGAGACTCTGGCTAAAAAAAAGAAAAAAAAAATCTGGGTGTCCATCTCAATGGTAGAGTGTGCATTGTGCATTTAGCAACTCATAAGACCCAGAGTTCCATCCCTGGCACCAAAACACAAGGTCTTATGCCCTGGTGAGGTCTTGGTTGGATCCTCCCACCTCTTTCAGGGACATCTGGCCACCTCCATTCTGACTAAAGCCATGCCTCGTCCTCCTCTGTCATGGCCTGGTCCCCTTTCATTTCCACTTAGCAGTGTCTCTCACAATGGGGAGGGCTTCGAGAGAATTCTCTGTACTGTTCCTGCTACTTCTGGTGACTTTACAGTCATTTGAAAATAGAAAGTTAAAACAAGGGTCAATGGTATAGCTCAGCGGTACTGCCCTGTCTGGCAAGCACAAAGCCCTGAGTTCAATTCCTGGTACAAAAAAAAAAAAAAAAAAAAAAGTTAAAACCAAAAACCAAAAAATGGAAAACAACAATAACAACAAGAAACAAATAAAAATAAACGTTGCTAGCTGGGCGTGGTGGTGCACTCCTGTAATCCCAGCACTTGGGAGATTGAGGCAGGAGGATTTCTACAAGTCTACTGCCAGCCTGGACTACGTAGCGAGATCCTGTCTCAAAGGTAAATAAATAAATAATAAAAGCCATAAAATCTAAAAAAGATTTTGAATGTTATCACAAAGAAATGCTAAATATGTGAAGGACAGAAATGTTAATTTCCTTAATTTGATCATTATATAAAATGTATGCATGTATTGAAACATGGCTGGTGTAGTGGTGCACACCTGTGATCCCAGCACTCAGAAGGCTGAGGAGGAGGATCCCTATAAATCCCAGGCCAACATGGGGCACATAGCAAGATCCTGTCTCAAGAAAGAGAAAGAGAAAAAAAGAAAAAGAAAACCATACTGTACCCCATAAATCCATAAAAATACCATGTGTCAATTGAAAGCAAGTTAGGAAAAACTAAAAGGACATCATATAGCTATAAGATGTGAAGAAAAAATGTTTTTAACAAAAATGTGAATTTAGTAATAAAACGGCCCCCACTGACCCCAAAGGTCCAGGACCAGGGTCTTGGGCTCACAAGTTCTGTGCTCTTGCCTCCCACAGCGCTGCTGTACCCGGGGGACAGGATTGTCCTGCAGAACACCCAAGTGCGCCCCATCCGGCAGCCCGGAGGCTTCTACTCTGACTGGAGGGCTCTGACCCCACATCTGGCCACACACAGGACACAGGGCCTGAGGCTGGGTCCCCAGAAGAGTGACAAGCTGAGTGTCCTCCATCCCTGTGCCTGCCTGCTGCTGTCTGCCCCCTGCTGTCCCCTCTGCTCCAGCCGGGACACTGGCTATTCAGTGGCCCATGTCTGCTTGCTGCTCTCACTGGTCACTTGGCCACCTGGGACGGCAGCGCCAGTGCCTCCCACTGTGGCGCCTGTCCTAGCTCGGGGCCACTCACCTCAGTGCCACTCAGCCGCCTTCCCGGCCCTGCTGTCCTGCACTGACCCAACTTGCCTTCCCCTAGCAAGGCGTACCTGTGGGACTGTCCCCGGCCCTGTCCCTGATGCTAGCTTCAGTCTCCTCTGAGAAAGTGGCTGCGCAGCAGATCCAAAGCCTGGGCCCCAGGCTTTGGGTCAAACTCCAGATGACGAGGTGGGCAGCAAGGTGGTGGGAGCTGGCAGAGCAGCAAGATGGCACCTGCACAGAGGGACTGGAATGGAGCCGCGTGATGTAGACAGGCGCCACTCAGGCACACCAGCCTCTCCGCTCCCCAGGCCTCAGCGATGCTGTGGTAAACCACACTGGTGAAGCCTGAGGAGGTTCATAGAACAGCCTTGTAGGACAAGGGACGAGTCAGCAAGAGGCCCAGGCAGTTAGAAAATAAAGGGGAAGAGCTGGGTGTTACACAGCACTCGGGAGGCGAGGCAGGAGGATTGCCGTGAGTTCCAGGCGAGCCTACATAGTGAGACCCTGTCTCAGAAGAGCAAAACAGAGGCTGGGCATGGTGGTGAATGCCTGTAATCCTAGCACTTGGGAGGCTGAGGTAGGAGGATCACCACGAATTCAAGACCAGTGTGGGATACACAGAGTTCAAGGCCAGCCTGGACCACAAAGTGAGACCCTATCTCAAAAAAACCGAAAAGACAAGACTAAGGTTATTAATGAGAGAATCAGACATAAAATGCAGCCAGAGACACCAAGCTCCATCCTGCTAGGTTTCTGTGACACTGGACACCACAGGGGCTGAATGGAGGATGCGTATGTACTGGCTGGGGCCAGCAGGAAGCATTAACCAGTAAAAGCAGAGTAGGTCCAGACATGGTGGCTTGAGGGCCTCTGTCCCTTGGTGACCACCTCCCCGCCATGCCACGGTTGCTGGCACAGGGTCCTGGGCATGAGCTGGGAGGAGGGCCGGCCCCGAACAGGACTAGGTTCTGCTAAGGAGGACAGAGAGGCTGAGGCCCAGGATGGACGGTGTGCTCTTGCTGTGTTGCCAAGGCCAACGGGCAGGGACACAGCTGGGCCTGCACTTGCCTAGCACATGTGAGGCTCCAGCTCTACCCGAGAGCCACAGAAGAAAGCAAAGCCAAGCATGTGAGGCCAGATGTGGGCTCAGGCACGGGGCTGGCAGGGCCCTCACACTCTGCAGCTGCCTCTTGCTCCTGTCCAAGCTCCACCTGGGAGAAGAAACTCTGCTTCCAGGGCCCCACAGCCCAGCCTGCTCCCCTTCCCACTCCTAACTGCATTCCTTTTGCTTCCCCATCAGGAAGACACCCAAGGATGGCAGGAAGGTGCCCTTTAAAGAAGCACAGAAGGGCACCAGGTCCGCATCAGAATCAGGATAGGGAGGATCGGGGATGGGGATGTTCAGGGCCCGGCACAGGAGGAGGGGAGGGGAGGTGGAGAACAGACCATGGTGCACGGTGACTCTGGTGAATCCTCTGGAACCCACTGGCCTCCCAGGGAGGTGGCCCTATGCTCACTGACCAAAGGTCACAGGTGCCCCGCTGTCCCCTAAGGAGCCTGGCCCAGCCTGTCTGGGTGACAACCTCTCACATCTTCCTTTTCCAGAAAGCGGAAGGCGAGGATACTTGGGGGCCCCCAGTGCACCCACCCCAACGTCTTCTGGCCAGGCCACCTGCTGGACAAGCTGCGGCTGTGCCTGCCCACAGAGGCCATGGACCGGAGCCTGGCACTGTTCAGCTGTGTCCGGCACAAGCGCCACGCCTACCAGGCCACCTACCACCCTGACCGCTGGTGGCCCCTGAGGGATGAGAACTACATGACCCGTGCCTACTATGATTCCCCCAAGGTGTATGCCATCAACTAGGGTGGCTGGTGTGCACAAAGGGTCTGGCCATTCTACAGGTGCTGTGTCCCTGTCCCGAAGGAGTATCCCTGCTGCTCCTCTGGCCTTGACCTTTTCAAATAAACCAGCAAGAGCTTCCGCCACATGACCTCAGTCCCAGCCTATGCAACTCCAAGCTCCCACCTGAGGGGATGCAGTGGGCACTTTCCCTCTGACACCAACAGGGAGTCGCCCTGGGTGGCATGGTGGCAGCCTGTCCCTCACGCCAAGGCTGAGCCCCTTGGTTCTTGCTCCCGTCTCTTGGGGTTTCAGAGGCTGGGGGTGCCTTTGGTTCGGGAGCCCTCCTAGCCAGTCCAGCCCTCTCCTTGTGGGCACAGCACGTGAGCTGAGTTAGCAGGGATTCCAGCCCTATGTCCTATGGACCACACACAGCCCCAGGACAAGCAAGCCAGGTGTGAACCGGGTGTGGTGCACATGCCTGGAATCCCAGCATTTGGAAGGGTGAAGCAGGGTTGTTGTGAGTTTGTGGTCAACCTGGACTACATAGTGAGATACTGTCTTAAAAAACAGCCAAAACATCCACCAACAACAAAAGACTCACTAGTGGTACCTGTATTGTGTTTGAGTTGAGGAACCAAGGTTTTGTTTGGTTGGTTTCCTCCTGGAATTTGATTTTCACAGTGATTTTTTTTTTTTTTTGAGACATAGTCTCACTATGTAATTCAAGCTTGCTTTGAATTTACTATGATCCTCCTGCTTCAGCCTCCCCAGTGCTGGGATGACAGGCATGTGCCACCATGCCTGGCTTCAAAATAATTTTTAAAACAAAAACTAAGCCAAACAAATCAAGGACAACAATTTTAAAATTAGAACAAAAATTTTAAATTTAGCTGTATTGTTAGAAATGTGGACTTTGGAGTCAGTTTTTTTTTTGTTTGTTTGTTTTGTTTTGTTTTCTTTGAGTCAAGTCTTCAAACTTAACTTTCCACATATGTCAAACGAAGAAAATAAATCAAGTGAAGTGGTGCACACCTGTAATTCCAGCACTCTGGGAGGCTCAGACAGGAGGACTGCAAGTTTCATCTCATCCCAGGCCATTTAGTGGCTTAAGGAGACACTGTCTCAAACTCCAAAAAAGGATGCAACGGTACCAAAAAAAGGGGGGTGGGGTGGGGAATGTAGCTCACTTCGAAGGTCCTGGGTTTACTCTTCAGTACTGCACAAAAAGAAGAAAAAGGAGGAGGAAGTGGGGGACTACCTTACAGAATTGTGGTATGGGTATAAAATCCCGCGGAATATCCGCTGTTCTGGTCTTATCGCTATTTAGACAGAGGGCCCTCCCTGTCTCCACCTGCTACATCTGCATCCACAGGTTCAATGAACCGCGGACAGAAAACATTAGGGAAAAACTGCATCCGTTGTTGAACATGTGCGGACTTTGTCATGATTCCCTGAGCCATACAGGTACCGCAGAGATTTCCTCAGCATTTACAGAGTTTGGTACAGAACTAGAAGTAACACAGAGATGATTTACAGCGTGTTGGGAGGATTTGAGTAGGTTCTATGTAATGCTGTAAGGGACAGGAGCATCTGAGGAGTTTAGGACTGCGAATTCCCTAGGAGTTGCTGTATATTAAGAAATCTGTTTTGCTCCCTCCTGACCTTCAGGGGGAGCACTTGGAGGAGAAGAAACACGGGCGGAAATACTCTAAAACCTGGATTTGGCTTCCCCTTTGGGCGGAAGCTGCTCACCAGGTCTTAGCTGAAGAAAAAAATTCCAGGCTTCCTGTGTAATCCCAGGGGAATGTTGGGTACGTAATCCGTTCTATTCTTATATATATATATGTATGTTAGTGTCTGATGAAGCAAAGCACCATGGGAACTTTTTGTAGCATTATTTCTCTAACGCTTCATTTCTTTGAGGAACACAGGGCCAGAGGCCTCTTCTTTGCCCTGCCAGGACCTGTAGGCTAGTCCCATCAGTCCTTGCGCGCCACCGTCCCCTCTCTTCCTCGGCGCTTCCTACGGAGGTGGCCGCCATCTCCTACCCGGTGAGTCTCAATCGCGGGCCATCCGCGCTCGTGCTGGCTCTCTGTGGCCCCTCGGACCCCGTGAGGAGGTCTTCGCTCTGTGTACTCGGCTCCGTGGGCATCGGCGGCGGCAGCCTGCTGGAATTTTCGGACACAGCAGCGTCGGGCCACTATGGGGCTGTTCGTCGGGGATTCTTTCCGCGGAGAGGCCGCGTGGGGTCAACACGGCAGAGGATAGCGAATTGGTTGGTTGAGACCATTTGGCGAGGGCTCGAGAGGTCCGGGAAACAATCGGAGGTGCCCTCCTTAAGGCAGCGGATGAGGTTTATTTGAGACTATGGCTGTCTAGTCCTGGCTTTATCCTCGAAGTCACTGTGTAGTCCGGGCAGGCCGTGAACTCGGCGATCCTTCTGCCTCGGGCCCCCGGATGCTGGGATTACAGTTGTGCGTGGACCACCATGGCCAACCATTGTTGATTTTCTATCTGGGGCTCTGGGTGAAGGAATCCCTGATCTCCTCCTGGGATCGCGTCTGGAGAGTAGCCAGTATTCTACCAGCTTCGGAAAAGGGAGGGAGAGCAAGCCTGCAGAGAACCCATTCCATTCCCAGCTTGTCCAGTAGCTGGTGACTGGAAGATACTCTGCAACAGCCCTTGGTCCTGGGCCGGAATTCTTCCTTTCCACGTCCCCTTTTAACCAGGATCTGTCTTCTTTTTGAAGGCGCCATGGCAGCCCTCAGACCCCTCGTGAAGCCCAAGATCGTCAAAAAGAGGACCAAGAAGTTCATCAGGCACCAGTCAGACCGATATGTGAAAATTAAGGTATTGGGTGCTGGGTTTCTAGCACTGCTTAGAGAATTTGGCATGTGGGTGGCAGGAGAGCTCCGTCTGAACTTGGGCTCCCTGAGTGCCCTACTGGGGGCACTGCTGTCTGAAGCTGTGTGTTTCTGTCCTCTCACTGCGTGCCCAGCCCTTCACCTCCACCAGGTCTCTTCTACTTTCTAGTGGTTTTTATCCAGCACTCATTTTTTTTCTCTGCCTGTAAAGTAGAGGAGTGAGGTCCTGTTATCCACAGACAAGTAGTACTGTTGCATGTCTCCTTCCTTCGGTCCTTCTCTCCCTAAAGGAAGAGCTGGCCACTTGTACAGAGACTAACCCACACCACTTCTTACATCTTGCAGCGCAACTGGCGTAAACCCAGAGGCATCGACAATAGGGTGCGGAGAAGGTTCAAGGGCCAGATCTTGATGCCCAACATAGGTTATGGAAGCAACAAAAAGACAAAGCACATGCTTCCCAGTGGCTTCCGGAAGTTCCTGGTACACAACGTCAAGGAGCTGGAGGTGCTGCTGATGTGTAACAAGTGAGTTGGCCTGGTCTGTGATCACTGGGAGGGGAGTGCTTATTCCCAGGCCCTTCAGGAAGGGTTTTTTGTGGGCTTAGAGGATGTGGTAGGGAGTTTAGGGTGTCTGCTTTGTAAGAGATGGGCACTGTTGTCTGGGGACGCTGTTTGTTTCAGGCACATGCCTCAGACCTAAGGGAAATTTGCTGCTGGAACTAGGAGTTGGCAGTTACTGGGTGGGGCTTTAGAGCACCTAAAGGGGAGGCTTGAGGCAGACCAAGGCCACAGAATAAAGATGTGGGGTCATCTGGTGCTTTGAACAAGTTTGGTGCTAGTGAGCTTAGTATGGAACTTGGGTCCAAACTAGGATGGGGAATGAACCGTCGCGGTCCTGACACCTGGAGTCTGGGTGCCAGGCAGTGGTGCTCCTGACACCTGGAGTCTGGGTGCCAGGTAATGGTGCTGAGGTTAGCAGAGGGCAGTTGATTTTCTTTCCTTCCAGAAAAATGGAAGCCAAGGAGCTGTGTTGAGTGAGCTAGGGCATGAAAAGTGGTGACCTTGCTTGTGTGTGCCCTTGTGGGAGTGGAGGGCTCTGCAGTGACAAGGGGAGGAGCAGGCAGCGTTCTGTCTGGGTTCCATCTCCGGACATGGAGTGCCAGGCATTTCTTTTGGGTAGATGAATGCAGGAATTGGTGGTGGCAGGTTGATGGCTGGATTGTGAGATCTCAGTACCTGTTGGGTGACAGAAAGGATGGTTCTTTGTATGTGTTTTTGTATGTTACATATATTAACTTGGTGTTTGCCAAGATCTGTGAAAATACTTTCATGATCTTTTATCCTCAGGTTCTATTTCTGGGCATTTATCCTGAAATAACCGAAAAGCAGGGGAACTTTATTTTTATTTTATTTTTTTGGTACTAGGAGTCAAACTCGGGACCTTGCGCCTACAAAGCAGGCAGCAGAACCACAGCTAAATCCTTGGAAAAGCCCTTTTAATTTTGAGACAGTTTTTCACTTAAGTTGCCCAGGCTGAGCTGGAACTTGTCCTCTTACCTCAGTCTCCTAGAGTGCTGGGATAATAGGTGTATGCCACCATTCCTGGCAAGAGACTCAATAAAGCTGGTTGTGGCAGCAATAACCAATTGGGAAACAGTTTAAAAGCATAATTAGCGAGTGATAGAGTACTGGGATGGATTGATTCGTGTCCATTCAAAATGACTGTCATGCAGCAGTGAGGGCAATAGCTGTGTGTTTGTTTTGGTACTGGGGAATGAACTCAGGTCCTTGCGCTTGCAAGGCAGGTGGCCCCACCATTGAGCTAAATCCCTGGCCCTATTTTTACTATTTTTTTAAAGGTCTTGCTCTGTATGTAGTTCAGGATGGCCTTGAACTCATGGTGATCTGAGATGCTGGGATAACAGGCATGTGCCACCATGCCTGATATCTACACGTTTAAAATGTTAGGGTCATTAAGTGTTCTGGTGGACAAGGACATGGATATTTTAGGGAAAAGAAAATGTGTAATGTGTCATGTCTTCAAAACAAAAGGCATAGTGGTGGCACACACCTGTAATCCCAGCCACTTGGGATGCTGAGGCAGAAAGATCACAAGTTCAAGGCCAACCTGGATAATGTAGTAAAATTCTAATTCAAAAATGTTAAAAGGGCTGGGGATGTGGTTCAGTGTTTTCTGGTTCAATTTGTAGTACTGCAAAGGACAACATGAGACATTTTAAGGCACTGCTACTCTAAACTCAAGTTGGATTTCAATATAAAATAAACCCTTGAATGTCTCCATATCACACTGTGATGGTCACAGTCCTAGAGTCCTCACAGAGCTTTGTGCTGCTGCCATCCTGGTATTCTGTCACTCGCTCATCATGCTTTTAAGCTGTTTTCCAATTGGTTATTGCTCCCTCGTGTTCTGTCCACAGCTTGGCTGTGGAATGCCTCTGTCTGTCCTGATGTTGCCTCTGAAGTCACATCCTCGTAGGGCACACTGCATGTGGCTCTGTGGAGTCACTTGTTTGTGACAGGAGTGGTTTTTAACCTGATGGCTTGAGTGTCTTGCACTCCACCTGAGTTAGGTCCACCCCAGTCAGGGAGAGGCTCTGGCTGTGTGGGGCCTTGCACCCAGGACCATGGTGCCCTCATTGGGGTGGCTCCCAGGAGGGTGGAGAGAGATCTGGGAAACCTCTTCCTGGCCTGCAGCTGCAGCACGGTTGAAAGGGAGAGCACTGGGTGAGGCCTCACATGAATCCTTAACACGGGAATCCTCTCCTTGGGCTGGGGGCAGAGTAACTAAAGCTGTGCCCTCTCCCCTGTCCCACACTGGCTGCTCCTCACTGCTTGCTGTTTCTCTTCCAGGTCTTACTGTGCAGAGATCGCTCACAATGTCTCCTCCAAGAACCGCAAGGCCATCGTGGAAAGAGCAGCCCAGCTGGCCATCCGAGTCACCAATCCCAATGCCAGGCTGCGCAGCGAAGAAAACGAGTAGTAGACGCCTCATATGCATGTTTATCTGTGCTCAAATAAAACTATGAAAACTGCCATCTGGTGTGTTCTTTCTCTCCTGGGTTTAGCTTTCAGTTTCTTGGACAGTTTGTCGGGGGAGTGTTACCTGGTTGCCCCCATGGCATCCTCCATGTGAAGGGGTTTGCAAAGGACACAGGGAACAGGACCTAGGATGTCACACCAGCGTGAGGAAGAGGGGACAAGGGGCAGGTGGTCACCTTTATTCTCCCTATTGATGACTGCCAGTGACCCTGTTGGGTTCCTGGGAGGACTGGGAGTGGGCGCATTCGTCTTAACTCCTCCCTTAACATTTGTATAGGGTGTGGAAGATGGTGCCCTTGTGCAAAAATGAAATATATGAGAGCAAAAAAAAAAAATTGCCAGGCATGGTTGTGCACGCCTGTAATCCCAGCACTTGGGAGGCTGAGACGAGGATTGCTGCAAATCAGAGGCCAACCTGAACACATGGCAAGACTGTTTCAACCAAAAGATGACTGGAGATTGGGCTTCTGCATGATCAGCCTGTCTGGGTATCTCCCAGCTGCCCTGTAGATGGTGGCAATCAGGCCTCTTGCTAGCACTCAGAATTACAGGATGGCCCTGTAATTAACCCTAATCACCACTGGAATTCAGCCTCAGGTTAGGATTCCATTTGTACAAGAGGTGCTGTTCTATACAGGCTTGGGGAGTGACGCTTCCACTTGCCCTGGCCCGGTCAGCCTAGTGAGGTGCTGCTCACGGCCCTCCTAGTCCTTTGGATGGGATTGAGCACCTGTTCCAAAATATCTGTGGAGTGAATCTTTCATTTCCAGTGTAGATAGTGGTCTAGGTCTTATGGACAAATTGTGTAGAGAACACGGTAACAATTTAGGACATTTATTCATCTTGGATGTCAGGAAATAGTTTGCCCCATATCTGTCTTCAATATTAAAAACTAGAAATTGCACATTTGAAATCACGATTTGGTAAGACAAAACTCTAGGTCTAGGCCTGTGCGGTCCCTGCCCTTTCTCCCTCCTGCAGAAAAAGCCCTCGGTGCCTTTGAGTTGCTGTCAGTTACAAACCACGAATTCTAGGCTGAGTGAACTCAAAATGAGTTGGGGGTTTTCTAGGGAAGTGTCAGTGCTGCGGTGGGAGCCTGGGTCTCCAGTCATCTTGGGAGCAGCCTGTTGTTTCTGGGTGCTGTAGAGAGGCAAGGGCTGTCCTGTTAGAGGGCACCAGAGGGGCTGGAGGGGTGGCCAAGTGACAGGAACTGTTACTGTCCTGAGTTAAAGGGTGCAGACTGGGCCTGGGTCCCCAGCCAGATGGAGGCTGGGGCTGGGGCTTGGTGGCCGGGCCTGGGCAGACTAGCTGAGCTCCATGGGCTCAGCGCCTGGCACCGAAGCAGGGTCCTTCTGGATGCTCTCGAAGAGGGCCGCGAGCTCAGGGTTGGAGCGGATCTGGGCTGCAAAATCGGCCATGATGGGGCTTCTCCCCGCCTCGGGGATGGTAAGCAGGGCGGCCACTGCCCGCATGGCCGAGCGCTTCAGCTCATCCTGCTTCTCGAACTCCTGCTTCACAGAGCCAGCTTTGACCTGGGGTGGGAGACAGCAGATGGAGCCTGGGGCTTCCTCTCCACCTGGGACCCTCTGCACCCTAAACTGATCCCAGAAGTCCTCTATGCTCTGGCCTCTGGGCTCTTCCTGCTGGTGATGTTCACCTCAGCACTGGTGTCCCCCACCTATCCTGCCACTGTGGTTTCTATCAGTCTGACAGTGCCAGGGACTTTAAAGCAAGACTGTGCTGAAACCCCATGACACCCGACCCTGCCCTTGGCCTCCCTCCCCACACACATCCCTGCTGCCAAACCAGATGAGCGCCCCCAACCGCCAAAGCCCAGCACAGCTTCCCAGGCCCTCCCACAGGTCTATCCTGCTAAGTACCAGTTGCTTTCCCACACTGGAATGCAAGATCCTTACAGGGCTCGCCCACTCCATCGCACGAAGTGGGCAAGAGCTGGGCACCAAGCCGGATGGTCCTGGGTGCAGGTAGCGCTGAGAGCAGGGTCCCTCTGCAGAGAGGCTGTGAGGACCGAGTGACTGCACACAGGTCCACACCCCTTCTGCGAGCCTCTGGGCCCACATGTGCTTTGGAATCCAGGATTTTGGGGGTCTTAGAGAAGGAGCATGGTGCAGGTAACATTCCCAGTTGTGTCTGACATAGTACCCAAAAATCGACATTAATAGTTCCCTCACGAACTATATGAACTTGTTTTTCTATTCCTTTCACCTTCTTCTTTTTTTTTTCTCCCGACAGGGTCTCACTATGTATCCCAGGCTAGCTTCAAAGCCACGGTGATCCTTTTGCCTCAGCCTCCAGGGAGCTTGGATTACAGGGATGTGCTACCACTCCTGACCTATATGACTTACAGTAAGAGGAAATTAAAGTCATAAACAGTCTCACTTGAGCCTCATTGCCAAGAAGTCACTCAGACGTTTCTGGTTTTCCAAGCTTTGTAGATTTCATAACTGGGGACAAGGAACGGGGCTGTTGCCACAGTGCTGGCAAGCAGTACCCAGTGGCCAGGCTGAGGGTCTCTGTGTGGGCCCCAGGATGCAGCTTTCCTTGCTGTCGTGGCCCAGTGTGCCTTCTTCTGGCACCTGAGGCCCTGCAGCTCCTCTCCTGGGGCCTGGGACTCCTCAATGTTGCCCAGCTTGAGAGCAGAACAGACTAGCAAAATAAATAGGGTATTTTTAAAAGAAAAGGTGTTGTTACCTTAAAATCACTGCCCTTGCTACCTCTTCTTTTCACACTGCTTTTTTTTTTTTTTTTTTTTTTTTTTGAGACAGGGTCTCACTATGCAATTGAGACTGACCTGGAACTCACTGTGTAGCCCAGGCTGGTCTCAAACTCACAGTGATCCTGCTGCCTCAGCCTCCGGAAAGGAGGCTGAGACAGGAGGGGGCAAATTTGAATCCCATCTGGGGAACCTAGTGAGAGTTTGTGTTATAATTTTAAAAATGGGTGGAGGTATAGCTCAGGGGGAAGCCCTGGGTTCAAATTCCAGCACCACTAAAACAAAACCAAAAACAAGACACCTCAGCCTCTTTTTGGAGAATTCCTACCCTTTCAAAACCCAGGCTGGCCCCTTCACCCACCAGGTCTGTAATGAGTGTGCTGGGTGTGCCAGGCTACCCACGGGCCCCCACCCAGGTTGCTCCTCAGGACCCTGGAGACCTTGAGACCAGTGCAGCACTGCCTGGGATCAGCCAGTTAGTCCCAAGAGCCTGAGCTAGGGCCGGATGGGATGTGAGTAAGCAGAGCAGGGACCACAGCCTCCCACGTCTTCTCCTTCAGGCCTCACCTGCAGCTATGCCTAAGAGGTGCTCAACACCTCCAGACAGTGCAGCCCCGGCCAGCAGCGTCCCTGTGGAGCCCTTGTCCCCAGGGTAGGTGGCACGAGGACAAGGAGCCTCTCACTGGCCACCACAGCGCACGGCATCCTCAGTGGGGGTAAACAGGTGAGGACCCTGGACGCCTTACCTTGGCCGTGCAGGTGGCCCGCAGTGGCTCGATGAGCCGGTCCACCCTCTGCAGCACGGGCGCTGGGCACAGCGTCGCCAGCCGTGCCAGCATGATGAAGGTCAGCATCTGCCAGGAGGGAGGAGACAACGTCAGGGAGTGGCCAGAGCTCAGGAGAGGCCTGGGGACAGAAGCTTCAGCCCCAACACTGCCATGATTTGCCCCCCAGGGCCCTCCTGGCCTTAGTTTCCCCACCTGGGACACGTGTGTGGGAACACTGAGCTGTACCCATCGCCCTTGGCTGTCCTCAGGGGTTGGGTAAGAAGAGGCACAGGGAAGGATGGTTCTCAAATTCAGATGCCCTTGGGGACAGGCGAGTCCTGCCACAGAGCCACAAGGTGGGAGCTGCAGCTGGGTGGGTGTCACTGCGTCCCCAAAGAGCCTGGAAGCCTGGCCCCAGCATGGCAGTGTTTAGAAGTGCTGGGACCTTATGAGGAGAGGCCCAGCAGGAGGAATAAAGTCCCTGGGCACTGTCTTGAGATGCGGCTGATATGGCCCCCATAAGAACAGCTGTTTGAGGGCCAGGACCCCACATGCCTAGGCCTCCTGGGTCCCCGAGAGCAGCTTCCCCAGGTCTCCCACAGCCCAGCAGGAATACAGGACACTCTCAACTCTCAGCATCCAGAGAGCGAGCTAAGCACCTCGACCACTTGGAGAAGGCTGTGCAGGTATGTCACCATAGAGACAGGATGCTCACAGGTACAGCGAGAAGAGGTGGAAGGCGTCATGGACATTTTGCAAAAGTTTCGTGTCAAATGTCTCAAATTTTAAATGTTACAAAACAAAGAAGTTGTGAGCCACTCAGACCCTGCAACAGTGCTGGACTGAAATGGTGCCAAAGGCCACGCTGGGGTCACCAAGTGAAACACAGTGCTCCCTGGCTGACGCCCACCAGCGCCACTGTCCCTCGCTCCCTGTGTGGCGTCAGCTCTGTCTGTGCTCCAGGAGCTGGCAAGAAGCAGAGGGGCCAGAGGGCGGGGAGGAGAGGAGAAGCTGCCTGCTCACAGAAGCTGCAGGCACAACGGCACAGGTGAGTGAAACACTCCATCTGACAAGGGACTCACTTGGCCTCCAAAAGGAAGGGACGCATGACGCTCGCTACAAGGACGGGCCCAGAGGCCACTGTGCTAAAGGAGACCTAGTTGCCAAGGACAGGCAGAGTGTGACACCACTGGCACAAGCATCCCAGGACTGTGAACGGCACGGAGAGACTAGGAGAATGGGCGATGAGGACACAGCTCCGTGCAGGACCCTGAGCCGGATGGTTAATGTTGCTAAATGGTGCTGGTGCCTGCCTCATGGTGGACTGCTTTACATGTTCCAGGCGGTCCACTCCCAGCCTCAAGAAAAGGTAACATGGTAAGATGGCAAAAGTTAAGATGGTAACATTCGAAATATATAAATTGTTCATTTTCTGAGGCAGGGCCTTGCTGTGCAGTCCAGGCTGGCCTCAAACTCATAGCGACTCTCCTGCCTCAGCCTCCTGAGTGGTAGGACTGCAGACATGCAACACCATGCCCAGCATCATTACCATATTTAAAATAGCAGGGATTCCTATGATATGGGTGGGTAAGGCGTAAACTGTAAAAGAAATGAAGAAACCTCACTCTGCCCGCTGCTTCCCTTTCCCAACCTCACCCCACAGGTGAGAAAATGGTCCCAACATCTGAGCCCAGCTTTTGTCCTCAGGTGGAGACGCCGCCACCACCTCCATGGGGACTGCAACACTTGGGCGTCAGCTTCTTCTGAGCAGTGCTGTGCATGACCCAGGCTCTGCCTGTGCCAAAGGAAAGGACAGGGCCGGCCAGTTCAGGGAGGCTCAGGGTCTTACCCGGACGTCATAGTGATCCTTCAGCCCGTCCTCCACGTGGCTCAGGAACTGGCTCACGTCCAGCTGGCCCAGGCAGCTTTCTAGCAGGGAGTACATGCACTCAAAGGCCGCCTTGCGCACATCGAGCCCGTCGTCCACTGTGTGCTTAAAGGGCCCCATCTCCACCTGTGGGGGGACCACAGTGCTGGGGATGCGGCCAGGGTTAGGGACACCTCTGTCAACAGGTGTCTGCCCAAGTCGCCTGCACAAATGTAGTTTTCCCGGCCGTTCCCCCATAGGACTGCAGCAGTAACTGTGACAACAGAACCGTGCTCAGGACTTGACAAGTGACAGTCTTTTGGGGAGGGTGCTGGGCGGAACCCAGGGCCTTGTGTGTGCTAAGCACACGCTCTACTCCCGAGTCACAACAGCCCGACACATGCTGTCTTATGCAAGCATCACAGATGCCTGAGGAGGAAGGGGCTATGATGACCCCCGTTCAACTTCAGAGGAGACTATGGCTCAGAGAGGTGAGTTAACTTGTCCAAGGACACAGCTAGTAAGTGGTGAACCCAGATCCTACCTACTCAGGAGGCTGAGGCAGGAGAACTGCAAGTTTGAGGCCTGGAAAGTTTCATAAGACTCAGTCTCAAAATCAAATAAAGAGGCTGGGGATTTGGCTCAGTGGTGTTGCCACCTGCCTCACAAGTGCAAGGTCCCAAGTTTGATCTCCAGTACCAAAAAAATCAAATTAAAAGGATTGGGATGTAGCTCAGTGGTACAGCACTTGCTTAGCATTCGCAAGCCCTGGATTCAAGCTCTAGTACTACACAAAGACCTCGCAAAAACCAAAAAACACCCCCCCATGTGTGGTTTCTCTGAAATTTTAACCACAAGATTCTGAGTTTTGTTTTGTACTAGGGGTTGAACCCAAGGTCTTTACAATGAACAACATCCCCAGTCCTTTTTAATTCTTTCAAGTTGCTAAGTTGGCCAAGTTGGGCTCAAACTTGTGGTCGTCCTGCCTCAGCCTCCCAGAGTGCTGGGATTACGGGTGTGCACCACCACAGCCAGATTCCTTGGTCCCTGGCCCTTTCCCCTCTGGCACTGTTCCCTGCTCTACTTCTTGGGTGTCATAAACTAAGCATGCCCTTCTCCCTGGTCCTGCTGCCATGTTGTTCCTGCCTTGGAACAGCCAACCATGGACTGCATGCCTGAAACTGCAAGCACATTAAACCTCTCCTTCAATTGTGGTGTTGGTTATTGTGTCCCAGTGACGGGGAAGTGACTAATTCAGACCCAGACAGAATTGTTTCCTCCATGTTGTCTTGAGAAGAGACTGAGAGGTTCAGAGGGGTTCTGGGTTCCCTGGCAGGAACACACAGCTGGGGCGAGGTGGCAGGACCTGCCCCAAGTGCCTGCACCTCTCGGATGAGGTCCCGGCGGACTTTGGTCTCTTGGTAGAGGAGCGGCAGGATGGTGTCCAGCAGGTCCCGGACCAGTGAGGGCTTGTTGTGTACAGCCGAGTTGAAGAAGGCCAGCGTGGCTCGGCGCACACTCAGATCCGGGTCCCGCAGGCTCTCCATGAAGTTCCCTGCAGGACAGAGAGGCTGAGGGGGCACAGTCAGACACCAGGTCACCCTGTTGCTCTAGGCACCCTTTCCACAGCTGCTTTGTGCTAGATGCAGCCATGCTCAGAGCCCTTGGAGACCAGGATACTGGGCTTCTGATGCACCTCTCCATAAAATGGGGAAAATCACAGCACCTACATGGTAAGACTACGTTTAAAATTCAACCTAAAATTCACTCAGAATGAGAAAAGGCCTAGAATAGCAAAAGTGGCTCTGGGCAACAAAAGCAAGGCAGCGGGCATCAGAATCCCTGACTTGAAATTGTACTACAAAGCTACCGTAATAAAAACAGCATGGTACTGGCAAATAAACAGACCTGAGGATCAATGGAACAGACTAGAAGATACAGAAACAACTCCAGACATACTCAACCACCTCATCTTTGACAAAGGAGCTGGACACTTTCATTGGAATAAAGACAGCCTCTTTAATAAGAGGTGATGGAAAAACTGGCATTCAACTTGCCAAAGACTAAAACTAGACTCATATCTTTTACCGTGCACTAAACTGAAATCAATATGGATTAAAGATCTCAATATTAAAACAGAAACACTAAACTGGCTGGAAGATAGAATAGGTAGAACTCTATTCTAAATCACTGGTCATTTGGGAGATTCAGATGAAAACAACACTGAGATTCCACCTCACCCCACAAAGAATGGCTGCTATCAAGAAATCAATAACAGGGCCAGGGATTTGGCTCAGTGGTTCTGCTGCTTGCCTTGCAAGCATAAGGGCCTGAGTTCAATCCCCAGTACAAAAAAAAAAAAAAAATCAATAACAAATGTTGGCAGGGTTGTGAGGAGAAAGGAACCCTTCTCCATTGTTGGTGGGAGTGCAGACTGGTGCAACCACTATGGAAATCAATATGGAGATACCTCAAAGACCTGGGATTAGAGGTTCCATTTGACCCAGCTTTCCTCTGCTGGGTATCTTTCCAAAAGAATTTAAAAAATCGTATCACAGTGACATATGCACACCTATGTTTATAGCGGCACAGTTTGTAATAGCTAAAACTTGGAAATAGCCCATTTTCCTATCAGCTGGAGACTGGATAAAGAAGATGTGGTTTTTCTATAAAATGGAATACTACTCAGCCATAAAGAATGAGAAATTAGAGTCTTTCATAGGAAAATGGATGCATATTGAGGATATACTCAAGTGACATAAATAAGTCACACATCTATAAATACCAAATAATTTCTCTGGTGTGAAAAACTATAATAGTATATAAGATCCTAATGGTATAATTGACAATGTGATATAGGAAGAAAAGGACTAAAAGTGTAGGGGAAGTGGGAAGAGTAGGGGGAAGGAAATAAGGAAAAGAAAATAAAACATGAGAAAATGAAAAATTGGAAATAAAGTATTTGTAAATAGGGAAGGGAGGAGGGAGTGAAGGGAGGTCAGGGCTAAGGGGAAAAATGAGAACCAAGACCTGTCTTGTAAAGGTACAAGATCCCAATGATGAATGTAACCTTACTGTATACCTAAAATGTACCAAGAAACTCAATGAGAAAAAAAGCATCATATCCCAGCAATATATGTACACCCATGTTTATAGCAGCACAGTTTTTTTTATGGCTAAATCTTCAAAACAGCCCAAATGCTCATCAACTGACAAATGGTTAAAAAAAAAAAAGTTTTTTTAAATACAATTGAGTACTACTGTGTCATAAAGAAGGATAAGCTTGAGAGATTTCTAGCTAAATAGACGCACCTAGAGACCATACTCGTAAGTGAAATAAATCAGACACACATGTTTAAGTACCATACTAGTTCTGTAGTGCCAAAAACTGAAAGTGGAAATAAGGACCAAAACATATAACAGATATTGGGAAATGGGAAGAAAATGTTCAAATAAAAAGAGGAAAAGCGTGGAGAAAAAAAAAGGACAAGGAAAAAAGAGAGAACAGAAGGATTGAGGATGTGGTGCTGTTTGCAAAGCATACAGCAGGGTGACTGGCTAAGAGGAAGAACAGGAACAGCTGGCAGAGCACACCTGTCATCCCAGCACCCTGGGAAGCTGAGGGAGGAAGATCACCAGGAGATTCAGGAGAGCTTGGGCTACAAAGTGAGATCCTGTCTCAAAACCCAAAACATAACAAAGGATCAAATACAACAACACATTAAAGCAAACCCAGAACACCCGCCGGGGACCCTGGGGTGTCAGCACCAGGCAGCTTGGTCAAGATGGGGACAGAGGGTCAGGACCTTAGTGAAGCTGCCACTGGCCAAGATGCCAAGGCTGCAGGATGTGCTCTCCAATACAGGGTGGGTCACCTGTGCCTGCTCAACCTCCAGACTCAGACAGCCCCCAGTAGGGAAACAGCTTCCAGCTCTTACAGCTGAGGGGAAGATGACCATCCACACTCATGCAGCCAGGGAATGGCAGAGCCAGGATTCAAATCTTGGCCAGGGAGCATCACAGCCTGGCAGCCCTGCTGGGGCTGACTGTGAGGGCACAGGGGCCTAGGTTCCTGGGCAGTCCAGGTATAGCCTGCGGACTCCAGGCTCCAGGGGAAAAGCAGGGTCCTCAGGAACCCCAGGTTGGTGCATTTTCTGTTTCCAAGGGCCTGTTATTCACGGAGCACTCCCTCCCCTCTGGGAAGCTCTAGGGTTCTCCACAGTGACCCTCCCAGGAGTTTCTCATGCCCATTGGATGCGTGAGGAGATGGCGGCTCAGTGCCCACCAGGCCAGCCCGCTGCCCACCCCATGCCACCAGCTGCCATGTGAAAAATACTAGTGCAGATCAATGCCTGGGGGACAAGAAAGTGGGGCAGGGTGGTGGGGGACGGGGGGACTCACCGATGAAAGTCTTCAGGAGGGGGTCGATGGGATGTGGCTGGTCGGAGATGAGGAACTTGACAGCTGTGATCACTGTGCTCCGGGTGTGTGGCTGACCTGCAGGGCAGAGGGTTGGGGTTAGAGTTAGGGTTAGGAGTTAGAGTTAGGGGTTAGAGGCTAGAGTTTGGGGTGAGGTTAATGATGGGGTTGAAGTTAGGGCTAAGGTTAGGTTTAGGGATAGGGTTAGGCATAGGATTAGAGTTAGGGCTAGGTTTAGGGTCAGGTTTAGAGTTAGGGTTATGTGTTGGGGGATAGAGTTAGGGTTAGGGCTAGATTTAGGACAGGGGTAGGGTTAGGGATTAGAGTAGGTTGGGGTTAATGGTCAGGGGTTATGGTTAGGGAGTGGGATCAGCAGCAACTTGCCCTAACCTGCTCTGTTTTGGGTTTCGTTTTTTTTTTTTTTTTTTTTTTTTTTTTTTTGGTGGTGGTGGGGTGTGGGGGTGGGTTTGGATTGTACTCAGGACCTTGTGCTTGGGAGGCAGGATGTGCAATCACTGAGTTAAATCCCTGGCTCTAATCTGCTCTGTTAGAGGGAGAAATGCCTCTCTCCTAGGAAACACTGCCCAGGCTTTGGGAATCCACACTGTCATTTCCCTCCCTCTGAAGTGGTCAGCTACAGGAGACAGTAGGATGGATCTATAAAGACCCCGATGACCAAAGCAGGGCCGTTTTGGAATCTTTCCTTGAAATACAGACAGTATTATATTTTTCTGATGCATTATCCGTTAACCCTTATGATGGTCCATTTAATTAGCAATAATATATTAATTTAAATCACGAAGAGGATTATCCCTCTGTATTTTACGCTAGAGGAAAGTGAGGCTCAGAGAGTGTAAGTTCACATCTAAGTCCACAGAGCAGGCCCAGGGGCTCCTCCCTGGTGCCCTTGTCCCCCAGGCCACTCGCCAGTCATCCAGTAGATCTCAGCCAGCCCTGCCTGGGGATGAGTTTGCTGAAGTCTGCTTCACTGCTTTCTGGGCAGGGGAGCTGAAGGATGGGAGGAAAGCGCATTCCCTTAGTGATGGGGAACTTCGAACGTTTTCTCGGAGTGGTATGCTGGGATTCAGTGAGTGGCAAATAAAGGGGAGGCTGAGGACAAACATGAGTACAGAGTTGGGGTGCATTGCAGACAGCGGCACAGGAGTCCCAGGGCCTGCTGGATGGTCCACTGGCCTGGACTCTAGACCTCTGGGGGCAGCAGTGGAAAGAAAGGCGGCTAGCAGCTGGCTTGGCGGTGCACACAGGACAGGCAGGATTCAGTGCCCAGGATGAGCAGGGCCCCACCTCATCCTGAGACTCCCAGCTCTGGGGGCTCCTTGTGCAATGGAACCCACAACATCATCCACACTGTGGCGAGGGCCAGACAATGGGACCTTGTGAAGCCATCAACTCAAACGGGCCTGGACATCAGTCATGTGTCTGCTTGAATGTTGGTTTATCTGGCGTTCATTAGGTGCCACACACCATGCCCACCAGCGTTGAGCCACACAGCCCTGGTCCTGAGGCCCCAGCCTTTGTTCCCAGCAGCTTTCCAGGCCCCAAAGCCCCCAGTCCACCTGCTGCTTCTCCCTGAGGAGGGCTGAGTCCCACCACCACACAGCTGCCCTCTGGTTCTAGCCCAGCCCCCTCCAGACTCCAGGGTGCATCCTGCAATCCCAGGGCAGGCGGACCCCAGAGGGCTCCACTTCCACCAGCCACAGGCTCCACTCCAAGAGCTGCAGTGAGAGCTCAGCTGCCATCCTCATGAGGACTCTGACAACGGCATCCATGTTTAGCTGTACAGCCAACCATGCCACCCTCAGAGGATGGCTCCAGGGCTCTCTGAGTTCACTTGACCCAGGGATGCTCAGGGCACTTCTATACATGGAGGGCACATCGAGGCATGGCCTCCCATGCGTTGTCAATCACATCAAGGTGGGTTTTGATACATTAGTGCCAGTAGCTGTTTCCCCCATATAGTTAGGGAATGAAGATAAAAAGATGTGTCTGGTACAGACTCAGATATGTTTGGTATAGACTCCTCAATTTTTTTGTTTGGTTATTTTTTTGAGACAGACTTTGCTATAGAGTTCAATCTGGCCTTGAACTCACTATGTACCCCAGGTTGGCCTTGAACTCCCCTCAATCCTCCTGCCTCAGCCTCCCTAATGCTGAGATTACAGGCATACACCGCCATGCCTGCCCAGACACAATTATTTTCCTGAATATTTCAATTGAAGTTGATCAGTGTGAGAATTCGTGATTATTTTACCATTGTTTCTTTAAAGGCTGAACTGCAGCTGAGTGATCAGTCTGTAGTAGAGCATTAATTTTCCACCTTGTACGCTGAACTCAAGAACTATGCATCCTCAAGAGGTGATCCAACCACTTGTTATGTCTTAAGGGATACCATTTCCCTTCCTTTCCAAACTTCAGGTCAAAGATCCCTCTCAATTACAAATACATATACGATTTGATCCCCTGGATCACTAACCCTAAGTAGCCTATACAAACTGTTTAGTCTTCAAACCATACCTGGCTGTCCTGCAGACCTGAGAGTGATGACAAGGGCCACTGTGACCTGATGACAGTGCTCCTGGGCTGATAGTTCCAGACCCCTCCTCATGTTAAAACCAAATAGGAAAATCTCAGCCTCTCCCCTGGCCAAGAAGTCCTCTTGGACCCATCCACTGCTCTCTTACAGTACAACATAAATACCCAACTCTTTTTAATTCCTTGTCTATTAGGAAATTCTGTTCACCACCTGTGGTGCCAGCTTCTCACAGCCTGTTTCACATGGCAGGGAATCTACAGATCAGAACCCCAGATATAAATGGCCGGTTGTGTTTGCGATAGGGACATAGTAGCATTTGTCCCCCTCTTCCCCAGAGGCCCCTTTGACTGCATGTGCACAAGCTGTGACCCTCACACTCAGGGAATGGAAGCTGTTTACAGCGCTGGACCACTGTGGGCCGTGCCTACCTGCCGAGAGCTGCTTCTGCAAGCGGGTCAGGAGGAACGGGGGGTTCACGAGCACCAGCTTCCCAATGCATTCGGCCACTACCCCCCGGGTGCCCTCCTCAGTGCCCTCGCAGTGCTGGAAGAGCAGCGCCCAGATGTCCTCAGCATAGGGCTTCAGGCCATCAGGTGGCGCGGCCCCCAGTGCTTCCCGCAGTGCCTGCAGCAGCAGGTACTGGCGCCGTGGCTCGGCCTCAATCTGAGCCAGCAGGAAGGGCAGGAAGTCAGGCAGGTTGCCAGCGCCCACGCGGCCCAGGGCATAGGAAGCTGCAGCCCGCACATCCTCACTGGGTGAGCCTAGTGCATCCAGCAGCACGGCTTTCAGCTCACGCTGGGGGCCAGGCCCAGCCACCTGGCCCACCTCAGCTAGCGACAGGAAGGCCAACACCTTGACACCTGTGCTGGAGTGTGGTGACCTGGCATCCCCAACCAGGCGGTTGGCTGTGCTCGCTGCCTCCTGGGGACAGGCAGCTGAGAGGGCAGCCACACATCGGGCCAATGAATGGAACACCTGCTTGTGCAGGCCTGGCCCGCCATCCCTGGCTTGCTCGTACACAGGCACAGTGAGCAGGCCGAGCAGCTCAGTGTAGGACACGCACGGAGGGCGGGTCCCCACTAGTGCCTGCAGAAAGCCCTCAGCGGCCATCAGCACACTGGCCGGCAGCAGTGGGGAACGCAGCAGCTGCAACAGCTCAACAAGCACAGGGCCGCTGACCTCCACCATGCAGGTTGGCTGGACCGGGGTCATGGTGGCCAAGAAGTCCACAGCCAGCTGGGCCACATGCATGTCACTCTCGCTAACCAGTGCAGGCAGCTCAGCCAGCACGGTCAGAACAGCTGGGGGCGGGAGGCTGTGGCCCTGACTCTGGGCCAGGGCATCCAGTGCAGCTAGTGTGGCCAGCCGCAGCACCCGCTGGTTCTTGCGCAAGAACGATGCTAGAATGGGCAGCACTTCAGCGAGGATGGGCCGAAGGTCAAGCTGCAACGGGGACATGGCCACCAGTGTCAGCGCCTTGACAGCAGGCAGTCGGGTGATCTCATTTCGCAGGTGGTCGAGGAGGAGCAAGAGTGTGGGCTGCAAGGCGTCCCCAAGCTGGTCACCCAGGTGGCCCACAAGGTAGCCCACGAAGGAGATGGCCTGCTCTTTCACCTCCTGGTCCAGGTCAGTAGCACGGAGCCGGGCCAGTGTTGCCTTAGACATCTCTACCACGTAGGGTGTGGGATCTAGCACCCGAGCCTTGCCCAGTGGCCACAGGGTGCGCACCAGCTCCTGGAGCACCAGTAGGGCCTCAGCCGCGATCTTATAGAAAGGGTCAGCCACACAGGCCATCACAGGTGGCAGGAGGACAGGCAGGTGGGGGTGGAAGGCCTCAGCAGGCTCTGTGCCCAGCAGCCCCTGCAGGAAGGCCAGGGCATCCATCCGGATGGTGGAGGAGCTGGAGCAGTCAGCCAAGGAGAAGACAATGCCTATGGGGTAGAGACAAGGTCACAGGGCTGGAGACCAGCCCAGCATAGCCCCTTGAGGTGCTGAACCAAAGCACCTCATCCCTGAGGTAGATATTTCTTTTTTTTTTCTTTTTCTTTCTTTCTTTCTTTCTTTCTTTTTTCTTTTCTTTTTTTTTTTTTTTTTTTGAGACAGGGTCTCACTATGTAGTTGAGACTGACCTGGAACTCACTATGTAGCCCAAGCTGGTCTCAAACTCACAGCAATCCTCCTGCCTCAGCCTCCCAAGTGCTGGGATTATAGGCGTGCACCACGGCTGAGGCAGATATTTCTAAGCACTCCCTGCTCGGCCATGGGCCAGCGCTGGGGGAGGCAGGGAAGGGCCAGTGTCTGCCTGGGCTTCCTGGACAGCTGACCCCAGGTGGCCTAGCTCACCTGACACCAGCACGGGCATATGCTCTGCCAGGCTGCCCGGGAGGACACCTGACAGCTCTGCTAGGAGGTTGAAGCAGCCCTGGCGTGCCCGGGCACTGCGGTCCTTTAGCTGCCGCTGCAGGGCCTTCATCACCAGGGGCACCTGTGGACAGAAGGGGTAGTGAGGGGTACCCAGGGACACCTGTGAGCAGGTGGGGCAACTGGGGAGCACCTAGGGAATGCCCTGTACCCCAAAGCTTGCTCAGGCGTCCCCAGAGGATTCTCTGAGGACAGGATGCCACCTAACACTCAGTACTCCTTCCAAGACGGGCACTTGATTAGGACACCTAGATAGAATTCCAGCACCCTGTTTGTAGGTAGAGAGATAAAGGGACAGGCCCAGTTCACACAGGCAGTCTGGCTGTCACTGCCACCCTTGTGCCAGGCAGTAGGGCCCTGGCCAGTCCCACCACAGCCACCTGTCCCCTCCTTGGCTTGATTCTCTCCCCCAATGTTCTTCTGAATCTGCAACCCAGGATACGCAGTCTGCACCTCTAGCCAGTCAATGTGGGCTCACAGTACACTTCATGTCCCCCAAGGCTCCCAGATGCTGTTTGGCCCCATGGGGGGGTGGGGTCCAAGAAGCCCTGGGAAGTACCCCGTGGGGTTCTGGGAGCCATGAGCTGTTACCTGGAGGTGCTGAGCACTTTTGAGCAAACCTGGGCCATCCTGCACTCTGGCCCACGTCTTGCCATGTGGCCTCTGTTTTGTACACATTCTGGCCACAGTGCCATTGTCATGATGTCATGTGGCCAGAGAGTCCTCACCAGAGCCACACCAGGCTGCTTGAACATCTGTTTCCAAACCCTGAGCTACATTGACCTCCACAAAGCACCCAGCCTTCGTTATTTTGTTACAGCCTTCTGTGAGGACCTCAAACAAAACCATGCAGAGTCTCCATGCCCCCCATACCAGGGAACTCCACTTCCTGCTGTCACCAGAAGCAGGAAGTCACATGACCCCATTTATCCCAGGAAAACATCCAGCCCACCAGCAAGGCGCATGATTATACCCAAAACCCACTTCCTCCATCCTGCTGCTCTCAGGCCCAAGAGCCATCTCCAGTCTTTGGACAGCCGCAAGGTCCTCCTATTGCCCCCACCTTGCCCCATGACAACCATCCTCGTGGGTGTGAGACTTTTTATGTGACCTGGCTGCCGTGGTCCCCTCCTGGGACTTCCACCTCCTGTCAGGTGAACCAAACCCATCCCACGCCTAGCGCACCTGTCCAAGACTGTGGCCCCCACAGAGGTGGCACAAGTCAGCGGGTGAGGGGAGGACGAGAAGGGGTCCTGGTGAAGGGACGGAGGTGATAGCAAATGGCCCACCTGTCCTCGCAGGGCCTGGAGGCTGCTGTCTGCCAGTATGGACTCCTCCATGGTGTCCAGCCAGCCCTGAGGTGGCCGCATCTGCCGCAGCAGCACGATGTAGGCAGCGAACACATCAGCCTTGACATTGTCCTCGCGCTCCTGGAATCTGCACACTAGCGCAGGTGCCAGGCTGCAGTGCAGGTCTGGCAGCAGGTCGGGCCTCGAGCCCAGCAGGGCTGCCAGACACTTGGCCGCCGCCCGGCGTACCTTCCAGCTCATGTCGTCGTCATCGCTGTACGCATCCTCGATCTCTGGAAGGAAGGAGACACAAGGTCTGAGGCTTGGTGAATGGGGGAATGGCTCTCAATCTGTGTTTACACTCCCTTGGCACAGACTCTGCGTGCTGGAACCACGCCAGGCACCCCAACTGTGCAGCTCACTCACTGCTTCCAAGCAGGAGTAACAACAAAAAGCCAGGTCTGCACAGCTCTCTCTCTCTCTCTCTCTCTCTCTCTCTCTCTCTCTCTCTCTCTCTCTCCAGGATCTCACTATGTAGCTCAGGCGGGCCTTGAGTTCATGGTGATCCTCCTACCTCAACCTCCCAAGTGCTGGGATGATAGGCATGCACCACCATCCCCAGCTGTGTGGCTTTCCACTCTAAAGTTCCCCTGAAAGGTAAAAGCACCTCAAAAAGATAGGTTCTGCTGGGCCTACTTCACTGGTGGCAAGATGGGCTCAGAGAGGGCAAGACCTCTGCTCAGGGCACACAGCTAAGGCTATAGAGCTGAGATACAGGCTGAGGAAGCCCACCTGCACCACCTGGGGTACATATATCATACATATATCACACCAAGGAGCACCGTTGGCCACTCTGAGGATGGTGCAGACTCAGGGGACACAGTCTGGATGAGCCTCAGCAGACCACTCCCTATGCCACCCTTTAAGAAATGTCCATAGCTCTTTGTGACTGGCAAGAAAACATCCACACTCCCTGGCTTGGCATCCATGGCTCCAGCTGCCTGCCCAATCTTGCCTCCTACCCTGAGAGGCCCTAAATCTCTGTTCCCACCTTCACCCTGTCTTCCAGGCCCAGAGTGTCTCTGCCCTGACACCATGTGAGGGAAAAAGCCGCCTCTATATCCACCTGGATTCTCTGCCTGCCTGCCTGTCCCTCACAGTGTGTCCCTCTCCTAGGATAAAAGCACTGTCTCTTGCAAGCCATCCATGAAGGATGCAGAGGTGGCAGTCAGAGCCAGCTCCAAGTCTCAGTGCTGCTACTGCCTGGCCATGCCATCTCAGGCAAATCTCACCTCAGCTTGGGCTCCTGGTCTGGGACATGGGGATAATCACAATGGTCTAATCCTGCTCAGTCACTATGAGGAGCATGGGATGAGAGAGCCTAGGACACCAAGTGATAGTGGTGACAGTTTCCTTCTGTGGCCCCAAGGACTGATCCCAGGACAATCTAGATAACAAAACCTAAGAAGCTCAAGCCCTTTCTGCAAAATGGTTTAATTTCTGCAACTAACCCATGCACATCCTACTGAATATCTTCAGGCACCTCTAAACTGAGTTATGAGGTATGACCCAAAAACATGCTGAATGTTTTTTTAAAAAGTATTACATGTCCTTAATCTCCCTCAAGATACTCCCCCACTTCAAACACACTTACCCTGTCCTCTTTGCTACTTTCTGAACCAGTTCTGCAAGTCTTCTTTTGTGAGTGTCTTTACTAGGTGTGATTAAAAAAATACGGTGAGTGCCGCTGCCGACTGACATCTAGTAGAAAGGCAGGCTCGGAAAATACGACAGTGGGTCTTTATCCACCGTATCCACTGAGTCTGGCACTTTATGACTTCTGGTTCTTCCTCAAAGTCAAAACGATCTTGAGAAAAGTCAATGTTTTCTAATCAATTCAGGATATCAAGGCAGCCATAACAGCACAACTGAAGACACTCACAAAGAGGACTTCCAGAAGTGGTTCAGAAAGTGTCAAGGACGACGGGATTAGCGTGTTCAGAGTGAGGGGGAAGATTTTGAGGGGATTCATTGTAATGTGACTTTTATTTATTTATTTTTGGTACCGGGGATTGAACTTGGGCCCTTGCGCTTGCAAGGCAGGCGGTGGAACCACTGAGCCAAATCCCCGGCCCTGTAATGTGACTTTTGGTGTAACACAATTTTTAAACTTAAACATTCCCTGTGTATTTCAATCATACCCCTCATGTAATACCTAATACAATGCAATGCCGCAGATATAGTCAATACACTATATTATTTAAGGAATAATGACAGAAAGAAAAAGCCTGTATATGTTCAGTGCAGACAAAAGAGATTTTTGAGCACTTTCACCCTGCAGGCAGCTGAACTTGTGGATGCAGAGGTTGATGGGGAAGCCCCGGACCCCAGGGCTGCAGCACCAGTCTGTGCTGTGGCCTGAGCAGCCGGATGGGCCTGATGGGGCCCTCTCTTTCGCTCAGGGACCCAGAAGGCCGGGCCCATCCCCCCAGCCCCATGACAGTCCCCACTCACCTTGCTCACTGGACTCACTGTCCTCTGTCTCCATCTGCTCCTCGTCTTCGTCACTGTTGTAGCTGTAGTTGGGGTCATGCTTGAGGTACTGGAGGCAAAGGCTGGTCACACTGGGCACGTGGGGCCCCATCTCCTTGGGGCACCTGCAGGACAGCAGAGAAGGCTCTGCTGGGCCAGGCAGGGCAGGGGCACTACTGTCCCCTCACTTCCATCCTCTAGCTCCCAGGGCACCTACTTCCTCAGGAAAGCCTCACAAGCCTGCAGGCAGGACTCTCGGAGCTCATCATCCTCCAGGCCACAGAACTCCTCCAGCAGCGGCACCAGGCGGTCCAGGTGGAGCCCTGCAGGCCAGGCAGGGCATGGAGCCTGGCGGGACACTTTCTGGAGGTCCCCAGCTCGTGGTCTTCAGCCCCTGCAGCCCTCAGCACTCCCTGTGGCTCCTAGCCCCTTTCACCCTGATCAGTACAGACTCAGCACAGAGGTTCTGGCAGCAGATGTAGCTCCATCCCCGACTGCTACTCATGTGCCATGGGGCTTGGGGCGAGGACTAAGGCCTCCCTGACTCATCTAGTGATCTGTTTTGAGGGGCTAGGTGAGCACTGGACCAATGAGCTGCAGTCACAGCCCTGAGTCTAGATTCTTTTTTTTTTTTTTGGTACTGGGGATAGAACTCCGGTCCTTGCACTTGCAAGACACACGGTGGAACCACTGAGCTAAATCCCTGGCCCCTGAGCCTAGATTCTGTGGATAGTGAAGATGATGCAGTTGACAGGGATCTTAACTCATATCCCGGCACAGAGCAGGCTTTGGTGTGGAACCTCTCTGTGGCTTCGGCCCCTCTCCTGCACTGGATCCTAGATGCCCGATGAGGAAGGGAAGGCAGGAGGTAGGAGCCCACTGTGTCCTTCCCTGATGCACCCTCCAGGGTGGGCGGGAGTCCAGCGCTTTCTGTGGTCTCTTTTTTTGGACGCCTGAGCCTACAGTCTCCTACTCAGCCCCCTGAGCCCTGTCCCCAGGCTGTATAGGCCTCTTTCCTGGCAGTGCTCTCCAGGGTGTCTAAGGGTTGGCTGAGGTTGGCAGCAGAGCGTGCCCAGCTCGCCGGGGGGCAGTCTCTGCACTCACATCCAGCACGCAGTACCCTGGGGGAGGAAGGGTTGGGCTGCAAGGGCTTAGGGTGAAGGGCACGCTCTGACAGGACTGTGGCAGGAGTTTCACAAGTCAAAATACACTAAATGGGGGGCTAATTTTAGGTAAGTATTCTCAAATAAAGTTTAAGAAAACTCAAACCTGGCTCTCAGGTTATTAAGGTGTCTGTCAAAGTAGTAGGGCAGAACTTATGAGTTATGTGTGAACCTCCCAGGCCACAGAAGCGTCTTTCTACCACCAGAGGCAAGGACCAAGGTCGGTGTGGGCCCCGCCCCGCCCACTAGATCCCGCCCCTCCTTAGCCCTCATAATCCCGCCCACTCACGGGTCCAGGCCCCACCCCTACCTACCATCCCTCCTCGCATTGGCCCTGCTCCCTTCCCATGCCTGGCAGCCCGCCCCCTCTCTCCAGGTCCCTGCCTCAGCCAGAGCCCTTGACCCCTCGGGGCTTCCCCCG